TCAGGTCTGATTTCCTTCAGAATGGATACGTTTGATCTTCTTGCAGTCCATGGGACTCTCCAGAGTCTCCTCCAGCACCACAATTCAAAAGCATCAATTCTTCGGCAATCAGCCTTCTTTATGGTCCAGCTCTCACTTCCATACATCACTACTGGGAAAACCATGGCTTTAACTATACGGGCTAAACTATTATGTTAATAACAACAACAACAACAACAACAATTTTTATTTATACCCCACCCTTCCCAGTTCAAAAACCGGGCAGCTAACAACAAATTTAAAACACTTAATTGTAAAAGCAGCATAAAAACATGAATAACAATAAAATTCAAATTTCAGAAATCAATTTAAGGGGAAATCTATCTAATAAGCATTAGATAATTACCAGGGCTAGCTGGCTGAATTAGTCCTACTTGAAGCAGCCCAGAGTGGATGGGGCAACCTAGTCAGATGGGCAGGGTATAAATAATAAATTATTATTCTTATTCAAGATGTACCTATTTTCATCAGAGAAATGTTGGAGGATATGCCAGTGCTGTACCATAGAATTGTAGAAGGGGCACCAAGGGTCATCTAGTCCAACCCCCTGCAATGCAGGAATCTCAGCTAAAGCATCCATGGCAGATGGCCATTCAACTTCTGCTTTAAAAACTCCAAGGAAGGAGAGTCCACTGCCTCTCAAGGCAGACCATTCTATTGTCGAACAGCTCTGACTGTCAGAAAGTTCTTCCTGATGTTAAGATGGAATCTCATTTCTTGGTTCTGGTCCTACCCTCCAGAGCAGAAGAAAACAAGCTCATTCCCTCTTCCATGTGGCAGCCCTTAAAATATTTGAAGATGATTCTTGTATCTCCTCTCAGTCTCCTTTTTTCCAGGCTAAACATGTTAGAATTCCTGCTCCATGATTGCAGTCATGGGATTCTTGTCTCTGCTTAAAATTCTCCAATGAAGGAGAGTCCACAACCACCCGAGAGAGACTGCTCCACTGTCGAACAGCTCATATGGTCAGAAAGTTTTTTTCCTGATGTTTAGTCAGAATCTCCTTTCTTAGAGCTTGAAGCCATTGAGCACTGTCTTCCAGAGAAAACAAGCTTGCTCCATCTTCCATCTGACAGCCCTCGAGATATCTGAAGATGTACCACAGCATCTCCATACAATACTTAGTCACATAATGGGGGGAAACAAATGTGGACTGGAATCCAGGCAACAGGTTTTGTTTTAGTTGCTCTCTTTTTCAATCATCATCGTTTGGGATTGCTTGTTCTAGGTCATCGGCCTTTTTCAACCGTGTAAAACAGACAAATCAATCTCCCAACCCAAGCCAGAATAATATTATACAAAGCAGGGAAAATATTATAATTGGAAGAACTCTTTTAAATGCAAGAATTCCTTTTAGTGAAGTCGTCCGATGGCTCACCTTGTATCAACGCCAATTTTAAATTTATTTATTTTTTAAGAGAAGAGGTCCTGCAATACGGCTGGCAAAGTGGCAGAACCAAGTTCTTCTAGCTCTAGACAGAATCGGTGGGATGAGTAAACCATGTGAGATCGATACTGCAGGAAGGCTTGTTTGGATGCAGTGGTGTGAAAACAAAGAAGTGTGTTAAAGTAAGTTTATCCGTGGAAAGTTACCAGTCCATTATTCTATTATGGCCAGCATCAGAGGCACTGTTCTCTTATAGACATGACAGTGTATTCCCCCCACCCAATGTACACCACTGTGATTTTGTGCAAGGTGTTGAAGAAGAGTATGGATGCATGTCTGAAAAATAATTGCAATAATAATACTTTAAAAATTATTTCAGCATGGCTAACTGCTCTCTGCAGTCCCCAAATTTAAGGCTTTGCGGCTGTAGGGTTTTTGAAGAAGGAATCCCTGTTACTTGAACCTTGAGCACACCAGTGCAAGTAGATAAATAGGTACTGCTGTGGCGGGAAGCTAAACAGCGGTTCCGTGTGCTCCGACTTCCGTCACGGTGTTCTGTTGCACCAGAAGTGGTTTAGTCATGCTGGCCACATGACCTGAAAAGCTGTCTGTGGACAAAACGCCTGCTCCCTTGGCCTGAAAGCGAGAGGAGCGCCACAACCCCATAGTCGCCTTTGACTGGACTTAACAATCCAGGGGTCCTTTACCTTTTTTTACCTACCCTTGATTAGGTTTGATCCATCAGGGATCACCTGATGTTTTGCGACAGGGATGCCATTGAGACAGGGATGCGCAAAGCAGAAAAATACCAGCTGATCTTGAGAAAAGCAGCCAAGCCATTTGCCACATGCAAAGGCAGGTCCTTCTAAGGGGTTAGGGTCTCCGATCAGCTTGACTCAAGGAAGGAAGGGGGGGAAATCCTTCCTGCACCAAACTAAATATGGCAAAGAGTCAGTTCCAAAGTTGGGTCAGAGCTCACTCAGTGTTAAAGGTAAAGGGACCCCTGACTATTAGGTCCATTCGTGGCCGACTCTGGGGTTGCGGCGCTCATCTCGCTTTATTGGCCGAGGGAGCTGGCGTACAGCTTCCGGGTCATGTGGCCAGCATGACTAAGCCGCTTCTTGCGAACCAGAGCAGCGCATGGAAACGCCATTTACCTTTCCGCCAGAGCGCTACCTATTTATCTACAGTGGTACCCCGCAAGACGAATGCCTCGCAAGACGGAAAACCCGCAAGACGAAAGGGTTTTCTGTTTTGGAGGCGCTTCGCAAGACGAATTTCCCTATGGGCTTGCATCGCAAGACGAAAGCCCATAGGGAAATGCTGGCGGTCGGGAGCAAAGACTTTCGCCCACAGCCGGCCTTCAGAAGAGGACCTCTTCTGAAGGCCGGCGGGGGGCAAAAGTCTTTGCTCCCCCCCGCCTGCCTTCCCCCCGCCTGCCCGGGGCGATCTTAAAATGCTGGCGGCGGGAGCCGGGGCGAGCTTAAAATGCTGTCCCGGGGAGATTTTAAAATGCTGGGGGTCGGGAGCGAAGCGTTCGCTGCCGACCCCCAGCATTTTAAAATCTCCCCGTGTCCCGAAGGGGGGGGGGTGGGGACACCTGCCCCAGCCGCCCCACTTCGGAAAGCTGTTCCGAAGTGGGGAGGGGGGGCGGGGACACCTGCCCCAGCCGCCCCACTTCGGAAAGCTGTTCCGAAGTGGGGAGGGGGGCGGGGACACCTGCCCCAGCGGCCCCACTTCGGAAAGCTGTTCCGAAGCGGGGAGGGGGGGCGGGGACATCTGCCCCAGCCGCCGCCCCTTCGGAAAGCTGTTCCGAAGGGGGGAGGGGGGGCGGGGACACCTGCCCCAGCCGCCCCACTTCGGAAAGCTGTTCCGAAGCGGGGAGGGGGGGCGGGGACACCTGCCCCAGCCGCCCCACTTCGGAAAGCTGTTCCGAAGCGGGGAGGGGGGGCGGGGACACCTGCCCCAGCCGCCCCACTTCGGAAAGCTGTTCCGAAGCGGGGAGGGGGGGCGGGGACATCTGCCCCAGCAGCCCCACTTCGGAAAGCTGTTCCGAAGCGGGGAGCGGGGGCGGGGACATCTGCCCCAGCCGCCCCACTTCGGAAAGCTGTTCCGAAGCGGGGGCGGGGACATCTGCCCCAGCCGCCCCACTTCGGAAAGCTGTTCCGAAGCGGGGAGGGGGGGCGGGGACATCTGCCCCAGCCGCCCCACTTCGGAAAGCTGTTCCGAAGCGGGGAGGGGGGGCGGGGACATCTGCCCCAGCCGCCCCACTTCGGAAAGCTGTTCCGAAGCGGGGAGGGGGGGCGGGGACACCTGCCCCAGCTGCCCCACTTCGGAAAGCTGTTCCGAAGCGGGGAGGGGGGCGGGGACACCTGCCCCAGCCGCCCCACTTCGGAAAGCTGTTCCGAAGGGGGGAGGGGGGCGGGGACACCTGCCCCAGCCGCCCCACTTCGGAAAGCTGTTCCGAAGGGGGGAGGGGGGCGGGGACACCTGCCCCAGCCGCCCCACTTCGGAAAGCTGTTCCGAAGGGGGGAGGGGACACCTGCCCCAGCCGCCCCACTTCGGAAAGCTGTTCCGAAGTGGGGAGGGGGGCGGGGACACCTGCCCCAGCCGCCCCACTTCGGAAAGCTGTTCCGAAGCGGGGCGGGGGGCGGGAACACCTTCTGAAGGCGGGCAGGGGGCGAAAGTCTTTGTCCCCCCCTGCCTGCCTTCCCAGGGGCTTTTAAATCGCCCCGGACAGCGGAGAAGTCCTCCGCTGTCCGGGGCGATTTTAAAATGCCGCCCGCCAGCATTTTAAGATCGCCCCGGACAGCGGAGAAGTCCTCCGCTGTCCCAGGGTTTTTTAAAATGCTGGGGGTGGGAAGAAAAGCCCTTGTCCCCCCCCCCCAGCCTTCAGAAGAGGTCCGGGGACAGACTGTCCCCGGACCTGGTCTGAAGGCGGTTTCCCTAGGAACGCATTAATTGATTTTCAATGCATTCCTATGGGAAACCGTGCATCGCAAGACGAAAAAACCGCAAGACGAAGAGACTTGCGGAACGAATTAATTTCGTCTTGCGAGGCACCACTGAGGTGCTTTCGAACTGCTAGGTTGGCAGGAGCAGGGACCAAGCAACGGGAGCTCACCCCATCGCGGGGATTTGAACCGCCGACCTTCTGATCGGCAAGCCCTAGGCTCTATGATTTAACCCACAGCGCCACCCGCGTCCCCACCCCAAATAAAGTAACATTAGGTGCCCCTTAAGCTCATGTCCTGTGGAAGGCTGTCATTTGCCAAAGGGATAGGGAAATAAAAAGTTCACATTCAGGGGGAAACCCTCTGTTTCCAGAGTACAGGTCAGAAATGTAGGACGCTTCCCATATGGATGCACTGCTAAGCAGCTTAAAGGGACAAAAGCCTCTGCAATGTGGTGAAAATGCACCACCTTGTGGCTTGAGGTGATTCTTGCGAAGCAACACTATTAAAAGGATGCCAGATACTTTGAAAGAAAACCACCAGGTTTGGCGCCAATGCCAAAAACGCTTTATGTTCCAAATTTAAACGACGTCCAAGCTTTACAAGATGACAAAACGAGAATCATTTGATTATTTTTATTATTGTTTTATCACATAAAGGCACACTGATTTTGTTACACTTTGTTCCCAGCTCTTAACACTGCGCAGCCGGTACACACACTTTATGCAAAATCCATTCAAGAAAAACATTTTTTTGGCAGCAATGCAAAATCCCTTCCCCACCTACATTTGCAGAAGTATTCCAGTGCGGTGATCTAACAGCTTGGAAGACAGCATTGATTGATAAAATAGCAGGCTTTGGTGTAAGGCATAGTTAGGAGATACTTGGCATCTTAACATTTGTTCAATAAAATTCATACTTAGAAGTCACATTTTAACTCAGCAGGACGTACAAGATAAGTGGAGATTACAGCTAGATTCACACAATTGAATTAGAGATGATCTAGTTATAGTCTTTTTTCCAAAGAAGACTTTGCAATATCCCCCCAGCCTGCCAGATGGTCCATACCAGTCTGTTTCGTGGATTTGCAAACAAGTGGGGCCATCTCCTCCTCCTCCTCTCTAAATTCTTCTAGTGAGCATGTAACAGTTGGTGGAGAGTCCATCCAAGATTCTCGAATTTCCTTTAGGCTGTCTTCTCAATGATAACAGCTATACCTTGGCCTCCTCCAATGCAAGCCGAACCGACTGCATATTTACCTCCACGGCGCCTATAAAAAAACGAGAGAGAATAAACAAGAAAATAAGTTATCAAGGCATCATGACTCAAGCCTTGCCATCTGTTCTGAAAGACTTTTAATTATTTGAGTTCTACCGTTCCTTTCTTTTGCTCCACAGAATGACATCTAGGGCAAGGACTGCCAAGCACATTGCACTGTGATGCCTTGATGTTGGTGGAAAGAGTGTTTCCTACAGCAGATAAGCAGGCTGACATACCGTATTTTCCGCTCTATTGGACGCACCAGACCATAGGAGGGGGAGAAGAGGAAAAAATTTTTTTCTTGTTCTCCCCCTCTAAAACAAGGTGCGCTCTGTGCGTTCAAGGTGCGTTCACCTGAAGCCTCCGGAGCCCAGCAGGAGTTCCCGCTGGGCTCTGGAGGATTTGGGTTCCTTTCGACCTGCTCTTTGGGGCTGGCGGGGGGGGGGAGGAGAGAAAGCTGCTTTCCCCACCGCCAGCCTCCAAACCAGGTTGGGTTTGGAGGCTGCTATCTGCAAGCCTTGGGAGCCTGGCGGGAACTCCCGCTGCGCTCCGAAGGCTTGCAGATAGCTTCCTGAAGCCTGGAGAGCGAGAGGGGTCGGTGCGCACTGACCCCTCTCGCTATCCAGGCTTCAGTGAAAGCCTGCATTCGCTCCATAGGACGCACACACATTTCCCCTTCATTTTTGGAGGGGAAAAAGTGCGTCCTATAGAGCGAAAAAATACGGTACTTGCTGGAGGGAAGGGAACACACAGCCATGTTGCGTGGACCAAGCTACACTCCTTGTGAATCTGAGCCAGACTGCAATTAGCAAGCTAAATTCTGTTTATTTTTATCTCAGCTTCTTTATACCAGTTCCGACTATTTATCCATCTAGCCCACTATTGACCCCGTCTCTGAGCTCTCCATGTGACGGTCTTCTTCTCCATGACTTCCTACATCATCTTCTTAAAACGCAGATGCCAACCGTGCTCTTTTCCAAGCATGTATTCCACAGCATTTTAAAAAGCAAAACCAAGAAGCGTTCCCAAGAGGTTCCTCCAGGCTATTCACTGACCTTAGTTCGTGAACCAGGTGAGCAGTGATCCTTGAACCTGATGCCCCCAGTGGGTGACCCAAAGCAATGGCTCCTCCATTGACGTTTGTTTTCTCTGGGTCCAGATCCAAAACCTTCTCTACTGACAAGTACTGTGGAGCAAAAGCCTCATTGACCTTGAAACATAAAGAGAGAGAGAGAAAGTTGGAAACACCTATATATTGGACTGCTGTAACATACTCTACTTGGAGCTATCCTTGAAGACAGTTCGGATGCTTCAAAAGTGATGCAGAAAGCAGCTTTTGCAAGGGGTGGGTGAGCAGAAAGTCACTGGCCAAAAGTATACATATATATTTTTAAAAATCAAAATGAGAACATGAATGGTCAGATGCAAATCCTGCTTTAAACCTTTAACTTCCCAACTTATTTAAGAATGTCTGTAACCTCTTTCTAACTCATAAAACTCAAGGTGGCAGACCTGAAAAAATGAATAACATAAATCGCAAAACATATACTAAAAACACAACTAAGTTCCAAATAAAATATCATCCAAGAACTGAAGGGAGCAAAATAATAATAATAATAATAATAATAATAATAATAATAATAATCTAATATTCATGGCAAATGTTGGCTTGAACCAACAATAAAGAGGTGCTGAAATGCAACCAGGGAAATAGCTATACAGATCTCCTGAGTTAGGGAATTTCAGTTCCAGTGTTTGGAAGCTGCTTCCAATAAGAGATGAACAGTCTTCAGCAGCCTGTACTTAGACCCTGCCTAACCCATAAGCAGACCAAAGACTGCACTTAATAGTTCACTTTTAAGTGAACGTCACTCGACTACAGCTTATCTCGGGAAAAGCTGAGCTCAAGTTCCCATCAGTTCCGGCCAACGTGGCCAATGGATCAGGGATGATGGGAGCTGTTTCCAGCAAAATCTGTAAGGCCATAAATTCCCCACCATGTGAAGGCCATATTAAGGTATTGTTTCATTCGTTTTGGGTTCTGCACAGCTTTCCTTACCTCAACTAAGTCCATGTCTTTCAGGGAAAGGCCAGCTTTCTTCAGGGCTTCAGTAATAGCAGGCACTGGACCTTTGTTAAAAACAGACACATGCATGAGGGCAAGTAGAGGAACTGATAGTTCAGTGCTTTATATACACACACACCAAGAGTGGGCAACCTGGTGCCCTGCAGATGTCGCTGGACTACAGTTCCCATCATCCCTGACCACTGGCCATGTTGGCTGTGACTGATAGGAGTTGCAGTTCAACAATGTTGGGGGGGGGCAGCAGGTTGCCCAACTCTGATATGTCCCCCCACTCCATTAAAAAAGAAAAAGAAAACAGGGAAAGGCAACTTTATTCTGTGAACCGCCCTAAGCCCTGCAGGTATAGGGCGGTATATAAATTTAACAACAACATCTAATATGCCCTCTCACTTTGTTCCAGAAAGGGTACTCTCCATTAGGATTATTATTATTATTATTATTATTATTATTATTATTATTATTATTATTTATACCCCGTCCATCTGGCTGGGCTTCCCCAGCCACTCTGGGCGGCTTCCAACAAAATATTAAAATACAGCAATGCATCAAACATTAAAAGCTTCCCTGAACAGGGCTGCCTTCAGATGTCTTCTAAAAGTCTGGTAGTTGTTGTTGTTCTCTTTGACATCTGGTGGGAGGGTGTTCCACAGGGCGGGTGCCACTATCGAGAAGGCCCTCTGCCTGGTTCCCTGTAACTTGGCTTCTCGCTGTGAGGGAACCGCCAGAAGGCCCTCAGAGCTGGACCTATTAGACTAGTTACTTAAAGATGTCCCAGAGACTTACAACAAATTTAGAAACATGAACATAAATCATATAAGGGACCCTGAGGGTCATCTAGTCCAACCCCCTGCAATGCAGGAATCTCAACTAAAGCATCCATGGCAGATGGCCGTCTAGCTCTGCTTAAAAACCTGGCTCCAAAGAGTTGTCAGCGAAGGAGCCAGGGGGACCTCACTGGGGAGAGCTTTCCACAGATGGGGAGCCACAACTGAAAAGGCCCTGCCCCTTGTCATCCTGCTCCGAGGCTCCCTTAAAGAAGGGCCTCAGGATTTCATGCTGTTGCTGCAAATCAGGATTTGCGTGGGCCACCTTGCACACGCTGGGAAAGTCCCCAAGACTGTAACTTACCAATGCCCATGATGTTGGGGTCGCATCCGGACGCATGGTAGGCTACTATTCTAGCCAGTGGCGTGAGGCTGTGCTTTTTCAAGGCTTCTTCACTCGCTATGATCAGTGCTCCGGCCCCGTCACATACCCCCTAGAAAGAGAAAAACAGACACTAAATCTGCGGCTGAGCATTGACAAGAGTTTGTCCTGGATTAGATGTTATGCGGACTCAAAAGGGCAGCTTATTGAAATAATTGAAATACTTTGTCACTTGTACAACTTGTATACAGTGAGATTACACAAGCACCCCCCACTCAGCTCTCTTAGTCTTAATTCCCCTCGTTTACTGACACACACACACCAAACCCAAAGTCAGTTGCCCTGTTGTTATCTTTTCATTCAGCGGCCTAACAGCCCATGGATAGAAGCTGTTCTTTACCCCGTTGGTGCGACTAATCATGTTTCTATATCTTCTGCCTGAGGGCAGGAGATTAAGAAAGTGCCGGCCAGGGTGTGAATCATCCCTGAGAATTTTCCTCACTCTCTTGTGGCAATGTTCTTCCACTATTTCATCCAGCGGATTTACGGGACAGCCCATAATATCTTGTGCTGTATTCACCACCCTCTGTAGGCACTTCCTATCAGATGATGTCACAGCAGTCATCCTGGGCCATAAGAACTGGATTGCCTGATAAGAGGGCCATTCTCAAGTAAAACAGTGGCAGAGACATATATGACTTAGGTCAAGCTTAAAGGTAAAGGTAAAGGTAAGGAGATCCCTGACTATTAGGTCCAGTCGTGACCGACTCTGCGGTTGTGACACTCATCTCGCTTTACTGGCCGAGGGAGCTGGTGTACAGCTTCCGGGTCATGTGGCCAGCATGACTAAGCCGCTTCTGGCGAACCAAAGCAGTGCACGGAAACACCGTTTACCTTCCCACCGGAGCGGTACCTATTTATCTACTTGCACTTTGACGTGCTTTCGAACTGCTAGGTTGGCAGGAGCTGGGACCGAACAACGGGAGCTCACCCCGTCGCGGGGATTCGAACCGCCGATCTTCTGATCGGCAAGTCCTAGGCTCTGTGGTTTAACCCACAGCGCCTCAAGCTTAGCCTAAACTATTAACACTCAGGTTTTAAGAAGAGGTTGGATGGCTGTCATGGATGCTATGGTTGAGATTCCTGCACAGCAGTGAGTTGGACTCTCAGGATTCCTTCCAATTCTACAAATCTATGGTTCTAAGTATCTGTGGGTACACATTGCGATAAGCTTGCCACTGTGCCTAAAGATGAATCTGAAATCAATTCCACCAGCTCTGTGTACATTGGACACGGCCACAGTTGAAATTTGAGCAGCAAAACTGAAATTCGTGTCCACGAAAGCCTAAAGAGGCAGTGTGTGTGAAAGGGGCATTGGAAAGGAAGCATATATTCAGCAAAGGATCCCAGGGCAGATATGTTCCGCACAGAAACATCCAGTATCTACTGTAGGATTGTGGGGCAGCCTGGTCATCTATCAGCAATGTCAGGAGGAATGGGACGTCCAGCACTGGCAAAGGGTTGGATCAGATGATCTTTCTGAGGTCCCTCCCAACTTGATTCTGCGAGTTCCATTGCTGCACAAAGTCCTAGCATCCGCTCAGCTCCCTGTCAAACCTGACTTTTCACGTAATGTTTTACAAAATTAGGGCTGCCATATGTCCGGAATTTCTGGGGATCGTCCTTCAAAAATGGCATCTGGGCAGAATTTTCGAAAAGCACTTGAAATGTCTGGGGAAACCTGTGTTTGCAAGCAAGCAAACAAACAACCTCACTTTTTGAAATATGGCAACCCTAAAATTCTTGCAGCAGACTCAGCAAATCTCAATTTCTGTAATGTTACTGCTTTTGCAAAAATGGCATCGCTTGCAAGGCTTTATTAACTGCACCCCAGAGCTGGCTTGTTGTGGGCAAGGATAACTGACTAATAATAATAATAATAATAATAATAATTTATACCCCACCCTCTATTTCATATGGTATGATTTATTTATATTTTAAAAAAGAACCCTGAGTAATCTGACTTCAGCTCCAGGGAAAGGAGCCACATCTGAGCAAATCGTTCTTAGATCAGGATTTTAAGGTCCCTGGCTCACCGATGCATTTGCAGCTGTGACGGTCCCATCTTTCTTGAAAACTGTAGGGAGCTTTGCCAACTGTTCCAGAGTCGCCTCCGGTCGAGGGTGCTCATCCCGCTCCATGCTCTGCTTGCCTTTCTTGGTTTTCACTTCAATAGGTGCCATTTCAGCTTTGAAGTGTCCGGCTTCTTGGGCTATAAAAACAAGGCAGCCAACGTCAGTACGTCACAGAGGAAGAACCCAAAGAGATCGGTTGGTGATTAAATAAAACCCTCCGCAGGGGCCGTGCTTGAGGTAGATGACAAAGACGACACCCAGTGCTTCTCTTTTAGAAAAAATGGTGCTGGGACTCACCATGAACTTGTTACAGTATGTGCCACAATTTTAACCAGTGGTTTCCTTCTAGGAAAAAGGTGCTGGTACTGCGTACCTTTGAGCACCCCCAGAAAAAAACCACTGATAATAATAATTTTATTATTTCTATGTTGCCCATCTGACTGGGTTGCCCCAGCCACTCTGGGTGGCTCCTAACAAAATACTAAAAACACAATAAAATGTCAAACATTAAAAACTTCCCTAAACAGGGCTGCCTTCAGATGTCTTCTAAAAGTCAGATAGTTGTTTATTTCCTTGACATCTGAAGGAAGGACGTTCCACAGGGCGGGCGCCACTGCCAAGAAGGCCCTCTGCCTGATTCCCTGTAACCTCACTTCTCGCAGGGAGGGAACCTTCAGAAGGCCCTTGGAGCTGGACCTCAGTGTCTGGGCAGAACGATGGGGGTGGAGACACTAATTTTTTTGTGTGTCAAGCCTGAAAGAAATGGCCAGTGAAATTGGTTAACATTTGCTCATCTTAAAATACAGTGGTACCTCAGGTTAAGTACTTAATTTGTTCCGGAGGTCCGTACTAAACCTGAAACTGTTCTTAACCTGAAGCACCACTTTAGCTAATGGGGCCTCCCGCTGCTGCCGGAGCACGATTTCTGTTCTCATCCTGAAGCAAAGTTCTTAACCTGAAGCACTATTTCTGGGTTAGCGGAGTCTGTAACCTGAAGCGTATGTAACCCGAGGTACCACTGTAGTCAACGTTTTTAGTCAAAACAGCCTTTTAATGCTGTTTGGGGGAAGCTGGGAGGGAAGGGAAACATTCCCCTTCTCTTTTTCCTTGCATTTTATTTTCTTCATGAAACAGCATTCCACCACGCAAGTCCGCGGCTTGGAGTGGTGCAGCCCAGAGATAGGTCTACCACCTGCCACTTATGAAAACTAGGCTTCCCTTTGAAATGGATGGTGCTATTGTACGTTTTTAACCCTTGTAAATCCACTGACCAGCTTTCCACCTCTGCTGTGTCTTTACTGCATAGCGGTCACAGTCTTCCCTTGTGATGTTGTATTTCGCAGCAAGGTTTTCAGCCGTAACCCCCATAGGGGTTTTAATATGCAGATCTGTCAGCCCTGCCCACAGTGTGTCTTCTAGCTGCAAGGGGAATAAAACAGACAACGCAACAAGATTAGTAACACCATTGCAAGATTTTGGGGGTAATGAATTCAGTGCTTGTAGGAAAAAGCCAAACAACACAACACAAACAATGGCCAGCTTCAGGAATGACTACCGGGCAACAACTACCAGATATACACAAAGCTGCTGAGAGCAATGGCATAGCATCCAATGTCTGTACCTTGAGATCGGCTCCTAATTTTGTTCCAAAGCGGATATTTCGGACAGCATATGGACTTTGGCTCATACTTTCTGTTCCACCACACAGCACTACCTCCGATTCTTTAAGGCAAATTTCCTGTTTTGAGTGGGAAGAGAGAGAAAAAGCTCATTAGGGTTTTTTATATTTCACCATTTCAGGTTAGTAGTTGTGCGTCGGATAAGTGCATCAGAAAACACCTCCGCTCATTACAGATGAATCTAGACCAAGGAAGGACTTGGCAATACAGTAGTACCTCGGATTAAGTACTTAATTCGTTCTGAAGGTCCGTTCTTAACCTGAAACTGTTCTTAACCTGAAGCACCACTTTAGCTAATGGGGACTCCTGCTGCTGCCGCGCCGCTGGAGCACGATTTCGGTTCTCATCCTGAAGCAAAGTTCTTAACCTGAGGTACTATTTCTGGGTTAGTGGAGTCTGTAACCTGAAGCGTATGTAATCCAAAGCGTATGTAACCTGAGGTACCACTGTACCAATTTACTTATGGAGGGACAGCAGGCCAGTGCATGAAGGGAAAAAATGCTACTCCTCCACACCACCTTTCCGCAACCCTGTGGGTGTTGCACGAGGCTCCAAAAATTGTGTACCTGCACTAGGAGCTGTGTGCAGAGGAAGAGTGGCTGTCTACAACCCCCAATATCAGAGGCAGAATACAACTGATTACCAGTTGCTGGGGGAACAACAGTGGGACAGAGCAACTGCTTTCTTGTCTTGCTTGCAAGTTTTCCATCAGCAACAATGGGACTGTGCTGGACTAGTTAGCCCTTTGGTATGATCTAGCAAGGCTCTTATGTTTCCTAATCATTTTGCAACTACTTTGGAAGAGTTTTTGCTTTAACGGCACGGGCTTCTCCAAGAACTTTGCACTGGCTTTCTTTTCCTTTCAGGCACAATTAAGAGTTGATAGGGCCTTCGATAGCTTGGAGACCACCTCCTTCCATAGGACCCGCCCTTTTAAAGTCATCACCTATGTCACAGGTGGTGGGAATCTCTAGCCCATAGGCTCAGTGGAGGTCCCAGGGCCTCTCTATCAAGCCTGCCCGACCCTAGGTGGTCCCTTTGTGTTGAGTTTAGAAATTGAGAGCACAAAGAGGCAATTAATTGATGGTGCTTGCTTCCTACAGAACTCCATGATGTCATTGCAGACCACAGTCCAGGTCTGAGCACATTTTGTAAGAGATATACCGTATTTTCCCCTCTATAACACGCAGATTTTTTCTCCTAAAAAGGAAGGGGAAATGTCTGTGCGTGTTATGGAGCGAATGTGTGGTCCCTGGAGCCAAAAAATCAGACAAAAATCAAATCGTGAGTCACGGAGAAGGGAAACCTGAAAAGAGGAAGCGGCTGCTTTCCTGCATTCTGCCTCAGGGTCTTACTGCCCACCCTCCCCTGTTTCGTGGCTGTGTTTGCTCAAACGGAACAAAGAGCAGGGAAAGCCCCTCCCCTCCAGGCAAGCAGAGGGGAAAGCAGAGTCGTTCCTTCTAATTCCTCTCTGTGCACCGGTGCTGCGTCTAGGGACTAGCAGGCAACATGCAGGTGGGGGGGGGGGGAGAGAGAGAGAGAGAGAGAGAGAGAGAGAGGAGAGATGGCTGGCTTGGGTGGGGGGAAAATTTTGCCTTTCTTTCCTCCCTCCCGTTAAATCCCTCTCCTGCATTCTTAGCCAGCTGCTTCTCTGCACACCACACCCCTCTCATGCTCCTTTTCCCTTCTTTGTTTTTCCTTCCCTCCCCACTTAAAATGTGGTTACAAAGCATAGATCCACATGGATCCTCAGGATCTTTGCATTGGGTCACCCCAAATTCACCATCAGATCACATAGCATGTCCATGGCTACAGCCTGCCCCCCAAAAATCACGCACCCACTGTTGCCTGGGGCTGCAATGGTGCAAAAACGTGGTTAAAAAGCATGGATCCACATGGATCCTCAGAATCTTTGCATTGGGTCACCCCAAATTCACCATCAGATCACATAGCATGTCCATGGCTACAGCCTACCCCCCCAAAATCACGCACCCACTGTTGCCTGGGGCTGCAATGGTGCAAAAACGTGGTTAAAAAGCATGGATCCACATGGATCCTCAGAATCTTTGCATTGGGTCACCCCAAATTCACCATCAGATCACATAGCATGTCCATGGCTACAGCCTGCACCCCCAAAATCACACACCCACTGTTGCCTGGGGCTGCAATGGTGCAAAAACGTGGTTAAAAAGCATGGATCCACATGGATCCTCAGGATCTTTGCATTGGGTCACCCCAAATTCACCATCAGATCACATAGCATGTCCATGGCTACAGCCTGCCCCCCCAAAATCACACACCCACTGTTGCCTGGGGCTGCAATGGTGCAAAAACGTGGTTACAAAGCATGGATGCACAGGAATTCTCAGTATTTTTGCATTGGGTCACCCCAAATTCACCATCAGATCACATGTCTGTGGCCACAGCATGAAGCACAAAAATGATACATCTATTGTTTCATTCAGAATGTTTTTTCCCTTGTTTTCCTCCTCTAAAAACGATGTGCGTGTTATGGTCAGGTGCGTGTTATAGAGCGAAAAATACGGTAGTTTGTGCCTGTTTGGGCTAGCCAAGCTTAAATTGAGGAAATGGATCAGATGACGCGAGAATATTACAGTGGTACCTTGGGTTACCTACGCTTCAGGTTACAGACTCCGCTAACCCTGAAATAGTACCTCGGGTTAAGAACTTTGCTTCAGGATGAGAACAGAAATTGTGCTCTGGCGGCGCGGCGGCAGCAGGAGGCCCCATTAGCTAAAGTGGTGCTTCAGGTTAAGAACAGTTTCAGGTTAAAACTGACCTCCGGAACGAATTAAGTACTTAACCCGAGGTACCACTGTATTCTACTCTGTTGTTTAGTTTTCTCTTTCATCACCAGTTGTGTGAACTGCTTTATAAAAAAGTACAGGGGTACCTCCAGTTGCGGATGGGATCCGTTCCGGAGCTCCGGTCATTTCCCAAGGTTCCCACAACTGGAGGGATTGCTTCTGTGCATGCGCACACGGCAGTAGAGCGCTTCTGAGCATGCGGTGAAACCCAGAAAAATACTTGCGGGTTTGCAGTGTTCGTATCCTGAAGGATACGCAACCGGAGGTGTGCGTATCCAGAGGTACTACTGTAGAGTAAGCCATTCACAGTAATGCCCTTGTCTCCACTTTGCAACTCCCTGGTTATTATCATGCAATTAAAAAGGAAGATGGGAGTATCCAACACATTTATTATTTTCCCATTTCTCGAGTCTCTGCCTGACTTGCACTGGACAGCTGGGCTGATGGAGGACAGGAGAAACTTAGCAATAGGGTACCGCGAGAGCAAATCTAGTACCTGGCATCCATTGACGATGGACTGGAAGCCTGATCCACACAATCTGTTGACTGTTAGGGCAGGAACTGGGACGGGAACTCCAACACGCAAACCCACGTGCCGCGCGAGGTAAGCAGCGTCCGCAGAGCTCTACAAGGAAGGGCAGACGTACCACTTGGTTAATGCTGCTCAAAGCAAAAAAATGCAGGTAATGCATAAACTGCAATGCTTGGAAGTGAGAAAACATACAGAGGATCGGCCTACAATGGTTGCCATGTTACAGACTTGCTTGAAACTGCTGAACACAGTGAAACTAACTCAGATTAAACGTGCGTAGGATCGAGCTGCATGTAACTTTAAGGGAAGTGTAGGGCAGGCATGGGCAAACTCAGCCCTCCAGATGTTTTGGGACTACAATTCCCATCATCCCTGACCACTGGTCCTGTTAGCTAGGGATCATGGGAGTTGTAGTTCCAAAACATCTGGGGGGGCTGAGTTTGCCTATGCCTGGTCTAGGGTGACAGCACACTCAAATTCTGTTGCAAGGGGTAGAGATAATGTTCCAACGTCTAATTTGGAACTCCCCTCCCTCTTTGGAACATTTCCCCCTAGAGGTGTGGATGGTAATGTTGTTGGCTTTCCATTGCCTCGTTAACCCGTGTTATCCCAGGCTTTTGGAGGAGTTGCTTAGCCTGCTCTGGAGTTTTATGCTGCCCTATTGCTGATGTGGTGTAGTGGTTAAGAGTGGTAGATTCGTAATCTGGGGAACCGGGTTCGCTTCCCTGCTCCTCCACATGCAGCTGCTACGTGACCTTGGGCTAGTCACACTTCTCTGAAGTCTCTCAGCCTCACTCACCTCACAGAGTGTTTGTTGTGGGGGAGGAAGGGAAGGGAGAATGTTAGCCGCTTTGAGACTCCTTCGGGTAGTGATAAAGCGGGATATCAAATCCAAACTCCTCTTCTTCTTTGGTGAAAAGCAGCTAACCATCTTAATAAATAATCACAGTGGAATACCTCATGCCTGCTGGAATGCTGGGCATGATTTGGGAGAAATGGTCTTGCAGGGAAAATTTGAACACTTGGGAGGCTGAGTTCAGCCTGAAGGATGGCAATTTCCCATCCCTGGTTTAGGTTACCATCATGAAAGCCAGTTATATGCAGTGATGTGAGGTGGGAAATTTTGTGTCCCACAGGTTCATAAGCAACACTGAATGGGTGACAACCGCAAATACAGTATTAAGCAAGCCTGCCAATTTCAAAGTTGTAATTAATGCTTTTCAGGTGTTTATCCCTGGCAAGTTATGTGAGTCAGTATATCTCGTGCAGTTCTTTGGATTAACAAAATTTATTGGTGTGTCAACAGTTTCCAGTAAAGGTAAAAGTAAAGGGACCCCTGACCATTAGGTCCAGTCGTGGCCGACTCTGGAGTTGCGGTGCTCATCTCGCTTTATTGGCCGAGGGAGCCGGCGTACAGCTTCCAGGTCATGTGGCCAGCATGACTAAGCCGCTTCTGGCGAACCAGAGCAGCGCATGGAAACGCCGCTTACCTTCCCGACGGAGTGGTACCTATTTATCTACTTGCACTTTGACGTGCTTTCGAACTGCTAGGTTGGTAGGAGCAGGGACCGAGCAACGGGAGCTCACCCCGTCGCGGGGATTTGAACCGCCGACCTTCTGATTGGCAAGTCCTAGGCTCTGTGGTTTAACCCACAGTGCCACCCGCGTCAAAATTTATTAGTGTGTCAACAGTTTCCAATACCTTTGTTTAAATTTAAGGATCGGGGGGTGGAAACAATGTAAGTGAAGTACATGTGTTTGTATTTAAAATTTACAAGTATTCTAGTCAAATTTCCATAAAATACAGCATTAAAGCTGCATTAAGCACACTTTAATCTCACCCCTAAAATAATTTAGGTCCAATACTTGAGTTGTACCAAGACAAAAAAATAACATGGGACATGTTTTTGCAGTTTTCTTACTTAAATACAAATAAAATAAACATGTTCAATTTGGCATAATTTTTTAAAAAACTGGATGCAAAGTAAAAATCTTCCCCATATAAATTACCCTATGCAAATTATCCTAGGATACGAAGAACCAAAGCTTTTCGCTGCTCAGAAAACACCCACGCCATAGGCAAGAGTTTAGAATATAGGTAAAGGCAGGTCAAGGCTTTGGTTAGTATTAGTTATATAAAGAGCTTTCATTTTCACTGTGTTAATAATAAGACACGTGAACTTGGGTTAAGTTACTCTAAATGTCTTTGTTCATTAAGGACTGTACTTGTTATATGCACACAGAAAAAAATGAAAAAGTTGTAAAGAAAGCAAAACACATTCTGTAGGGTGCAAAAACATATTTACACGATTGTATGCATCTCATTCCTACCCCCAACAATGCCAGCAGGGGCAAATTCAATGACATAGAATACTCCAAGGGAAACTGTTTTACAAGTGACTTGTTAGAGCTGCAGTTGTTCCAGTTTATTTCTAGCTCCTCTGGAATGGGGCAACAGAGCAAACGTAGAAAGAGAAAGAACATTAGCATGAGTGCAACAAGAGGATTTGCCAGCTGGCATCTTCTGTGTCCTACCAACCTGCATGACATTGCCCACAACCACACTGTCAATGATTTCGGGAGACACTTTGCCAGCAGCCAGGGCTGAGCGTGCTGCAATCTCCGTTAAGTCTGTGGCAGTGAAGTCCTTGAGCAGGCCTCCATAAGCCCCAAATGGAGTCCTCTTGGCAGAAACAATGAACACACCTGGAATGGAAAAGTTGGAAAACACAATGATGAGGTACAGGAAGCTGTCTTATGAAAACTATTGGCTCAGTGAGCACAGTATTGTCTGCAATACTGAAGTGGGGCTTCAGGGTTTTAGTCAGGGAGTCTTTCCCAACCCAACATCATGGGGGCACCAAGCACTGAATCTGGGGCCTTTCACAAAGCCATGTGCAAGCCTTTCAAGATGAACATCTGTTGACAGAAGCCCATGGAGATAAATGAAGGCTTAAGATCCTACTCACCCCCTTCAGTGAATACAGCTGTTCTTCCAACAACTAAGTATTAAGTAATACGGAAGTGATATGAAAACAAGCCTGCTTTCATAGTTACTATTTGCTTAAATTGGGTCCAAAGTATTTGCTTTTCGATGAGCTGTGTGGAAAAGTGTGCAGTCATCACCAGAGACATCAATTCCCTGAAATACTCATTACTGACAAGGTCTTTAGACCAAAGGCCTATTAAAAAGACCAAAGGCCTATTTACCGGTAATCTGGTGATCCTGGAAGTAGCATATAGCCCCTTATACTCCCTGAAAGGAGCAATTTCAGACTCAAAGGCTGCAAGCTGTGCCTTTTCACGGTTACAGAAAAACACCTGGGGCATTGCACAAGTTTAGAAATGCAAGCCAGTGCAGCAATGTTGTTCATTATGTGGAAACTAGTATATACTCATGACAGCATTCATCTCCCTATTTGCATACAAAGTCTCTGCAGCTTCGAAAGCATGTTTTACCAGACATTTTGCAAACTAGTTAACTCCTTATCCACTGAAGTGTCCACATATGCTTAGGGATAGCCAAAGCCTTACAGATAGTGATTCCCATGTCCTATTTCATGATCTCAAGAGGGGACTACCTACCGTATTTTTCGCCCCATAGGACACACTTTTTCCCCTCCAAAAATGAAGGGGAAATGTGTGTGCGTCCTATGGGGGGAATGCAGGCTTTCGCTGAAGCCTGGAGAGTGAGAGGCATCGGTGCGCACTGACCCCTCTTGCTCTCCAGGCTTCAGGAAGCTATCCGCAAGCCTTGCAAGCCCGGCGGGAGTTCCCGCGGGCTCACAAGGCTTGCGGGCAGCAGCCTGCAGCCCTGGCGAGTGTCCGCAAGCCTTGCGCGCCTGGCGGGAGGTCCCGCCGAGCGCGCGAGGCTTGGGGCAGCAGCTTGCCGCTCGAAGCACGGGGAGCCCTACGGAGGGTGCCCCGTGCTTCGGGCAGGTGTGCGCAAGGCTTGGGGCGGCAGCCGCGGCTGGGGGGGGCAAATAAATTTTTTTTATTCATCCCCCCCCCAAAAAAAGAGGTGCGTCCTATGGGCCGGTGCGCCCTATAGGACGAAAAATATGGTAGTTCAACATCCCTGGCTACACCAAACCTGAGCAAGCCCCCCCCCAGGGCCTAACTTACAAGGGTCTTGCAAAGATTATTGAGATAATATGCAAGAACGGCTTTGCACATTTGAAATACACTGTATAAAACAATTATTATGAGGCTATCCTATTCATGGAAGCTTTGAAATGCTTAGATTGCAGTCTAATTTTTAGATGTAGTTTTTTTAAAAGCCAACTTTTTCATACAAAGTCTCTGCAGCTTGGTGGCTTTTTACTACAGTAAACATTTCAGTGTAGAATATTATAGATTTTTCTTAATTTGGAGAATGTGGATAGATATCTTTCAAAATGATCGACAATCTGTTATACAAATCAATCAATGCTAGGAGCAGTTTCTTTTTGTTTTCTAATGCATTTCTTATCAATAAAAAGTTCTCTTCTCAGCCTCCGTTTCCCTATCTGCAAAATGGGAACGATCCCAGTTCAACTCCCGGGGCAGCTGCATGGGCAAACACAATAAAACCTGATTGAAAAGCTCTGCCTTTGAAGAAGAAAGAAATAATAAAAAGCAAAGGTATGCACGCCGGCAATAAAATAATAATAATAAAAAAGAACCACTCCAAGCCTCGTTTCTCCTATCCTGTGCTGCTTCGTGTTCTTTGCTCCAAAGCCGTGTTTATTCAAACTGCGCACAACGCAACATAAAAACAAAGTAAACATAAAACATAAAAATCTTGCATTTGTAGTTTCTAGGGCGTGTGCTGCTCCCAGATCTGGAAGCGCGTGTGCAGCGTCAGGCTTGCAAAATGCAGCCCTGAAAGGAAGGGGAAGAGATTCGGAAAGAGAAGTTTTAAGCCCGGGGAACAACTACTTGCCTCTGAGCAAAGCCATGGCCGCCGCCTCCTCTTCCGTCTCCTGGGCTGAAGGTCTCCCTTTGCACGCCCTGATGCAATCCCGAGGCCCAGCCTGCAGAGGGGGCGGGCGGAGGGGGCCGGGACCAGACCTTGCGGTGCTTATTTTCTTCCCCTCCTCCTCCTCCTCCTCTTGCCCTTTCCCCTACTTCTTCCCCGTCGCCCAGCCTCCTCGCCTGCACAGTCACATCCAGCACAAACGGACTCTGCCTGCTGCTCCTCGAGAGGAGGGAACAGGTGAGACGCGTGGGCAGGTAACGCGTGGGATAATGGGGGGTAGCAACCCCAAATTTGGGTTACTCCTTTGAATCCTGCTCCTTTGAATTGCACCAATTCAATTGCAATAATAGCAATTGAATTGAATAATACCAGTTGCAAATAATAGCGGTTTCCTTTTTAATAATGCTTTTATTTAGTTTTTGGAATGGGCTGGGGGAGAAGGAACTCGTCTCTGGGGAGGGGCAGGCGACTGGGTAATAATGCCCGATAATGCCCAGGTGCTCTCTCCGCATGGTCATAACGATTGCTACAAAAACGAGGAACCCCCGTGTGGAATCTGCGCCCGTGGATGTCAAACTGGGCGGGGAAAGGAGAGTAAAGGGAGGAGCGGTTTGGGGCGCGGCAGTTTCGCGCCAGCCGTTTCCGGGGCAACGCGGCCTGCTTCAAGCTAAAGCGCCTGCCTGGGGAGTGTCTGTCTGTGGGTGGGTTTGTTGTTATTATTTATTAAATTTGTGTGCCGCCCACCACCCATATATTTCAGGGCGGTTCACAGCATAAAAAATACAAGATAATAAAACATTGAACGAATTAATTTATTATTTCGGTCACAGACCAGTTCCAGCCCACATACAAAATCATGGAATTCATAAAACACGATAGGGATGCATTTGAATTTGCAATTAGGTATAACAGGGACAATACAGATATAGCAACCGTTTAAAAATATATAAATTAAAACTTAGTCATTAATATATAACCTAAAATTATCATTTAAAACCTTAACCATTATGAGAGCACAGCTTGTTCCCTAAGTTTTATGGCAGGTGCACAGAATTTGGCTACCCTTAACGTGATCTCAGGATCCTTGTCGTCTACCAGGGATTATAGGCATTGAAGTTCAGATTCATTTGGAGATTTTTGCATAGATAATAACACAAAATGCATGATTAAAACAAGAAAAGCAAAATAATAACTGCCCCCCCCCTGGCCAAAGTTGGTGATGGATTCTGGCTCCTCACAGACCTGTGATTGCTCGCACTTTTTAACAAACCAAAGTTCCCAGGATTCTTTGGGGTGTGTGCTTTCGATTTATGGTGTGTACCTAGCATACCTCTCAAGGATTCCTCCTCCCTGCATCTCTAACTGCAAGGAGCCACTTAAAAGCCCCCAAAGGAGTGAGCAAACATGCAAATCCATCAGTTTTGAACCTTTTATCACTTTATCTCTCCAAGTCTCCCAAACAACTATGGCATTGGGCAGCCAGGATAAATACTGAGAGTAAATAAGCAAATGAGCAAATAAGATGTCTGCAAACATGACGTGGAGGCTGGCAACATCAACCCCACCAGGAGACAGACAGGCTGTGCATCCATAGCATTCACCAGGCAAGGAATGGCTGCTGGGAGGAGCGCAGAGAGAAGAAATGGTGCATCTGTAACAGTGAAACTTGAGAAATGTTCCCATGGCTCCTGATATCATGGATGCTGCTCCACATGTTCCTAGCGGCATTGTGGAGAAGGTTCACAGCAGGGCGAGGTGCTTGGTGATGCCTAGCAGAGACTCTTACTCTCCAACTGTTTCCAGAAAAGGGATGATGGGACACTGAGCTCCTTCTGTTTTCCTTGCTCTGCTGGCGAAGGTGCATATATGTGCTTTTCGGCACTCAGACTCATTGCTGGAAAAGAATTTTCTGAAGAAACAAGGACTCTGTTCGCTGCCACAAATAACGCCAAGTGTTAAAACTGTAGAGAATCATGTTCCATGTTTGTGTGTGGTGGTGTTGGATGGGTGGGAGGCCAGATCCCATCGAAAGTGACTTCACAAAATAAGGAGGGTGCACATCTTCCCCAGCTTCATCTTCCCCTCAGCAGCGCTTGTAACTTTCCAGCAGTTTGACTTCACTCCCAAAGGCGCACTTCCTCCATTATCTCAAAAGGCAGACGGATGCCAGCAACAACAAAGCACAAAGCTCAAAAGCTGTGTCATCTTTGTGATCGTTGGTAGGTCCTAATAATGTTATTACCTTACTAGGTAATAACCCCCTTGTAATATACCAGCACATCATCCTGCAATTTTTGCTTGAATATTCTCCTTTAGCTAATTTTTGTTGCTTCTTAAATGTTTATAGACGGTTTTTGGAAAATTCATAGTGAGCCTCCCAAACAGAGGTGGTTCGGTCTTGCAAAGCCACTCAGTGGAGAAAAAACGAGAGGGCTGTTGCTACATCCCTTGCTAGTAGACTCCTGGCATATCTGATAGGCCAGTGTGGGAAGTGGGATAGATGGATCTTGGATATGATGCGTCAGAGATCTCATTGAATCCATTTGGCCTTTCCCGACTGGGTGGCATTCAGTCACATACCAGCAAATTTGTGTTGTGCAATTATAGCTTATTGGGAGGGTCTTGCTCAACAAGCACTCTTTCCTCAAAAGATAGTAAACTTTTTGCTTTATCTGCCGAAGGTCTCAAGGTCCAGTCTCTGGCATATCCAGTTGAAAAGGGTCAGGTAGAAAGAAGGTGATGAGAAAGGCCCTTGTGAGGGACTCTGAATCAGGGGAGACAATCCTAGGCTACATGCAAACACCTGGTATAAGACATATTCCTACGTTCCTAGGGATAGATTGCTAAATTAAGTTTTTTTAAATGCAAAGGGGCAAAAAAAGCCAACAACTGCAGACTGCAATCAATAGAGGCCCAAATGCTGTTTCAGATCTCATGGGTTGAACCTAATTGTGAAGTTTTGTAGCGCTGGTTTCTTTTAACAGCCAGCCACCTGTATTCAAGGGGAGGCAGCAGTATGGATAGCTGTTTACAGAATCAAGTGTCTCCACTGCATTATGAGGCATTTATATTTTGTCAAAATAAATGTGAACTGAAACAAGATAATATATATGACAAGCCGAAGCTGGGAGCTTTAGTGGAGGGTGAAAAAGCATACTAGACCATGTTTTTGCTATCATTTATTATGAAATCACTTTAAGATGCTTCATAGGAAGTGATTCACGAACGAAATAGATACAAGGCTGTCAGTTTTACGCCTTTTCTGTCATGAAGAACCTGGAGCATCTCAGATTGTTGTTCTTGGGTTATTATGCATATCAGAAATAGATGTATGCAACCTTCCCAAACAGTAGCATATTATGTAAAATACTGAAAAAACATTATCGGCCTTCTGTTATAGTTCTTGGGAATCATAGTTTCATTGATCCTGTTTGCAAGCTCTCTTCTTTGCCCTGCTGCAATGGGTTTTCAGGCTCTCTTTCCCCCTCTGCTTCTGCAGTCCTTAACTTATGCGTCAACTATCCCAGGTTTTTCTCTGCTCACTGGCTTATCGTTTTGTTTTAATTTGCTATTGCTGTTACTTCCTTTTCTCCTCTCTGTTTCAGTGTAGGGAGAAGATGCATACATAAATCCATACATCCATAATTTTTTTTAAAAAAAATATGATTCTGCACTGGGAGTGGGGGCTCAGGAAGGTGGAAAAAGGGGCTAGATCAGGAGTGAGAATAATTTTTCTAATCTATCTTGTTCATAAGCTCTTGAAAAACTCTCACCATTGCAGTTCCTGGTCTGTGATGAATAGCCCACTGCGCAATCTGAGTTCTGTGGAACTGAATGATGGAATTTGTGCTAACAAAGGCATCTGAGACCAAGAAATAACTGATATGTCCCTAGTGCTGCAGTTGGATGCTGATGTACAAAAAGAAACTTAACGAACAATAAAAGGTGTTCCTTAAGTGTTGCTAAGTAGATTAAAACACAGCCTGTCTATATTATGGATATGTCGTAGTTAAGAGTGTTGAACCTGGGGAGATCTGATTGGTGAGATAGGAGTTCAGATCTTTACCCAGCCATGAAACCTCCTGGCTGACTTTGAACCAGTCGTGTGCTGTCAGCCTAAACTACCTACCTGAGCAAGAGTTGCTTCTGAATGCCAGGAAACCGCAGGAGTGGAGAGGGCTATGGTGCTCTGCTTGTGGGTTTCCCCATGGCATCTGTTTGGCCACTCTGAGAGCCAAGTGCTGGACTAGAATGGGCCATTGGCCCGCTGCAACAGGCTCTTCTTAGGTCCCTCATAGGACTGTTCGGAGGAGAACCATATACCTGACTCATTGCAGGAGTGGCTAGATTTATTACATTTATCTCAGTCAGTAAAGCGTTAGACTCAATCTCAGAGTCATGGGTTGGAGCCCCACTTTGGGCAAAAGATTCCTGCATTGCAGGGGGTTGGACTAGATGACTCTCGTGGTCCCTTGCAATGCTACAATTCTCACTCACTCTGCCCCCATTCCAAAACTTTTAACCTTTTAAATCCCACTGTGTAAGAATTGGTACCTTTCTGACTTCCAAATGCTAAGATCTTTATTGACATATGTTAATATCTCAAGCATTGAACTCTTTTACCTCCTCAAGAAAGTATTCAGTAGGGCAGCTAAAATTGTGCCCATGCTTATTTTGGAATAGGACTAGCATTGTATCAAGGCACACCCCATTTGCGCTGAACTGTTCCAGAAATTAAGCACTCACACTTATATATCAGTTACCTCTGAATATTTTTCACAGAATACAGGTTTTTCTCCAAAAGCAGCAGAAGTTTCTCATCCTCTTGGTGAGAATCATTTAAGTCTTATGTCATCTTGCAAGGAGGAGCTGCCACGTTGTAACTCTACCCTTCTAACGGCTCATAGCAATAGAACTCTTACATCATTTGTGAAAGGCTTTCTCTCTGAGTTTGTGGTCTCTCAGATTCGATAAAGTCCCTGTTTTATTATTTTGCTTCTCTTGCTTGATTTAAAAAAAACAATTAAAAAAAACATTAGCTATGCCAATGCAATTACACCAGGGATTAAAGGCAAAATAAAACAACAACAAGAAAATTACATTGGGAGCAAGGGATCATGGTTACTAACAAATATATTTGTTCTCCATTGCAGATTTCTTCACGTGGCCCTTGGATCCTGCAGCACAAGCTGCCACGCAGAGAATGAAACAAATGCAAGTAATCTACAGTGTTTAATGGCAGGCTGGTTTTTTAAATAAATGTAATGAAAGGATACCCAATAGTGTGCTATTGGTTTGGTTTTGCCTTGTCTTGGCCGTAGGTTGTTAGTGAGTTCCTCCCATTATGGCAATGGTCCAGAGTTTTTCAAACCACTTTAGCTTTTCTCCTGCCTTCCTATGATGCACTACAGGGAGTCTGTACAGGGAGTCCCTATAAGCAGTAGGGAAAACATACCTTTCGTTGCTTTTTCCTTAATTGTAGTTGAAACAGCATTAAAGGCTGAAATCCATAAAGCTTCTGCCACTGAGGAGGCCCATCACATATGCCATAAAGTGTCATGGAATTCACACCTTGTCTAGCATAGCTAAGAGCTTTTTACCTGCAACTCTGAACAGCCTCAACAGGGTACAGGTTGCTATCTTGTACCCCTGCAGAGATGGAATAGAGGTATACACCCTGTCACACCTTATTCCATTAAACTTTACCTTTTTATAAGCTTGACTTTATTGCTTTTGGTCTGTCAGAAGCAACCACGAACCAAATAGGAATGTGAATTGTTTTATTGGCACTTCTTTGCTATAATAATGTTTGCTCTTCAGAAGGGTTAATTCAGGAAACCCTAGATGCCATCATTATTTAAAAAACCACAAGCCCTATAATCAGAGGTCTACCTCTTAAGCCTCCTGTTCATTTAGGTACAAGCCCCATCATGTTCAGTGGGCCCTACTCCCAAGTAAGGATTCCTTACATAGTATTCCTGCCCTAGTCTTCACATTTCAAACTGGATTGTTTTTCAAAAGGCCAGAGTACTTTCTCTTTTCCTAGGATAGAATTGTTCAAGAAAAACAGTATGCAAATACATTGTGGGCCATCATAGGTTTAACACTGAAATATATTTCCCTATCAGCTTGTACTTTGCTATTCTGCCAAATGAAACCAGGGATGTTGATATGTATATCTGTGCATGCAAGATGCAAATTTCTTGCATACAGCAATGCAGAGATAAGAACCTTTTGTAAAATGCTTTTGGGAAGAACTGACGTGGATAAAAGGAGGTATTTTAGTACCTTTTCTCATCCTCTCACCATCCTTCCAAATTGGGGCCATCAGGATCTGGCTGGCTCTGGGCTCAAACTCACCCTTCAACTGATATATATTTGTTTACTATACATATATCTGAATATTTTTTTAAAAAATAATGGTATACTGATACTTTACCAGACATGGAACCCACTGGCAAAAACACAGGTGGATGTGTTTAGGGTCAGAGAGCCAGCCAGGTACATTCTGAAAATGTCAACTCATCCTCAGTTCTGCCCATGAGAAGGATTACGCTTTTGAAATGGGAATTATCAATCTCATGCAAATACGACGTTTTCAATGCAGTACACTAGAAATTAAGTCCCAACAGCCTCCCACATATTCCAAAGTATTTATTTCACAATATTTTATGCACAACTGAAGGACAGTGACTATTTGTCGTTTTCCTACAAACAGAAAGTGTAGTTTACAGATCTGTTCAAAATGGAAAAATATTTCTTTTACCAGCAGTATCATTTCATCTACATTTTTGGGACTTGCCTTCAAAAGTCATTCAAGTACCTTCAGAGCAGCCGGCCTATCAACCTGTGGTGACTAAGACTCGGCATGCACACAGCAAATTCTGGATTGGCTACTGCTAGGCAAATCCTTATTTCCCTTTTGCACATCCATTTTTACTGTCAGGCCTTTGTGTTCTTTGAACAATTCTAGTATTTAAGGGGAATGTTATTGGCTGCTTGTATTTAAAATATTCAGCCTTAATTCAGAAAGCAAACTGTTCTGTTACACCATCAAATACATAAAAATCCAATAGGTTGAGGAGACAGGCGTAAATGGGCTTGTACAATATATTTTGATTGGCACAGTTATAGGATTATTGTAGCTGGCTATCCATAATCCCAAGTCGTTCTGACCTCTAAAATTACAGTCCTATTACAGTTTAGCAGTCTGACAATAAGAAGCAAGTCCATGTTGTTAATGTAGTGCTGGCATGAGGAGGAAATATGGCTTAGTGTTAATACACCTTTACAAACGCTTGCACAGCTTGCAGCAGCCTGGTCAGCCACTGCAAATTCTTGCATACTTTATTTCTATAACATCTTAAAAGGGACAATAGGAACGTAATGCTTCTGTTCTCTTAATCCTGTTTCAGTTCGGGAGCAGGCTGTGTGTCTGTGTGCTCCTCTCCTCAATGTGAATTTCCACCGGCCTTAACTTTTGTTTCAGTGTCACCACTGGTGTCAGTCCAGGTTCCTACTTAAGCATTAGCTGCAACTAGCAGTGGTACTGATGTAATAGAAAAATGTGATTAACAGGTGGTGGGGAAAAGGGAACACATAGACCCATGGCCTGCTACCAGTGTCTTAATCCTGGTACACACATAATATTGCAGCATGATTTTAAATAGGCATGATTGTGTAGTCAAATAGCTGATTTCACTGGCAGTTGTTGATTTTCATAGGGTTTGGGTCTGACCAGTCTCCCCTCAATAAATAAAGTTATGGTGCTGGGGTACCCTAATGCCCAGCTCTGACAATTAGTTTCAAGGGCACAGCCAGCCAATTCGCTTTGGGGATTTAGATTCAATGCAAACTGTCCATGTTCATTGAACATGTATATGATGAAGTTGTGCGGACACCCTGTTGTGAACCCCTGTTTATTGCATTATAGTACAGTAATCTGAAGCCTTGAGCAGAGGAGGCTAACCTATTTTTGGACTACCACTCCCAGCGTCGCTGACCATTTGGCATGCTGGTTAAGGTTGATGGGAATTGGAGTGCCACAGGTTAGTTACCCTTGTCCTAAAGAAGTGACAAAAATAAAGCCAGCACAGATCAAAACCAAGTCCGCACCCACCCAAGCAGTGTGGGAATCAGCCCCAAGAAGTTCAGCGACTTTATAGGATTTCTGCCAAGTCCAGGAAATTGAAATGCTCCCTTCTCTCTTTGGAAGTCTGCTGCTGGAGGAAGAGGATAGACAAAGAGAGATATCTACCTTCTTGCTGGTTATGGCTGCAGATTTGTTCCAGCCTCAGTTGATATATTCCTGCTGCTGCATAGAAAATCTTTGTAACACCCCTTTCTCAACCCGCGATCTCATTGCTGGAAGGAAGGGAGTAACAAAAGTGTGTTGGGTTGGGGTTTTTTTTGCTAGCTACGGCACCATTCATGGAATAGTGATCAATGACTGCTTCATCAGCACATGATCATCAGCTAATTGCTACAGTAAGAATTTCACACATGAATTCGTCTCTGGGAGCAGTTCCAATAGTTATAAAAAGATCCATTGCCCAAATTTAACTGACACATAATTATGAATTACTGACTCAGGAAAAAAAACCCTTAAGTTGCTCACTGGTGACGTGTTCTTCCCATACTAGCTGGACTAAGTATAGAGAAGTTACATGCTGGGCTATTCGTTGCTAGGGGACCTTCAACATTGCTAATTTGACTGCTATCCCCATTCAATTGCCCTTTATTATGAGGAATGTAATATATGCTGCATTCTCTTCCCCCCCCTTCTCAATTTGTGGGTCTGAATGCATTTTTAAAATTTATTTTGCTGTTAATATGTGTGCTGATTAATTATGAATGTGTGTTCCTACAAAGCAGGGTTTTCCATGTTAGCAAAAGGGGCGGTGCGCGTGAGCAAGCATCAATGTCTGCACATCCACACTTTTGGACACATTTCCCTTTAAAAAGTCATGTATGGGGTGGAGGCTTAGAAAACTGCTTGGGGAAAGGCCATTAAACCCAGTTTGGATTCTGTGCAATTGCTAGACTGCATCTATTGTTTACAGTGAATACTGAACTTGCTTCATCGACTTTTGAACATGTCTACTTCAAAATTTCCAGTGTCAACTGTCTACTCACAACTCCAAAGGCAATTTTTGGTGACATTTAAAGGTTTCCCCAGAATTATTAACACTCAGTCTTGAAAAAATAGTGATTGAGAATAATGGTGAAAAGGCACACAGTGGGAAAGTACTCTATCAGAAATATTTTAAAATGATGAAATAAATGACACCAACCACCTTTTTGAACTGTGCTAAAGAGTTTTAAATGATATTTAAATGGCTGATGAGGAAGAGAGAAGGCATGTTTGTGCAGGGCAATACCAGTGAATTGGCTTTTTAAAAAGTAAGTCCCAAGATATCTTAAAAACAGATAACATAAAAATTACATACATCAAATATATTTAACATGAGATCCTTCTGAAAATCTTTTGCAGTTAAATATTACAGTTATTTACTCAGTTCATATCTCTTTCTATACTAACAGTTAGATTTTTAAAATATACACAGATATAATACATAATATAAATAAATTCTCCTTGCAGTGCTGTAGTGAAATACCATCCTCAGGAAGAACATTAGCCACATTTTATAAATACGTTTTCTAGGGTCGCTGTGAAAGTGGGTTCTGCAGCTCCTTTTCAGTTAGCCTACCTGGTTAGAATTATGGTTAGCAATGCATGGTGATTCAGTTGCAGCTGGAACACTTTAAAAAATTGCACAACTGGATACACAGAAACAGGTGCAACTAGAGAAACTGTGTGAACACATACTTTCTGCTTAGTCTAGAGTGCAGGACAACACTAAATTCTGCATTGCACTGGAGAAATCAGGAGCGGTCACCCAGTTCACCTCCCCCCGACGTTTAAGGGGGCAAATGCTCTTGTTCATCACAACTGGCAGAGTGCCCCAACCTCAGGCTGATTGTATGGGAAATGGAAGATTTGATCCTGGGAAGAGAACATAATGCAGAAAGAAAATTACCTGGCTGCTGCAGTACCGACTGTGGCTTGGATGCTGCTATTCTTGCTTTTATGTCATTTAATTGACCATTACTGTGCACTGGCTAAAGAAAAAAAAGAAGTGCCTGGAATTTATTATTTTAAAAAGAAGCTTCAAAGGAAATCTCCTCAATCATGCTGGAAAGAGACAGTTGTGGTATAAAGAAAGTTGTTTGCCAAGGTCAAGGAGAAGAATGGCTTTGTTCAGCGAAGGCAACATACTGATTGTGCTTCCTTATTCTATCAAGCTTCAAACCCACAAAGCTGGCATGCCTAAGCACAAGGGGTCAGTCATGGCAACTGCTGGAGAATAGGCTCTGTCCAACATTGGTTTGCCGCATGCAGGAAGTCACAAGAGAAAGAGGCAAAGTTTGCCATGAGAACTGGCACTTTCTATGCCCAAGTAGGGTGTGAATGAGGAACAATGCGGGGGGGGGTGTGTGTCAGGGGAGGATTCCCTTGACTGGAGCATTATTGGGTAATTTCACCACCATGAGACTGGCTGAAACCTAACTGGGCACCTTTGGCAGGGGCAAAAAAACTACCAAACAGAAGCTCAAGGCACTGTAGAACTGAAGCAATATTCAGCTGAAGGAGTAATGTCTCAAGTGCATGCTGAAGCAATCGTTACTTGCCATAGTTACTGGTTTATGAATTAGGAATATGAAAAGCTATATTAAACCATGAGCCCCAGAATAGTTCCATTTTGTATTATAACCTCTGTTCAACTGCGATGTTAATACACTGCAGTGTTGCAGCAGCGGATTTGTAAGTGCACATTAGAAATGCGGAGTGAGAGAGACGATTTTTGTGTATCGGGTGACTGCAGGACTTTACTTGTTCCTCCCTCTCTCTGCATGTTGTTCTTCCAAGGACTCGATACTGCAAGGTGTTGAGCAACGTAGCCTGAATCAAGCAATACCTCAATATGCAGACTGCTGAACTTTTAAAAAAGAGAGCAGTGACCCTTGGGACTCATCACCTGCTAAAAATGGGCAAGTACTCCAGTTCTTTTCTGAATCAGATCAGAATGCTTAGGACCAGTCCATTGGTAAAAACTGTATTCTATTATAAGGGAGATACTTCGCAAGCTGGGTATTCGATTTGCAGCAGTCAAAATCTCCCTCTTAGAATTGGCTAGCTGCCTAAGTTCAAGTTGCAGGAAGCTGCTCTGCATTTCTGATGCTCTCTGATAGTAGGTTGAGTGTTGCCTTTGCAAAGCTTAATAGTTTTGAAAGCAACTGAATAGGTAGGAATTGCAGGTGTACTTTAATGTCAAAACAATAGAGAGTTGAGAAAGCTATTTACTTTAAACCCAAAGATTAAAAGCCGTATTGGTGAAACAGTTTCTATTTGTTACACTGGTCACGTTCACATCCTGGCTTGGTAAGTGAGGATACGCATGCAGCCACTTCCCTCTTCCCTTTGCACAGGCAGGGAATTACGTCAGGAAGCTGCAGTTAACCATGGCTTCCTATCATGTGCAAACCTAGAAAGTATGGTGAATGTCTTTCAAACAAGCCAGGACACAAAGCCATGGTTTAACATTGGCTTCCAGATCCTGGGTTGTTTGGAAACCATTAACCATAGTTTCCTGGTTTGTGTGTAATGGCAAGTCATGGTTAACAGTGGATTCCTGCTTCATTGCCTGCTTACTTAAAAGCACTGAGCTCAGGCAGATCCAGTTTCTTAAGCCATGTTTCATTAGGCAATCGAGTCTCTGATGGGGAAGTGGTGCTGTTAACGCTACTGCATATTAGTGCCATTTTAGGAAGTTAAAATAATTTCCCTAACCATTCTGGTTTGCTTCAAATTGCTGGTAATGATGCAATGTCATCAGTGCTAATATCTCATTCTATTTCTCCCAAAAGGCCTCTCTGCCAACCAGCACTTTGCTACCCAATCAGATATGGCATCACACAACTTTTTCCATGGTATGAAGCAACTGCCCTCCACAACTGGCTTGAAACAAGTCACAGAGTTGGTTGAAGGCAAACCTTCCATTCAGATTGCCCAGCCAGTCCTATGGAAGCTCTGCCAGACTGTATCTTGACTTGACTTCACAATGATTCCTAACACGGCCAGGGAATCTGTCCTGCAGATTGGCACTGCCACTAGTAACTGTAAGGACTACTCAACTATGATAACAAGGAACAGACCTTTTTGTGAAGTATTTTGGACCTTGTACCCCTATCTATCTTTTCTCACAATCACAGTAAAAGCAATGTGTTCTCATACATATTGACAGGATAAAAGAGGCATAAAGATTTTGGATTGGTCTGAGTAAACTGCAGCAGTCTGCAGTGGAGCTGTAATTATAGGGCTGAACTCCTGCAGAGGTTTCTGGGTCCGTGATTTTCCTCTTTCTCAGTGTGGCACATGGGCAAAATATTTATGGCCACTTAATATACTGAAGGCAGGCTGGAACTGCCCCACTGACCGCTTCTAGGTTATGGTCCGTACAAAGTTGCCTTTGATGGAGCTGGGACAACAACTGTAACCATCTTCTTGTGCCCCAGATACAAGGAAAAAGCATTGTTCCCTCCACCAGTTAAATTTCCTTTCGGACTACATAATTAATTCTTGGTTTGGCCTACTGCAACTTTATTTCCCAAAACAATCATTTTGAAAATGAAGGGCAGCAGCAGAAATTCAGAAACTGAAGTTCAGTATGTGCAAGCAAGCCCCATAACCATGGACGCCGTTACGATGCATGGTCATGAAGGCTTCTTTCTATTATTTCAAGATAGAATTTCTCAAACCACAACCTAAGAAAATGAAAATAGTTATTCCATTTACCTGGTGCCTTAATGGCAGCAGGGAAAGAATATTTTTAGCATGGTATCAAGTGGTACAAACCCCCCACTTGTTTCAAGTATTCTTAGCAGCAAAATCTGCCTCCCCCCCCCAAAAAAAATCCCCTCCATACAAACCCAAAAGCATCCAACCAAAAATACAAGATTAGTTTCTTATGCTATACAATTCAGCACTGATTCACTAAAGTGTATTGGTTCATCAACCATCATTTGGTCCACATTTGAAGATATCCTTAAATTCCACTTTTTGCTTTTTTGCTTAGGAAATTTGGCTGGGAGTCAATATAGTATCTTCAAACTCTGTTGAGGAATTCCAGGCCGAGAGAAGCGGGGATGTGGATAGAGTCCATGGTTAGAGAAGAAGGGTTGAATGGAAACAGTACAGGGAACATGAACTTGAAGTCTAACAGTAGCTGTGGAGGTTCATTCCGCTCTTGCAAATTTGCCTGCAAGAAATTGGGGGCAAGGGGATGGGGAAGAAAACACACACATCAGCAAACAGACAAAATGCAGCAGAATTCACGTTGGAACACCTGTGTGGCTGAGACCAGCCTCATCCTCAGTTGGCTTTCTGCAGTTGGAAGAGGGGAATGAGTACTAACACTTATCTGGCTGCCATGGTAGTCAACTGAGCAGTCAAATACTGCGAATTGATTGACTGATAAAAGCCAAAGAAAAGAACTGTTTGGTGAATTGTTTATATTTACCAAAACCCTTCCGAGACCAAATCTTTTCATCAATTGGCTAATTGTAAAAATTTTGGTCTAAACGACCAACCATATTGGATTTTGATCCATTATTCTATATCAGGACTCTGGGTCATGGGAACCAAACCTTTGTGCCAAGAAAAGCTATTATTCAGCTATTCTTTTCCCTCAAAAGATTAGAATAATGGAAGGGAGGGTATGCTGAAAAGCTCCAACCCCTTCAGAAAGTCACCTTTCCCAAATCTGCAGCCCTCTGTGACTTGCAGGGCATTTTTTCCAAGGTAGGAAGCCAGGAGGAAATCTGGCCATGTTTCCAGTATTGCTTCTACAGGTCAAAGATACATGGCATCCCTCTCACTTGTCTGTGATAGAAGCATTTTGCAACAGTCAATATAAATCTGCAGAAAAGGAGCACAGCACATGGCTTTGCGTGCATGGAAGGTACAGTGGTATCTCGGGTTAAGTACTTAATTCGTTCCGGAGGTCCGTTCTTAACCTGAAACTGCTCTTAACCTGAAGCACCACTTTAGCTAATGGGGCCTCCCGCTGCTGCCGTGCCGCCGGAGCACGATTTCTGTTCTCATCCTGAAGCAAAGTTCTTAACCCGAGGTAATATTTCTGGGTTAGCAGAGTCTGTAACCTGAAGCATATGTAACCTGAAGCGTATGTAACCTGAGGTACCACTGTACCAGGTTCATTACTTATGTCTCCACCTCCAAGTGTGCAAGGAGTTAAGGCCTGGAAAGATCTTGAGCTGAGACTGTGGAGAGTCATTGCTATTTGAAATAAATAGAACTGGGCTACACCAATGGCCTGACTCGGTGTAAAGGAGCCTTGTGTGCTTCTATGAGTGACGCTGCACAGAAAAGGTACAGTCATACCTTGGGTTGAAGTAGCTTCGGGTTGAGCATTTTCGGGTTGTGCTTTGTGGCGACCCGGAAGTAACGGAACACGTTACTTCCGGGTTTCGCAGCTCACGCATGCACAGATGCTCAAAATGACGTCATGCGCAGAAGCGGTGAATCGTGACCCGCGCATGCACAGACGCGGGTTGCGTTCGCTTCAGGGTGCGAACGGGGCTCCGGAACGGATCTCGTTCGCATCCAGAGTACTAGTAAGAGGGGGAAGGAAACTGAGTACCTTGGGTTAAAAAAAAAAGCAATATAAATGCTTTTGTATCCCTGCGATCTATCCCTGAACCAAGGCTTTAAAAGCTCTGCCATTTAGAAAACACACATGGTTGGTTTTTCCTGTGAGGCAGAGGTAGAACTTCCCAATGCCTATCTGTTGGAGCACTCACCTGAATGTTTCTTATGAAGGCTACTGTCACACGCTCTTCAAATTCATTCACGGGAGTGTAGAGATTGAGTATTTTTACAATCTGTGGACAGGAAAATAAGACGGGGGCTTAGAGGAGGAGGCATACACAGAGTAGCTGAATTGATCCAGTGTGCCCTGCATCACCCTTTATTTAAAATAATGTAGCCACTTCTCTCAAGGAAAGAGGGAGAAAACTTAGGAACTAAGGGTGTAACTACAAGTTGCAAGGATAACACAGGGCACCCAACCTGGGTGGGGAGGGGAAGGTTAGATGCTTCCAGGTGGGAGTGGGTGCTTAACGTTTGCAACAGCTGCCCAGTGATTTTTATCCTGTAAATGCTTTCCTTTGGCTGAGGGGGTGATAACCTCAGAGAGGACTTGGGGAGATCCAGGGTCAAATTCTTGCTTGGCCTTCAAGCTCACCAGTAAGGTAAAGGGACCCCTGACCGTTAGGTCCAGTTGTGACCGACTCTGGGGTTGCGGCGCTCATCTTGCTTTATTGGCAGAGGGAGCCGGCGTACAGCTACCGGGTCATGTGGCCAGCATGACTAAGCCGCTTCTGGCGAACCAGAGCAGCGCACGGAAATGCCGTTTACCTTCCTGCCTATTTATCTACTTGCACTTTTATGTGCTTTCAAACTGCTAGCTTGGCAGGAGCAGGGACTGAGCAATGGGAGCTCACCTCGTCGCGGGGATTCAAACCGCCGACCTTCTGATTGGCAAGTCCTAGGCTCTGTGGTTTAACCTGCAGCTCCACCTGTGTCCCTAAGCTCCCTGAGCTCTTTAACCTCTCTCAGCTTGACCTATCTCACAAGGATGTTGTGAGTTTAAAAACGGTGTGGATGGGGTTTTTTGGGACAGCAAAACAATCTTGTGTTTGGCTTTGTCAAGTCTTTTGTTAAGACTTTGACCTCATAAACAAGTAAATCAAGGCATCCCTTCACCTCTTTACCTGCTGTGTGGTGAGGGCTGTGCATAAAGAACATATTGCCTCTGCATCTTCCGAGGTCTTCTTCTTCAACTGCAGGAGCTGTGCTGCTTGGATCAGAGGCTCCATGGTCTTGGCAGCCCCGCTCTGCTGTAGATTCTTTACTCGCAACCATTCCTCCAGTTGGCTGATGTTAAACCTGGACCGACACAAGAAGGCCATAATTTAAAAAATATATAAAATAGGAGGAGGAAGAGGAAATATTTCAATCCTGGCAGGTTGCCTCTGAAAGTGGCTGAGAAGATTTGAGTTTCCCAAGGCAAAAGAGACCCTTGGGTGTGCTCCTCTGTAGCGACTGACTCCCGAAGATGATCTACACAGCATGAGAGATGAGCTAAAGTCAAGGCAACTGGTATGATTGCGCTACTGCACCAGGGATGGCACACACAATGCTCCCACATTTTCTTGGTGAGGCAGTGCATACTACTGCCCTTCTTCCTCCTGAAAAACTGGTATCTATGGGACCGCCTCTCCTGGTCTGCCCCAGGAGGGCCTTAAGGTCCATGAATAACCATAGTTTAGAGGTCCCGGGCCCTAAGGAAGTCAGACTATCCTCCACCAGAGCCAGGGCCTTCTCAATGATGGCTCCGACCTGGTGAAATGCTCTGTCCCACGAGACTAGGGCCCTTCAGGATTTAACCTCCTTCCGTCGGGCCTGTAAGACAGAGCTATTCCGCCTGGCCTTTAATTTGAATTCAGCCTGATCTTTTATTTCCCTTTTCTTCCCTCCCCCTGCTCTTTTATGAAGATCACCCACTCTGAGACCCCACAGCTAATTCTCCCCTGGCCTCCTCGCTGGCCCAAGTAGGACCAGTTCAGCCAGCTAGACCTGGGGATTATCTATTGCTTATTTCCCCTAAATTGATTTTTGAATTTTAGCGTTATTCATTTTTTATACTGTATTTTATGCTGCTTTTATAATCAAATGTTTTAAATTGGTTGCTAGCCGCCCTGAGCCTGGTTTTTGAACCGGGAAGGGCGGGGTATAAATAAAATTTTATTATTATTATTATTACTGGGAGAAGCAAAATGGTGGCATTGGGAGACGTGCAGCCTTTGGGAGGGGTGGCTAAGTATGAGCCTGTGCTTTGGCCTGAAGCCCACCTGAGTTGCATGCCTGTGCTCCACGAGCAGACATCCTTCCTCAGCAGCAGATTGTTCAGGGCCACCGCATTGATCATGTAGAAGAGCTGTTTCACAGCCTGCTGGATGATCTCGGGGTCGAGGCCCTGGTCGTACATGACGCTGTGGAATGTGTTCAGCTGGCGGATGATGGCCTCCAAGGTGTAGAAGTTGTCGCTGTCCCCCATGCTGGAGGTCCGCTTGCGGTAGCCCATTGGCTTCACGCCCGACAGACCCTGGATGCTCTCGTTTTCTAACACCGCCGTCACTGGGAAGGAAAGAAATTACTGTATTTGTCACTCTATAAGACGCACCAGACCATAAGACGCACTTAGTTTTTGGAGGAGGAAAACAAGGGGGGGGGGGAATTCTGAATCTCAGAAGCCAGAACAGCAAGAGGGATCGCTGCGCAGTGAAAGCAGCAATCCCTCTTGCTGTTCTGGCTTCTGGGATAGCTGCACAGCCTGCATTCGCTCCATAAGACGCACACACATTTCCCCTTACTTTTTAGGAGGGAAAAAGTGAGTCTTATAGAGCAAAAAATACGGTATTTGCAAAAAGCAAACTAGGTGTCTTGAGAAACCTGAAATGCTTGTGTTTCAGTGCCGAGTTTTCCTAAATACCTCCACCCACCTATCCAGCTGCACAAGTCTGCCTGCCTCTAAATCATCTTTAAATTGCAGGCAATTTGCATTTCAGTCCCATGAGTGGATAGTAATGGGCTGTGGTGGTTGTAGTGGCAAATGAACGCAGCGCTCTGGTAGCCCAGAGGGAGCAATCAGCAGAAGGAACTTTCACCTAGCACCAAGGAAGACTTCCTTTGTCAGATTAATCTTCTCGCTCTTGGCATAGGGATGGATAATTTTATGCAGCATTCCTCCTGCGTCGGTGTTGGGGAGGATTAATTACTTAATGGTTATGAAGCACGGGAAAATGGTGTGGGTAACAGGATGGGTTGGAACTCAATTAACATACTGTAAAAATTACGAACACCTCTGCACAGAGGTATCATAAATACACACTGCAGCCGCAGCATGCAGTTTGAGTAACTTCCATATTTTAAGCCATTGCATAACACAGGCAGAAAAGGGAGGCAAGGAAAGGTAAGATTAACATTCCTAGATGAATCTGAAAACATTTGGAACTGAGTACCGAGCAAAGGCCTCAGGACTGTACAAATGACAGCATTTGCTCCCCCCCCCCAAAAAACTAGTTTCTAATCCTCGTGACTATGAAGATGCATAGGCCTGGTGAAATTTCAGGAATCATAGCAGGGATTCCTGTGCAATTAACGTTTAAATTCCTGTGAAGGGATTGTAGTGGGAAAACTCATTGACACAGATAATCCCCATTGGACGCCTGCCAGGTTCTGCTTTCAGATCAGTGCTTAAAAAACCACAAGGATTTTCAGTTCTCTTGCATACATTCCTCCCTAGCAACAACTCCAAAAATAGTTTCCATGGATGAAAACATGATGCCCAAACTGGCTGATAATGTGCACAAACCACCAAGAACTCCTTCACTGCAAACCCTACTGAAATGAGTAAGATGTGCTGTTTGGGGGCGCTGTGCCCACTGGGTAACTTGGTAGATGGTATTGGTCACCCCAAATATTACGGATATGGGTCTGCTTCTGTTGGATTCCATTTCCCAGTTTAATTCAGGGTGCCCTCAAATGCACCACTGGGCTGAGTTATGAGCACTGGTGTTTCACCTATCATGGGCTGCAAGACGCCTTCTGCAATTTTAATGAGCTGCTGGTAGATCTGAATGGAAAGATCACTCAGGATCTGGCGGTACTCAGTGAGGTCGAAGTTCTTCAGGCAATGTTCATTCTGCTTCACAGTATTCTGGGTCATAAAACCCTAAAAAAAGGGAGAGCAACAAAAGGGAGACATTTAGCCACGACTGGTTTGCTGACATGTAAACCAAAGCAGACTCTTCCAAGCACGACCCTGAGAAAGGCTTGGGCTTTTTGGCCAGATCTCAAGGTCATTGCTGCCCACTGCCCATTTGCAGGTTTGTGACAGGCAAATTGAGTTCCCGATTATGTCTAAGCAGACACTGTGTAGATGGGAGGGTTCTGCCCTTCTTGATCTATGGAGCCCTTGATCTATGGCAGGAGAGGGTCTCTCTCACTGGAGAAGTTCAAGTGACTACCAGGTCTTGAGCATTTCATTAGCTGCTCGGTGCAGAATTTGATACCCGCAATGGGCAGCATGTTCTGGGATGAAGGTAAAGGTAAAGGACCCCTGAATGGTTAAGTCCAGTCAAAGGCGACTATGGGGTTGTGGCAATCATCTCACTTTCAGGCTGAAGGAGCCGGCATTTGTCCACAGAACAACTTTCCGGGTCATGCGGCCAGCATGACTAAATCACTTGTGGCGCAATGGAACACCGTGATGGAAGCCAGAGCGCATGGAAACACCATTTACCTTCAAAGTGCAGCGGTACCTATTTATCTACTTGCACTGGCGTGCTTTCGAATTGTTAGGTTGGCAGGAACTGGGACAGAGCAACGGGAGCTCACCCTGTCACACAGATTCGAACCACCGACCTTCCGATCGGCAAGCCCAAGAGGCTTGGTGGTTTAGACCACAGCGCCACCCGCTCCTGTACATTGTGTTCTGGAATGAGGAGGGATACCAGGATCCTCTTGCTGGGCAGGATGCATGATGCACAGCACACACACCGGCATATTTTCATGTTGATATACTTAACTAAAAATAGGCAAATAGGGAAAAGGCATTTTGGCTAAGTCCACCCACCCATCCTGCTTCTGGAAACGATCTAAGGACATTTTTGTTGTTGTTATTCTAGATCTACTGAAGTTAAACTCAAGGGAATAAGCAGCTGTAGCTTCCAGGGCTGATCCATAGGAGGGTGAAAAACTTTATGCTAATAGGGGACTCATTCTGCGAGTGTGGAGCCTTGTGTAGCAAAATGGCACTGTCCATAAATAGAGGTGTCAACAGACCTGGAGGAAACCCAAATTTGCACAATCTTTAGATAAACCCCTAAAAGAGAGGAAACCCCAAAAACAAAACAAAACCACACATAGTCAACAAAGACTGAGCATGCTCAGTGAGAACAGAATACGTCCACAGGTGGAGCAAGAGAACAGAAAATCAGGGTGGTGGGTGAGAAAAGATGTAATATCCTGTACTCAACACTGCACATTTTTCTTGCAAATCCCATTTGTTCTGATATAAGATACTGCAAAGATATTGAAAACAATTCAGCATTAGCCTTCAATGGCAAGTTCCCATTGAAGTGAATGCAAGAGAAGTTACAGGTGACAGACTGTGTGCACATCCATCATGGCGACATTTCCCACAACCGCTTATCTCACCGTATCCCCACTGTATTGCTTCAGGCAATGTAGAAGGCGGCAGGTGTTAGCCAGCCAAAACGACGTCATCTCAAAGTCGTCGTGATGTTTCTGCGAAGAACCCAAAACAAATATGATGAAAACCCTCTTTGAAACCTCTGCTTTTATGGGTTAGTTTTGCTTTAAAAGACCCGATTAATTCCTGAAGTCACAATATCCTTCTAGTCACACGTCCATTATAGGCAGGTGATCTAGATATCTGCAGCAGGAATGCTTAATTCCGCTATTTCCAAATATGCTTGCATTGAACCATTAGGGAGGTAGTGTTGCTGTATCAGGAGGAGAAGCAATCTAGTGTAGTAGGATTGGAAGAATGGAGGGGCAGACAAGGAGCCATCCCTTGAGCCCATGAGACTTCTTCATTACCTCCTTGAAAGAAATCTGGTTCGATCAGTCACATCTTGCTTGCAACAAAGCCTGGCACTTTCCCTTCATGGGTATCATACAGACTTTTGGTTGCTCAGTCTGCAGCATAAATTCTTTGGTACCAGGATTGGCTCAAAGCTTAAGGTGGGTGCTGGAGTAAGTGCCCTTTGGTGGACGCTATCCGACTTATCTGGCAGTGGTTCCTAGCTGAAGGCAGCTAGGAGCCACCTAGCTGTACTTTCTCCAGGGAGACTGATGAGAGCATCACAGCAGAGCAGGAAATTAACATCGCTGCTCACAGACTCAGCTGCCTGGCATGGGCGGGACAAGGCAGGTGTCAGTGCTGGTAGGTCCTGCCAGGATGCTGGGGCCTTGGCAGATCATAGATGCTGACACCAGGCCTGGCGGGAAGAGTAAGGTCTAGAAATTGTGAGCTCTGAAGCAAAGGCCATGAGAAAGAGAAAGAATGTGAAGTTCTTGACACATCTACTGATGCTCTTGCAAATGCCTGAGAGCAGGCTTCTTCAACTTCGGCCCTCCAGATGTTTTTGGCCTACAACTTCCTTGATCCCTAGCTAGCAGGACCAGCGGTCAGGGATGATGGGAATTGTAGTCTCAAAACATCTGGAGGGCCAGGTTGAGGAAGCCTGCCTAAGAGGCTCTCTGGGTGCACTTTATGTCTTTAAAGGTCCCAGTGTTTATGGAGAAAGTTTCTTGAGTTCTGGATGGAGGGGCAGCCATATTCTTTCCCTAAAAACTTCTACTGCCAACCATCCAGTTGTATGTTTAACCTTGTCACACTTCTTGCTAATAATATCAGAACAAAGCCAAACAAACAATAAAACCCCAGGCAATTTGTTCCCATTAGAAAAACCCCGAAGTTAGGTGTTAGGCTTTTGCTTTGTTTTTACCTTTAATACTTTTTTAATGCCATTGATGGTAGAGGTAAGCAAGGAGTGCACTTTATGATCATCGTTACTATAATCTGCATGCCTGATACACATGTAAAGGATGTAGGCAGGAAGACAGGGCACCGTGGCAGAGACCATTTGGGGCTTCAGATCTGTGAGCAGGAGAGAAAACCTTTCAGACAACCTGACTTCTTAACGGCGTAGTTATATATTATGCACACCATCTGAATGATGACCAAACCACAGAATTACTTAATTATCAGATTCCTCCCCTACAATATAAAATCTATACAAAAAACTCTCTCATTTTTTTTATAAAAAACCCCAGTTATGCATGCATTAGCTAAATGAAGTATATCACATTGTGAAGAAATGGACCCACATTAATACAGTTAAGTGGGCACTGCAGTCAAAAACTCAGTGTGTAAGAGGGATTTAAATCTGATGATTTAAATACTTTACAAGCTATTTTAAATCCTTTTAAAAACCAGAATATCTTGATTTCTGCATGGGGTTTCCAGTAGATCTTGATCAGGTTTGCACCTGCTTAGGTTTGGCAATTCTGCAGCATCAGACACTCTCAGTCCTGCTTTCCAGGTATGCCGTATAATTTGCTTGCTGTCAAATTTTTGTGCTTCTGCTATAAAACCCTTGCATGTTGCAGAGTATTCTGGGAAGTGTTAAGTGTTCTCAGGTGCACACTATAGAATAGCCAAGTCTTCTGGATCAGGTTAAAGATTTATCCAGTCCATCATGCTGGCCAGCAAGACGCTTCCAGGAAGCTCGGAAGGCAGTCCTCCTTTCCTGCAATGCTGAGATAATTCCATCCAGGCTCTACAGCTAACAGCCTTAGACAGACCTATCTGTGGTGGATTGGTCGCACCCTTTTTGATGGCCCTTGCATAGTGAATTCCACAAATTAATTGTGCGCTGTGTGAGAAGTACTTTACGTGGTCAGACTTCCTGGGACCACCACACAAAACAGAAAGTGCACCTTAGTGCTTGAATTACCGGGTGGAAAAGAGTCTCCCCCCTGCCTTCTTCCTTCAGCAATAGCCTACTTCAATAAACTTGGTCCCATGGCTTGGCTGGAAATGGGGTTCACCCCTACTCCACCTGTTTCTACTGTTTCAGTTCAAATGTCCTTTCCCTGCAGCTGCCCATTACAGGGCAACTTCAGTAGATGTTGGCAGCCATCTTTCAGGGAAGTGTGCCTGCTGTTCCTACTGGGGAATCTCTGAGGTTTCTTTTAATAACTAGGCCTGACAAGCAAAGCCAAGAGCATTACCTGTAATGAGATTTTTCACAAGTAGCGGCTCATCTTCTTTGCAATACTCCAGCATTCCCTGGAAATCTTTCTCCTTCCTTTGGACAGTGACCTGTCTGTTGAGTTCATGCTGCCGCTTTTCAGTCTGTTCGACGACTTGATCGGCTGCGAAGAGAAAACAGATGAGCTGACGCTGAATCAAAGTAAATTGCTAAATGATCAATGCTGCGCAGATACCTTACAGGCAGGCTTAAAGCAGCAGCCTTGAAAAGCAGCTAGAGTCGTCTGGTTTGGTCCATTTCAAGCCAGCGGTCTCCGAGAGAGGACTACTGCAGGGAGATTTCTTACCTGTGGTCAGGAGATCAGGAGTGGGCCACAGAATTGCACACTTCCTTCTCACCTCCCTTGGCATGAATTCCACTGCCCACTGTTGGAAAGGCACCAAAGCTAACTGAATTGGACTGATGTCTGTGCATAAAGGTAAAGGGACCCCTGACCATTAGGTCCAGTCGTCTCGCTTTATTGGCCAAGGGAGCCGGCGTTTGTCCGCAGACAGCTTCCGGGTCATGGGGCCAGCATGACTAAGCTGCTTCTGACGAACCAGAGCAGCAAACGGAAACGCCGTTTACCTTCCCGCTGGAGCGGTATCTATTGATCTACTTGCACTTTGACATGCTTTCGAACTGCTAGGTTGGCAGAAGCTGGGACCGGACAACAGGAGCTCACCCCGTTGCGGGGATTCGAACAGCCGACCTTCTGATTGGCAAGTCCTAGGCTCTGTGGTTTAACCCACAGCACCACCCGCGTCCCATGTCTGTGCTTAAGTTCTCACAAAAAGCTGATAAAGTGAGGCTGTGTGTGTGTCATCTCTCTTCAGTCTGAAGAGTGGGGCACATGGGTGGGGCACATGGCTCCAATGATTTAATGCTCCTCCATATGAAAGCCTTACTTGCACACAGAAGGCTAGCGCATGCCTCATCTCCCTTGTTTTCTATGCCCAGGTAAGTATTTTAATATGCAGAAGCATTCAATCAGCTGAGCCTTCTCCTAAGGTCTGGTATAGCTCCGGCCCAGGTTTACTTCCCCACATCTGTTTGTGAGAAAGAATCACAAGCTCTATAGGTGCCAACAGTTGCATGCCCTGTCATTGTTATATCCTCTCCTTTCTTGTCCATTCCCTTCCCTACATGAACAAAAGAAACCTCTCCAGAGGCTTTCGTAATCACACTTATCCAGGAGTAAGCAGCTCTGAACCAAGTGGGAATTACTTCTAAGTATACACACCTGCTAATAAAAATGGATCTTGTGATCACTCATAATCACAAAAAGTTGCATCATCATCAAGTCCATTAATGGACCCAGAAGCTCACTGCTAATTTGCAGTTAACTGCCAATGGCTACAGATCCCATACACTTATTTGGTTGCTATCATGTATTTATTTTTTAAAATTTGATTTACTGTTACAAATATATCCCATGTTTTCTCCAAGGAGCGCAAGGCAGTGCGCATGGTTTCCCCCCCCCCGCCATTTTATCCTCACAGCAACCCTGTGAGGTGGGTTAGGCCGAGAGACTATGACTTGCCCAAGGTCACCTAGCGAGTTTCATGTCTGAGCAGGGATTTGAGGCCTGGTGTCCCAACACTCTTTTATCACAGCGCCACACTGGTTCTTGGCATAGTAAGATATGGCAAGCTGCCCTCTGTATTGCTTTGTTGTTTTTTTGTTCTTGTTTTTATCATGTGCTTTGTGTTGCTGTACTGTGTTTTGATGTTGTGAACCGCGCCGAGATCTATGGATGAAGGGCAGCATACAAATGTAATAGATAGATAGATAGATAGATAAATAGATAAATAGATAGATAAATAACCGTTCTGTGTGAGAGAGAAGATCTGGCCGCAACAACTAAATCGTATGCGCAGCCCACCTCCCACTCTCAAACCTGGTCCAAGGTGCTCATCATTAAGTCCTGACTTCCTGGATTGGTCCCTAGTGGACAACTCGGCTGCAGCCATTAGACAAAACTGCTGTGTTCACAGGAAAAAGAGAAGCTCTGCTCTTTAACCGTACAGGGAGATGGTGACCGTACTGATGCTTTTTGTGTGTTAACACTGTTTAAAGTGGCTTACCATAGAGGATAACCGCTGTGGCACCCTGGTGAGGGGGGTGATATTTATTAGGAAAATGGATATTAAGGCACAATTCAAATAATGCGGCAAGTGTCACTTTGATGCATGTAAATTACAGTGACAAGAACCATCTGCTCCAGCTGCCACGATGCAGAATCCCCTATTCATTAGGCTTAATTTCATTTAATGACCAGCTTTCCAAAGCCAGTCCTTCGGATCAAAGCCTGGCGTAGCTAATCGATCTGTCAAGCCACCAAGATAAAAAGAATTACAGGGCTGCACAGATGTCTTCTTTCCATGTTCCTTTCTTGCTGAGGCATTTCAACTGCTGCTGTAAATATACAGGGTTCCCTTAATAGGTGGAATTTATCCAAGAGGCACCAGGAGGTGGAGTGCTTCCTCGATATTGGAAGTACTAAAAGCCAAAGGAAGGCAGGACCGAAAAGGGCCACAGGGAGGCACCATGAGAACTGATTTTTTAAAGCAGTCCAGCTCCTGTCCTATTTTATAGGCAAGAATTGTGCACCCCAGTCTATCAAGACTGTGGGATGTTATAGTGGGGGTGAGATGACTGATGGCACCTATATACCCTTGTATCCTGACAACATCTACCTACCAAATGAGTAGCAAGGACTCTGGCTCTTAAGGTTCCTGACTGTTCCTTCCCCCTATGCATAACTCTCCTTGGTCTTCCAATCAAGATGCACAAGCTGTTCAGTTGCACCAAACTCTCTGTTATGGGGAACGGAACACAACGGAGTTCTGTTGACTTCTCATCTACAGCAGGAACATCTCAAGCCAGACCTACCTTCATAATCTTGGACTTTCTTCATGTAAATCTTGAGCTGCTTTTTCAGCTTGCTTTCATTCTTCTTTAGTTTTTCCAGCAGCTCTTTGAGATCCTGAAAGACAGGAATGACATCTGTAATCAAGTTAAACTGCTTCACTTGGCTAACAGAGCAAAAGCCTGCGTGCGCTGCTGCCAAACGCTCTGCTTCAGCCGTGCAAACACAAAACCAGCAAATGGTTCGTGGCACTCCCTTTACTGATTTGCATTAAAACAGTCCCCAGCAAGGCCGTTCCCACTTTGAACAGGTAATCGGAAAACATGCTAAAATGTAATAAAAGGGCCTGTCATAGCTAGAAACACCCCCCCCCCCGTGTTGCATTTACCTCCAAGGGTTTGGCGTTTGTCTCTAGCTACAGGGCGTTCCGGTTGTATGCCCTTTCCCAGGGCTCACAGCTTAAATTTATGGGAGGCATGAAAATGACTGGAAATTAGAAGCACTAACAATTCCACTAATGAGTATGCAAGGAATCCTGGTTTTAGTTTGGCACACCCAGTCCATAATGCTGTTCTGTGTCCTTTCCACATTCAGATTGGCCTCATTCACAGGGCTGGGGAACCTCTGACCAAATTTGTGGGCCTAATTTGGCCTGATGCAGGTTGACACATCAGGTGCGGAGCAAGTAGAGACGTACAGCAGATAGGAACCTTGCAGAAAGCAGCGTTGAAGGCTTGGTGACCGATCAGGAGATAGTTCCCATTGTGCTTTTCGAGGTTTCCCCATAGTTAATTCATGGTTTGTGGTTTCCTGCTTGTCAGTTTCCCTGTTCACATGGCAGGAAATTACGTGACAGGAAGTAAAGGTAAAGGTACCCCTGCCCGTACGGGCCAGTCTTGACAGACTCTAGGGTTGTGTGCCCATCTCACTCAAGAGGCCGGGGGCCAGCGCTGTCCGGAGACACTTCCGGGTCACGTGGCCAGCGTGGCGAAGCTGCTCTGGCAAGCCAGAGCCGCACACGGAAATGCCGTTTACCTTCCCGCCAGTAAGCGGTCCCTATTTATCTACTTGCACCCGGGGGTGCTTTCGAACTGCTAGGTTGGCAGGCGCTGGGACCGAGCAGCGGGAGTGCACCCCACCGCGGGGATTCGAACCTTTCGATCGGCAAGCCCTAGGCGCTGAGGCTTTTACCCACAGCGCCACCCGCGTCCCTTGTGACAGGAAGGGGTAGAGCTAAAAAGCTCTCCAGTTCAAGGATTTCCATATGGGGTGCTCCCTCAGTTAAAGTTTATACCACAGTCAAACTAAGCTGTGGTTTAACTGAACATGCAGCCTGCTGGTAAAAGGTAAAGGGACCCCTGACTGTTAGGTCCAGTCGCGGACGACTCTGGGGTTGCAGCACTCATCTTGCTTTACTGGCCGAGGGAACCAGCGTACAGCTTCCAGGTCATGTGGCCAGCATGACTAAGTTGTTTCTGGTGAACCAGAGAAGTGTACAGAAATCCCGTTTACCTTCCTGCCGGAGCGGTACCTATTTGTCTACTTGCACTTTGACATGCTTTCAAACTGCTAGGTTGGCAGGAGCAGGGACCGAACAACGGGAGCTCACCCTGTCGCGGGGATTCGAACCACCGACCCTCTGATGGGACGCGGGTGGCACTGTGGTCTAACCCACAGAGCCTAGGGCTTGCAGCCTGCTGGTGCATGCTACTAAAAAACCAGTGGTGGTTTGCACTTCCCGCTGCTTCTAGGAAGCAAGCCATGAGCTGTGGCATGAGTTTCACACCTGAACCTGGGTTTGTGGTTTGTCTTGTCCAGAGAAAGCATGAGCAGTAAGCCCAAAAGAAACCTTGCTGACCACTCACAGGTTTGGAAATAATGAGCCTGGGTTTGGACATAAACGCCAAACCAGAGGATGGTTTAGCTTTCAGAAATAGGACCAGGGGAAGAGTAAAGCACCTCCAATTTCAGCAATGGGCATCAGTGCACATTGCACATTCACCTTGAAGCCACAGTTCAACAATGGTCTAAAAGTGTGTGAACAAGGTCACCATCTTCATGGGGTAAAATGCTGGTGCATGCCCATGAATAAAAACTGCTAGGGAGAGCCAGTGTGGTATTTTGGGCAGTTGGACCAGAGGGAACAGGCTTCAAATCCCTGCTCAGACACCAAGTTCACTGGATGGTCTTAGAGACAAATCACAGGCTCTCAGCCCAAACTACCTCATGGGGTTTAGTGAGGATTAAATGGGAGAAGCCCAATTTCTAATGAAGGACAAGGCACACAGATACAAATAATATCAGCAGAAAGGTCTAAGGAATTTGATGCCTCCTTCAGCCAGAAAGAAGTTGTCTAACTTTTTTTTTTTAAAAAAAGAGACCCTAAACACACCAGCAGCTTTTTAAAGCTGTACATTGATTTCTCTTTCAGGGTCCATTTCAGTCTGCACCAGACCAATCAATCATGCGTTGTGAGCTTTTCATAAAATAGTAAAGTGAGTAATTTGTCAAGTTGCTCAAGGTTGGCTGAATTATTTTAAGGAGCCAGTTATCGTGTTCTCTCTTTCCTTGCTGCTCGACTGCCTGCCTGATCTAGCTGTAACGTTATCAAAAGCTTGATTCCGTGTAGAAGATGGAGACAGTGTGGTTCAGCAGTTAAAAAACACCCCCCCCCCAGATTATACCATCAGCAGTTTGAAGCAGTAAAGCCTTCCTTGCATGTTTGGGCTGCAAGTAGAAGGAGGGGGAAAAGAAGGCTGCATTGTCTTCTCATTACATTAGATACATAGTGGTTTCTTCAAGGGCAGGGTTTAGGATTTTTAAACACACGTACGCACACACAAATTGCCCACGTGATTCTCAAATCTGGAACAGGACCCTAGTGTCAGGGTTAGGAGTGCTTTAACCATTTGTCCCCTGCTGTGTTCCCAAACCACATAAGGCCTTCTGTAACGGCAGTGGGGAGGGGTGTGTGTCTCCCATTCACTTCAATGGATCATTTTTTATCCTAATGCCAATTTAAGGCATGTTCCCACCAATACTGACTCAGACTGTGGTGGCAAAGCCCCTTTACCCCCATGCTAGATTCGTGATCTAGTTCAGTTCGCTGCTCACAGACTGTCAATTTGTATGAAACATTTCCATGAAGCTAATGTGACATGTAGTTTGATCCTCAGCTGTGCAGGAAATCCAACCAAGGCTAGCCGCACGTTTGTAGTTTTCGCACAGTGCCTGGAGTTTAGAGATGCTTCATAAGTACTAATTAAAGCTGTGCGTGCAAAGAACAACAATCCCGGCAAGAAAATGGCAAGTGTTTGTTTGACAGCCCTCGATTGCTGGAGCTTCTGCCAACGGGTTAAGCAATAAGCAGGTCTCTCCATGGCATGCCACAAAACCTTGCTCCCAACATAAATAATTACATTAAGAACAATCAGGGAATTAGTGGTTTATCTGACAAGGCTTCCTCCTACCAATTATTGCTTGTCAATCAGTCAGTCTTTGTTGCCCTCTGCCTAGCCAAAGAAACAACCTAAGGTCACTGATTCCCGACTTCCAGGGGAAGCAAAACACGGTACGTAATAATTTACAATTTGCCACCTCAGTGCTTTTTGCCACAGTTCTTGACGTTCATATTTAAATGATTCTGACACATCTGCTTGGAAGTGATAAAAGTTTTCCTAATAAGATGCCACTGTGGAGCACAAGCAGAAGCAGCAGGCAAATTGATCCCCATAAGCTCTCTACATTCTTTCGCGCTAGAGGGCCCCCTACTCTACAGACCGCAATATCTCCAGGTAAAAAGGCCATAGCTCAGTGATAAGAGCATATGCTCTGCATTCAGAAGTCCCAGGCCCAATCTATGGCGTCTCTGGTTAAAAGGATCAGGTGATGGGAAACACTTTATGCCTGAAGTTCTGGAAAGTTGCTGCCAGGAAAGAGCAGGTAATGCTAGGCCAGGAGTAGCCAATGTGGTGCTCTCCAGATGTTCATAGAATCATAGAGTTGGAAGGGACCCTGAGGGTCATCTAGTCCAACCCCCTGCAATGCAGGAATCTCGAGTAAAGCATCCATGACAGATGGCCATCCAACCTCTGCTTAGAAATCTCCGAGGAAGGAGAGTTCAGAACCTCCCTAAGGGTTCTACTGTCAGACAACTTTTACTGTTGTTGAACCACAACTTCCATCTTTCCTGACCGCTGGCTATGCTGGCAGGGGCTGATGGGAGTCTCACAATATCAAGAGGGCACTACATTGCCTATCTATGTGATAGGCTGCATGGACCGGTGCTTTACCACAGCACCTATGTTTCTCCTGCTATGAAAATCTCTCCCTCTCAAGATGCCACATCAGGGACATACAGTGGTACCTCGGGTTACATACGCTTCAGGTTACAGACTCCGCTAACCCAGAACTAGTGCTTCAGGTTAAGAACTTTGCTTCAGGATGAGAACAGAAATTGTGCTCCGGCGGCATGGCGGCAGCAGGAGGCCCCATTAGCTAAAGTGGTGCCTCAGGTTAAGAACAGTTTCAGGTTAAGAACGGACCTCCGGAACGAATTAAGTACTTAACCTGAGGCACCACTGTACACAACTTAGTTATCCCTGACATCTTCCTGAAACATCTGCAATGTATCTATAAATTATAAGGAGCTGCCTTAGGGTTGATGGTCCGTATTGCCCAACGCTGGGTAGAATATCAATCCTTTGCAGCTCTGCTACGGATTCAGACATTTGGCAGTTGCTTAGTTACTGTTTTGAATACAACATGATTTGTAAGCTGTCCTATGTGGGAAGTCTTCTCCTCTGCACACAAAATGGTTTGCATCTGTATAGTGGAAACGAAAGGTCTCACCTACTGGGCTGCTACACACAACCATCTCCCCAGACAGTACAGTGGTACCTCGCAAGACGAATGCCTCGCAAGACAAAAAACTCGCTAGACGAAAGGGTTTTTTGTTTTTTGAGCTGCTTCGCAAGACGATTTTCCCTATGGGCTTGCTTTGCAAGACGGAAACGTCTTGCAAGTTTGTTTCCTTTTTCTTAACACCGTTAATACAGTTGCGACTTGACTTCGAGGAGCAACTCATAGCACACGGTGTGGTAGCCTTTTTTGAGGTTTTTAAAGACTTTGGTGATTTTTGAAGCTTTTCCAAAACTTTCCAGACACCGTGCTTCGCAAGACAAAAAAAATCGCAAGACAACAAAACTCGCGGAATGAATTAATTTCGTCTTGCGAGGCACCACTGTACAAGATGGAGAAAGGGCTGCTGCACCCATGCATTTCCTGCAGGTTTCCCACTGGCATCAAACTGGCCACTGTGAGAACAGGATACCAGATTAGATGGGCCTTTGGTCTGATCCAGCATGGCTCATCTTATTGAGCCCTGCCCTGGAACGTAACTGAAAGGAGACTCAGACATTACTAGAGAGAGCAGCTCCAAAGGCAGAGGTGTGCCTTTCCTCTCCCATCTCCAAGAGGGGGTCTTTTCTCCCATAGCACGATTGCAGCAGTCCACAGCAGGAAGAGCCAAGGATTCTGCCGGTCCAACCCTACCAGGTTTTCGCTGGTCAGCCGCATGATTTCTTGCTGGATTCCGAACTCCACTTGGGCTTCTGGCGACAGCTGCAGCGTTTGGAAGAAGACCTCCTGCTGCTTCTCCATCTCTTCCCTCAAGGTCCCCATTTGCTCCTTCAGAGTTTCTACTTCCTCTTCATGCTCTCTCCTCTGATCCTGGAGCTGGGCCTCAAGGAGCCTGGGGGGGGGGGAGGCGAAGTGGGGGAAGACAGAGAAATCACAAAATCACTTGACCTCTCAAAGCCAAGGTCCGGAAGAAACAAAGAAACCGCACAACAACTGGACACGAGGGATACGGTTAGGATAGCCCAGTCAGCAGAGCACGAGACTCTTAACCTTGTGAGTGTGAGCTCCACGTTGGGCAAAAGATTCCTGCTTGCAGGGGGTGGGACTAGATGGCCCTTGGGGTCCCTCCCAACTCTACAGTTCTTGGACTCTGTCAACTGCTATGGGTGGGGCATGGATTCTCAGAGGGAAATGGGCCCCCTTTAAGAGTTGAGGGCAGTTGCTAGGTGACAACACTGCATCAGCACCGAAGCCACTCTCCTGTAAAATATTTCTGTAAAGCCAGCTGTTGTGAAGAACGACACACTAAGGAGTTTATATTGGGCATAGGTTACGAGCTGCAAGGATTGTTATCGTTAGGTATTGGAAAGTTCTTTCCAGCGCTACATTGTCAAATTGGTATCAAGTGGTATAGGATACAGTGCTGGTACAGCTGAGGATAGTATGAGGTCAAACTAAGAAAGATAACTTTACTGTGGAGTGGTCTGATTTTATATTATTTACTAATATTGAAGAGCATGGACAATCCCCATTACAGGCGTACAATAAAGTTTAGTTGACATAGATTCTCCTTTCCTTCACACAATGTATCTAAAATAGCAAAAAAAAGTTTTGATTTTTATGTAGAAACTTTGAATTTTATTTTCAAATCATCCGTTCTGAGAGAAATGAATAGCAAACTAACCTTTCCGATGGGTATGTTTTGGATATGGTATACACTGAAGAGCTTTTGATTTATTCTTTAAAACAATTACCTAATTTTGTTTTATTTATCGTTCTTTTCTCCTCCTCTCTTTCTTTCAGTTACTTAATCCCACAACAATCTTAGTTTGTGTCAGTTTGTTTCACTGAAGTGTATAATGTTTTGACAGTGGCAATATTTTTTCCCTTTCCTTTTTATGTGTTTTAAAATATAATAAAGATGAATTAAAACAAATGCAAAAACTCTGAAGCCACTCCAGCAAGAAGGAAGCAGCCAGCCACACTTCCGGGGGGGGGGGGGGGCTTCTGAGGGGCTCATGCCACTGTTCGTGGTGCAAGCCTTTTAAAAGTTATTATCATTATATTACATATTTATTTCTACCCTGCCTTTTTCCCTGACAGGACTCAAGGCAGCTCTAAATTAAGAACTGTTAAAAACATAGAAAAACCAAGAATTAAAAAACATTTAAATGATAGAATTAAAAAATATATATATACATATAAACAATCTATTAAAACCACATCAATAATTACAATAAAGACACCACAGCACCAACCCTTTCATTAAAAACAGCCAGGAACTGTTGGAACAAGAAGGTCTTTGCCTGCCAGCACAAGGACAACAAGGACAAAGCCAGCCTAGTTTCTCTTGGTAGGGAGTTCCAAAGTTGCCGGGAGCAGCACAGAGAAGACCCTTTCCCGCTTCTCCACCAAGCCAGGACTGAGAGAGGTTCCCTGCCCCTTCCCCTCTCTGAAGGAGAAAAGCAGTGTGGCCAGAAATGGGGAGGGGGCCAAGGGTAATTGGCCCAGGACCCCCTCTATCTCTATCAGATAGATAAGGCTTCCTTCATTTTGTAGAGAGGGGTAGCCCTCATTCGTCTTTCTCGGAGGTAGAGACTGATCGCTGGGGGAAAGCTCATAGGAGCCAAGGAGTGTCCAGTTCAGGATAAATCCTCCCTACAGAATTAGTGCAAAAAAGTTTAAGATTGCCTGAATAGGGTAGAAGGGACGCGGGTGGCGCTGTGGGTTAAACCACAGAGCCTAGGACTTGCCGATCAAGAGGTTGGCGGTTCGAATCCCCTTGACGGGGTGAGCTCCCGTTGCTCGGTCCCAGCTCCTGCCAACCTAGCAGTTCGAAAGCATGTCAAGTGCAAGTAGATAAATAGGTACCGCTCCGGCGGGAAGGTAAACGGTGTTTCCGTGCGCTGCTCTGATTCGCCAGAAGTGGCTTGGTCATGCTGGCCACATGACCCGGAAGCTGTACGCCGGCTCCCTCGGCCAATAAAGCGAGATGAGCGCCGCAACCCCAGAGTCGGCCACGACTGGACCTAATGGTCAGGGGTCCCTTTACCTTTACTTTAGGCCATGAAAGTTCCAGGTTCAAAGAGACCAAAGCACAGGTGCTGAGGACCTTTGGAGGAAGGAACGCCTGTGCTTTAGAGCATAGTTAAACTATGGAATTTGCTCCCACGAAAGTTGGCGCTGGCCACTGACATGAAAAGGATTCAAAAGAGAATTAGACATGCGAATGGAGGATACAGCCATCTGTAGTTACTAGTCAAGTTGGCTATATTCTACCTCTAGTCCAGCTTGCAAGCTTCTCCCATAGACACCTGGATGGTCACTGTGAGAGCAGGATGCTGGACTATAAGGGTCTCTGGCCTGATCCAGGAGGGTTCTTCTTATGCCTGTTGACCTATTGTTCTTATTAGAAACTTAAGTTCTTATTTAAAAACTGCTTTTCCTGGAAAGCTGCTGCAAGGAGGTTGGGTGAGTCCCACAATCTCCTCCCTATAAACAACTGGGCCTGCAAGTTATGTTTCCACGGATCCTGCTATCTCCACATCTCTGGGGGTCTGCTAGAGTATCAGGGGAGCAGGCCTGAAGGGGCTGACTGGGCCCAAGATCCTTCCTGCTACTGACTCCTGTCGTATTGATTCCAGAGAATGGTGAACGCATTCTGAATTTGGATACATTTTAACCCAAGGGAACCTGGTCCCTCCACCCTCCAAAAGGTATCACCTTATTTGTCTTGTACCTCAAATTGTCAAGCTATTATTTTTCTGAATTGGTCTCTTATTCAGAAGATGAGATATGAATTATTTCTGAGGTCTCTTTAAAAGGTCTCCAGGTGAGGCTCAAAGCGCCATTAAGTCATTTTGAAAACCTAAACACTACATTTATGAACTCTGTTGTATCCTGTTGTACAAGAAAGTTTGAAATGCCTATATATATATATATATATATATTTAAAAAAACGTGATTTTATTTTAAAATGAGGCAACTTGAATAATGAAAGTTAAAAGGGTGAAAGAAAACCTACACAGACTGTGCCAAAGGGAAATTAAAACCATGGTTTCCAATAGCAAAGTGGAAGAGAGGCTTTAAATCACAAAAAATAACCCTCTCCTAAATGAATGCACACTGTGCAATTCTGCACAAACAATAAATTAAGGAACATGCAGCACTTTCCGTACCAGGGGTTGCGCGAAACAATTCTTTGCATTTCTGACTCCTTTTCCACCCACTCCAGCGAAAAGTGTGATTCATCCCTGAAAAAGGTTACAGCTTTCCCGTATATGCCTGCACTGTTGGGTGTGCTGGTAAGGGTAACGTTTGGTAAGCTAAATTGATTCTTAAAGGTACCAATTAGAGTCTGCTAAATTGAAACCTCTGCTACTTAACCCCCCCCCAAAAAAAGCTTTCACGAGAGATTCTAAAAGCAAGTCTGCAAACATTCATCAATCTGTTCTGACAGCCTGATCTAGGCAGGTGGTAGAACCCTAAGGTTTTGAGTAGGTTGAACATTGCAAGTGTGTGTGGGGTGCCTTCAGAATTCTTCCCCCATGTTTTTTAAGGGCTCCCTGTGCTTGTTTTATCAGCACATATACCTTAAAAAGGCCTCCCCACAAACAGAAAATCAGAGCAGCCTTCTCTTTGATTTACTAGTTTTCTACTTGCAGATAGATGGAGTCTGAAGTGGTACAGTCCACTCCTCGGGACTCTACCTGCAAATGTAGACTCAACAGTTTCTAGACACTGAGTTTACTAATATAGGATTGTGATCACCAGCGAGCCAACCTGGGAAGCTATTCAAGGCTCAAGCAGCTTTGGCCCAGGTTCCAAAGGCATCCTTGTAGGTGGACCTCTTGATATGACTGGCTCACTCCCTGGGAAAAAGTTTGCCAGGGTACCAACACGCCAGCCTGCCGCGAGGTGGTTTTGTGTATGTAAGCTACTATAAACCAAATTCAACAACAACAAAAAGCAGCATGCCAAAAGCTGGATTTGGTCTAAAACAATAGGACACAGTCGTGCAAAGATGTGAAACGCTGGGATGCTTGGGATAGAAACCAGCACATGGTAACTGAATTACTGCATGCATAAAGCTCTTTGTGGCTGCCTTAGTCAAGATTCATGCAAAAGACATCTCCACACAAGGCATGCTATACCTGCTAGGCTGTCAGTGCCAGTTTATGGGCTCTACTTTAAGAAAGGGGATGGCACGAACGGAAGATACGCTTAAGGCCCACAAAATCCTGAATTGGCCCTTCTGTTCATATCCAGGCTTTGTGTGCATATCCACATGCACAAGCAAAGGCAGCACCTGCCTTCTAAGAATCTCAGCACTAGATTTAAATACAAGAGCAGGTTTTGCAGACCTCGTAAATGTGTGAGAGAAAAAGGCTTGGAAGCACTTTCATGCCCTTGATTTGTCCTCTTTTCTCCTCAGCTGTGCTGTTCCTTACAAAAAAACCACACCAAATACCCCCCACTCCCTAGTAATAATGGAAATGGAATAAACTGAAAACGTAAGATACTTAGAGAATTGATCGGAGGCTTTTGCATCTACAACTCGCTAGTGTGTGAAATAACATCTGTACAACTGGAACAAGTGACAAGGTGCCTCGGGAAAATATGAAGATATATGGCTGAAATCATTCTTTTATTTCACTACCATATCAAATTGATGATAGAGTAGTGTATAGAAATTGAAATAGTGACTATCTGTATTAGTCACACACAATGATATACTGCAATATGCATGCATGCTGAAGGGTGTGCAACATTTGATGCCCAGAAGAAACATTTTAAAAGTTTTGCATAAATATCCAAGAAATAAGCTACTGTATGCAAATATTCTTAATTACCACTATTTATTCTAGAGGACGGGGACACGGGTGGCGCTGTGGGTAAAAGCCTCAGCGCCTAGGGCTTGCCGATCGAAAGGTCAGCGGTTCGAATCCCCGCGGCGGGGTGCGCTCCCGTTGTTCGGTCCCAGCGCCTGCCAACCTAGCAGTTCAAAAGCACCCCCGGGTGCAAGTAGATAAATAGGGACCGCTTACTAGCGGGAAGGTAAACGGCGTTTCCGTGTGCGGCTCTGGCTCGCCAGAGCAGCAATGTCACGCTGGCCACGTGACCCGGAAGTGTCTCCGGACAGCGCTGGCCCCCGGCCTATAGAGTGAGATGGGCGCACAACCCTAGAGTCTGTCAAGACTGGCCCGTATGGGCAGGGGTACCTTTACCTTTATTCTAGAGGAAGAAATACCTTAGCCACTTTAAGAAAAAAAGAGACACACACACTCCTCAGATTTAGGGCTGGCTAGCCCTGGCAGGCGACCGTTTCCACTCTAGAAAACTCAAAACTAATTTAGCTGGCCTGCCAGCACCCAGAAGTTGCCAACAGGATGCCAGTGTGCCCACCATTATTTGTTGATGAGTGATAGTTGATGCTATCAATCAATCAATCAGCCCAGCCTGTCTCTTGTCTCTGTATCCTTCACACACAGATCTGACTCCAGTCACTACCCAAGTGGCAAAGCTGGATTGGACATCAAAAGAGCTCCAAAGGAATCCAGTTTGGGGTCTTTGTGAATTATGTCCATTTCCAGTTCCACATGAAAGTGAGGGGAAGGAGAAACATTTGAAAGAGACAGTAGGAAAAGGTCCGAAAGGAGAAGGAAAAGATGTAAAAGTATTTGACCTGGCAACTTGCTTTAGACCCTGATAGGCCAAGCCGAGCTCTCCATCTTCATTCAGATACCCCCAGTCCTCAGTCTTGCTAGAAAGAAAGGACAGAGGAAAGGGAAAGAGAAGTGGACAGGAAAGAAAGATAAAAGAAGCGTCAGCTGCAAGAGATGAGAAGAACAAGGAGGCCTCAGCTGCATTCAGGCACACAAGCCCTGTGCCAACATTACAATCCACACATTGTGGTGGGTAAGGTGGTGGGGAGGAAAATCATGACCACATCTGCTGTTCCTGCACCCTCAGCATAAGTTATGCAGCTCTATGAAAATATTATCATTAATGTATTGCTATCAGGTGCAATCACAACCACCCCACGCCCCCACTGCTTGATTATGTCTGCACAGAATTGCAGTTTTTAAAGGAAAAAGCACCATGACAGTAAGGTGATAATGCTGTGAACCTCCCGTCCCACATGTTACAACTTTGACAGTCTTGTTAAGAACAGTCTTCTGGCTTCTTACCCTCCAAACCCACCCAAGAAATTCTCTCTCTCTCTCTCTCTCTCTCTCTCTCTCTCTTTCTCACACACACACACACACCTCCTCCAATGGCCCACATTAATAGGAGAGTGTTGACAACTGGGAGATCACATCTGCCCCAATGTCAAACCTGAGCTGCATTTCACATAAAGAGGTGTACAGAAGAGCATTTTTCAGTTGCTAAACAAATGCAGAGACATATGCTACTTTGGCAAACCTTGATTATACTGAGAATATAGCAACTGACTGTGTCCGAGTCCATAAAGGGCCCAAATTTTAGTGCTAGGGCCCTTAAAAACTGCCCAGCTGGTTTGAGCGTAGCACCTGCAGTCACATTTTCTTATTCCAGCTGTGGCTTAAGAGAGATGGGTCAAGCAAGGACCAGCCATGGTCCTTTGACACAGCATCATCAGCAACGTCATCTGCTTAGCAACAGAACACTTGCCCATTAATGTGCAATGAGTTGCAGTGCTCTCAACTACCACAAATTCAGATATTACAAAAGGGAAGAAGAGCAATTAACTAAAGAGCTGGGTCTGGCTGCCACATTAGGGACACGATGGGAGACGCACCCCTTCGCTCTGTGAGAAAAATGGGTTGCCTCACTGCCCTGAAATAAAGCTCAAAAACTATTCCAGCTTTGCGATGCTGGCACCCTCCCACCATTTTATACTGTTCCGCTCGTCTCCTCTGAGTGTTAATGCTACAACTCAAATCAGGAGCAGACTCAAACGGACGCCTCCCCGCAAGCAATGGCTCCACCAAAGAGAAAATTATGGGGAAAATATGTTATGGAACACGTACAAACTATTGGAGAGGTATGTCCTATTGTCACCAGTTTTGTTACCTGGTTCCTGGGACAGTCGCAGTAGGTGCATTTGGGCTGCCAGCATATAAACTGGTACAATCCCTGTGCTGGCTAGGCAGGTCATTGAATCATTGAATTGTAGAATTGGAAGGGACCACAAGGGTCATCTAGTCCAACCCCCAGAAATGCAGAAATCTTTTGCCCAACATGAGGCTCGAACCCACAGCCATAAGATGAAGAGTCTCATGCTCTACTGACTGAGCTATCCCCCTACCCCCAGTTTGGCAAACACCTGACATTTGTAAAAGCCCCCTCCCCCTCCCAATTCCTGGATTATTGTGGAATGAAACTAATTCAAGGACATGCCATTAGCCTTGAATATAAAGTCTGGTAAATGACAAGCCCATGGCATTTATAACTCCTGAACCTCCATTTGCAAATGGAAAGCAGTTTAGGGCTTGCATCCATCAAGGAAGCAAACCCCTGTGGAGGCATCTCTCTTGAGCTTATGCTTTTAAATTGATATTGTCCTGCTGTTTATGAGCTGATCTGACAGAAAGGAAACATTCGCAGAGTAGATCTACAGAGTGGAAGCATGCAGATTGTGGAAGAAAAGGCTGCTGAAGGACTGTAGGCAACATGCAAAATTACTTGGGGGCAGGGGTAGCCAGTGTAGTGCTGGTAAACTCCCAACTCCCATGAACCCCAGTCAAAAGTGAGGGATGATGGAGTTGTAGTCCGACAACACCTGGAAGGGCTCCAGGTTGGCTTTCCGTGTTTTAAAGATGCCGAAGTCTGTTGCAAAACAGACCACAAGCTTTTTAGATGCATCAGCGACAAGAGTTCAGGACAGAGAGCCGAACGGCAGTGATTGTCAAATGGACTGGAACTCAAGAAACTTGGCCAGTTGCCAAGGGTTCCCCAGTATGGATCCCACTCTGAGCTCTACTTTCTAAGAGAGTGGTTTGGTAGCCTTCTCTAGTGAGCGGCTGGTGACTTGTGACTAAACGGCAGGAAGAACTTTCTGACAGTAAGAGCTGTTCGACAGTGGAATAGACTCCCTCGGGAGATGGTGGATTCTCCTTCACTGGAGGTTTTTAGGGAGAGGTTGGATGGCCATCTGCCATGGATGCTTTAGTTGAGATTCCTGCATTTCAGGGGGTTGGACTAGATGACCCTTGGTGTCCCTTCCAACTCTACAGTTCTATGATTCCCAGCAACAGCTTCTCTCTACACATCTCTGCAAAATTGGATTTGGGAAGCCATCGTTTTCTTTTAATTATTATTTTCAAAGAACGGTTTAATTGAACAACATAAAATAAAAAGTGAAAACAAAGAAAAGGTATACTATATCATTGGACGAGTTCCTTTGCTTCCACAACATTTACAAACCCAGATGATAGCTTAAGTTTGTAGAAGGTAGGAAAGGTGATGGGATCTGGGGAATACTATGAACATGGAGCTATCTAATTACAGTCAAATAAGTATTTAGATTGCTTGCAGCAATTTTATGAATGTTCCAGCTTTATCTATCCACTCTCCCCCCTCCCCATCTATTCTCTCCCACTTTCGTTTTAGCTTGCTTTCATGGATAAAGCGATGGGAGGATACTCATGGGAGTGATGTAAATCTCTCTCCCTCTTTTCTGTTATTGTAAAAGGAAGACACAAATTCAGGGTATTAAGCTCACACTGCAGGAAACCTGTAATCAAAGAGGAATCATGGCTGAGCGTTAAGATACAAATTTAGCAGCTAATGTGGGTGATGGGCTTCCAAGGACACAAGATGTGTATATATTAGCTCATTTTACCATTATAAAGCTGGTGGTTTGCTTTTCTTTAACACTTTTTCCAGCCTCAGGGGAAACAGCTTGGCAGCCCTCCTATTAAACATCTTCCCTCAGCATGGTCTATGAATTATTACTTTGATGTAAGTAGTGCTTATAACTCTCCTGTACTGCTACAAAAGCTGTATTCCACTGCAGCTTTGACACAGAAGGCGTTCCAACCACTCTGCAGCACGGTGGATTGAACTAGTTAAGTCTCGAGCCAGGAACACCATATCCTAATGTTGGAATTGAACGATACCTTTTCTGTATAAGCAAACTCAGCACTGATGTGACTGGTGTCGGGGACCAATACTGGGAATCATAGAATCATAGAGTTAGAATGGACCACAAGGGCCATCGAGTCCAACCCCCTGCCAAGCAGGAAACACCATCAGAGCACTCCTGACATATGGTTGTCAAGCCTCCGCTTAAAGACCTCCAAAGACGGAGACTCCACCACACTCCTTGGCAGCAAATTCCACTGTCGAACAGCTCTTACTGTCAGGAAGTTCTTCCTAATATTTAGGTGGAATCTTCTTTCTTGTAGTTTGGATCCATTGCTCCGTGTCCGCTTCTCTGGAGCAGCAGAAAACAACCTTTCTCCCTCCTCTATGTGACATCCTTTTATATATTTGAACATGGCTATCAATCACCAGGCAGGGCTGGGAGCTCACCCCGTCGCGGGGATTCGAACTGCCGACCTTTTGATCGGCAAGCCCTAGGTGCTGAGGCTTTTACCCACAGCGCCACCCGCGTCCCATTTGTATATATAGCTCACAATAAATATACTGCACTGAAGAACCTGGAACGCTGAGCATTTCTGCTGAAGTGCTGCAAAGAATTCGCGACAGGCTGGTTCCTGGTTCCCTGTAACTTTGCCTGGTTCCCTGTAACTTTGCTTCTCACAGTGAGGGAACCAGCAGAAGACCCTCCGAGGAGGAAGGCCCTTGGAGCTAGATCTCAGTGGCCGGGCTGAGCTTGCGACATTTTAACTGTTGTACGCTATCCCAGTGTTTTTCAACCACTGTTCTGCGGCACACTAGTGTGCCGCGAGATGTTACCTGGTGTGCCGTGGGAAAAATTGAAAAATTTGAAAGATTTAAAAATTAAGTATTTTATAATTTTTCTTACTATTTCATAATAAAGTAATTATAAACTACTTTCTTTCTGTTTATTTGATTCCTATTCAAGACAATTACTTTATATATAGCCAATATAGGCACAGAGTTAATTTTTTTAACATTTTCTAATGGTGGTGTGCCGCGTGATTTTTTTCATGAAACAAGTGTGCCTTTGCCCAAAAAAGGTTGAAAAACACTGCGCTATCCTGAGTAATGTGTATGCATTAGAAGGAAGGGACATACATGTCTGGGGGGAAGGACACCCAACTGGCATTTTAAAATATCTATCTGTCTATCTGCCCATCCACATAAAAAGGAAGTAACTTTGGAGGTAAGAAAACAGTAGACAATGCAAGGGGATCAAGATGTAAGAAACAGTGTGCTGTTTGCAACATATTTCTTTCTTATCCGCAAAAAAAAAAAAAGCTCAGGTTTGTTATTTCAAACTAATTCACATGACCAACTGATGAAGGAGCAGCCTGAGTAGTCCATTGTCAAAACCTGGCGTGCAAAGTGGTCAACTCATTATGTATCTAATTTGCAATGCAAGCACCATCACTGCAAAGCTAGCGAAGGAGGGCTTAAGGAGTCTTCCTCGTTATGGGGTCCTTAGATGTTGTTGGGGCTACAGTCCACATCATCCCCTGCTAGGGGTGATGGGAGCTGTGATGTAAAAAATACCCGAGGACACAGTTTTGACTTGCAATCTCTATGTGTGTAAGAAGGGCCACACAACTGCTTTACCGCAGGCCTAATTCTATACTTCCACACCCCCCCCCGCAAGTTCATTTCTCAGTACAACTCACCTGGCCGTGCAAATTGGCCCCAGATCTTCAACAGTTAAAGCCAAGTTTTGAAAAAAATTCTTCAGAGCCTTTCTAGGGGCAATGCAATTCTTTTTTTAAAAACAACAACAACCCCCTCTTGCTTTTTGAGCCTCTCTCAGATACCGTTGAAATGTTTCTGAGTTGTTCTCCACAACGTATGAGGTCTAGAAATTTATTTTAGGGAAAGCGAAGCCAAGATGCTCAGGATACCAATATCCCACGAAACAGCAGATTCTGTGCTTGTGTGAAAAGGCCACAAATAAGAAGGATACACACTGAACAGTTTGTAGTTTGATGCTTCTGTAAGAAGAAGCAATCCATATTTTTGTTTACGGTTGCACCTGTTGCTGGCACCCTGCATCTGATGACGCCCCCCTCAGTTACTTAGAAATGAACAGAGGGTCCAGATTCCAACTCGTGTTGACCAGTAGTAATGGATAAACAAAGACAGGCTTACCGGTTTGTCTGGCACACTCCATGATAGGCCTCTATGGCATCTTCTGGATCCACGTGCTTGTCACTGTTGGGCCAGCTAGTTTGCATGTTGCTGTTTGACTCCTTAAAAAAGAAAAAGCCTACCATGAAATATTTCCTCCCGGTCAATAATTTCCATTTCCCTCCCCACATGCTCTGCTAATTCTACATTGTTCACACATGCAGCATTTTTGACATGCAAAAGGTTTCACAATCATTGTTATTACATTTGCGACAAGGTACATTCAATATCTGAAGGAAGTCGGAAAGTGAACTGGAAGGGCCCAGTGGAATTCGGCCTGAAGAGAAGTTAAGAGGAAAGACGGAGGGCAGATTTTCAACACAAACCTATTTCGGTTTTATTCCTTCAAAGAAACCTGGGAGTTGTAGTTTAGTGAGAACACCAAGAATTATCTTTTAAGATTCCTCTAACTCACCTCACGAAAATATGATGGGAAAAATGAATGATTACTACACCAATTTAATATTAAGAATGGAAATTGGTGGCTGAGCCATCCTAGAACTGAGAAACCAGAACTGAAAAGGGGAAATTCATATTTTGTAAAATGGACGATGACGACAGAGGATTGGTCACTTACATTTGGCCAGACCCTTCTTCTGATCAGTTTGTCTTTGATATCAGTTCAGTCAATGCAGACAGACAGCAATGCAACTTGGAACAATTTGTTTCAAAAGAATCCTCCTGACCGTTTTTGGTTTTGGACTTGCCGTAAACCACTGTGCCCGACCATTGAGATACAGTGATAGTTGGCAACATGGTGAAAAGAAAGCACACACAAACGCACACAAATGGAAGGACCTGCTTTTCTTGTCCATTACCATATTTCTGCCTGCATCTTTTTGCTGGGCTGCCTTTATAATCTGTGTCCTGAGAATGAGCACCTCTTCCTTCCGCACTTCCAGCTCTTCGTTAGCAGACTTGAGCTGATTCAGGAGGAGGCTGTAACTGTCGTGGACATCGTTAGAAGAGTTGTTCTGGGCCACCCGATCCACTATAGCTTTCCTCAGCTCATTAAGGTCATTTTTCAGTTTCTTGTTCTCAGATTCTAACTCTTGCCTCTATTGAAAATGACATTTGAAAAGTCACCCCCACTTAATCATTTCTAGAACTGCTGCTCTTGTTTTTCTCATTCCTTTGGAGCAGCGCACGTTAGCAAAAAGCACAACGGGATGATCAGCCAGACTCAGCAAGTTTAACTGCGTATGAACACAACTGCATGCACTTCTTAGCGATTAACAGGCCCAGTCCTACCATTAGGCAGACTGAGGCGGCCGCTTCAGGCAGCAGATTTTGGGTGTCATGAAAGAGCAGCCAATTGTTAAGTTACTTAATTTGTTGCATTTGTAATTTTACTGCCATTGTGGGAAAGAGGTACCGGTGAGGTTTTGTGCTTCAGATGTCAAAATAACTTGGCTGGCCTTATGCTGCCATTTGCTGCTCTGCTTCAGGCGGCAAAATGTCTTGGACTGGCTCTGGCTACTTAATCTTCCTCAGATTGTAAAGGGTAAAGGGACCCCTGACCATTAGGTCCAGTCATGGCCGACTCTGGGGTTGCGACGCTCATCTCGCTTTATTGGCCGAGGGAGCCGGCGTACAGTTTCCGGGTCATGTGGCCAGCAGGACTAAGCCGCTTCTGGCGAACCAGAGCAGCGCACGGAAATGCCGTTTACCTTCCCGCCGGAGCGGTACCTATTTATCTACTTGCACTTTGACGTGCTTTCAAACTGCTAGGTGGGCAGGGACGGAGCAACAGGAGCTCACCCCGTCGTGGGGATTTGAACTGCCGACCTTCTCATTGGCAAGCCCTAGGCTCTGTGGTTTAACCCACAGCGCCACCCACGTCCCTCCTCAGATTGTACCAGCATGTAAAAAGGTGCTGAGAACCTGTAAACCATTTCGAAATCAAGGTACAAAGAAACCATCTCCCACAGAACGCATAAGCAAAACCTTCTCAGAGAGGTCAGAGGGGCAATTAAAAGCTACACGTTATAAATCTTAATGAGTACAATATAAATTAAATCGCAACTACAGAGAAAAAAGAGGCCTTTGAGGTTTGTCCTGAATCTTGTTTTCCCCACAATATAGCTGTTCCTAGGGCCTTAGCAGGGAGTGGGGGAGTATCTTTCCTGCCCTGCCCTCAATGGAGTCAGTGGCCAAATATTTCTTGAGAGTAGGGATGGTGAATCTGCAAATTTTGTTTTCTCTCAGTTTCTCATTTTTCCAAACTTAAATTCAGTTCTCCACATTTTCATATCAGCATGTGATTTTTTAAAAAAAGTTTTCACAAAAATTCTTCAGGTGTGTATTTTACCAGCTATGGCTGATACACCGGCTATGGTCGTTCTTGGACAGGGAAAGGCTGGCCACGGTTATCCATGCTTTGGTAACCTCAAGACTCGTTTTTTGGAACACGCTGTAGGCTGGGCCTACCCTTGGGCCTCATCCAGAGGCTTCAGTTGATGGAGACCTGGAATACTGTGTCCAGTTCTGGGCACCACAATTTAAGAAGGATGTTGACAAGCTAGAACGTTTTGCAGAGGAGGGCAACTAAGATGATCAAGGGTCTGGAAAATCAAGCCTTATGAGGAACAGTTGAGGAAGTTTAGCCTGGAAAAGAGGAGACTGACAGGAGATATGATAGTCATCTTTAAATATCTCATGGGCTGTCACGTGGAAGAGGGAGCAAGCTTGTTTTCTCCTGCTCTGGAGGCTAGGACCCAAACCTATGGCTTCAAGTTACAAGAAAGGCAATTCTGACTGAACAAAAGGAAGAACTTTATGACACTAAAAGCTTTTAGACAGTGGAACAGACTCCCTTGGGAGGTTGTGGACTCTCCTTCCTTGGAGGTTTTTAACCAGAGGTTGGGTGGTCTTCTGCCATTATGATCTACTTGAGACCCTGCTTTGCACGGGATTGGAATGGAGGACCCTCAGAGTTCTTTCCAACCCTACAATTCTATGGTTTTATGATTCTATACTCATATTCACCACTTGAGGTCAGAACAGCTGAACTGGACTTTCGGTGCCTACTGAATAATTTTATTATTGTTATTACTATATCACCAGCATTTTAATTGAAATTCGATTTTACAGTTTTAACTGTTTTTTTTTTTTACTTTACATCTTTGTAAACCACTTAGGTGTAGTTAGGTGACATATAAATTGTTTAAATAAATAAATAAAAGAATCAAGCATTCAGAAGCAGAACATTGGCTTTCATTAAGCATGCCTGAATCTGCTTCCAGTACCGATCTTCTATATTCAGCCCCAAATCTCCTCTTGCCCTAAACTCCATTCTTTGTTCCAATTGTTTTATGGGGAGCTGCGGTCTTATCTGTGAGACAGAAGCTTCCCATTTTATATTTTGCATTCACATAAAGGAGGATGGTGAACGAGACACGAACTCTCTTGGAGGAGGCCTGCTTATTACGGTATTATCTACCATTAACTATTTTTTGTGAGCTGCCAAGAAAACATGACTTATTATGCTGCCTATAAACACAATTATTAAATAAATAACTTTTAAAAAAACCCAGTATATTTACTGTTTCTAAGGGAAACTGTTCCAGAATGACCAAAAATTGCTAAGAATCTTCCTTTTTTCCCACCTCCTTTGGGTGCCCGAAAAATAAATGGTTGCAGTTGATGCACATTAAAGATTTATCTTCAAGTTGCGAACAGCTCACACATTAATCATGAGCCTAACATACAAAAAGAAGTCCAAAATGCAACAATTTCTTTTAAAACCTCTTACTGGAGCAAGAAAAAGGGGTGGAGGTGGGGGGAAAGAGAAGAAAAAACAAATTCTATTTATGTCATCACCATCTGTAAATAATTTTGCACACAGAATAGGCAAATTGGTAGAAGATGACTTAAGAAATGCACTACATTGCCAAAGGGAGGTGGCAGGAGGGAAAGGAATTGGTAGTATATGTATACAGTGGTACCTCGGGTTACAGACGCTTCAGGTTACAGACTCCGCTAACCCAGAAATAGTACCTCGGGTTAAGAACTTTGCTTCAGGATGAGAACAGAAATTGCGTGGCAGCGGCGCGGCAGGCCCCATTAGCTGAAGTGGTCCTTCAGGTTAAGAACAGTTTCAGGTTAAGAACGGACCTCCAGAGCGAATTAAGTACGTAACCCGAGGTACCACTGTATTTCCTTGATGCTCAGAAAGTTGTTAGCCTGAAGAAAATGCAGTGCTCACTTACACCTTGTGCCTTAGGTAAAGGTAAAGGGACCCCTGACCATTAGGTCCAGTCGTGACCGACTCTGGGGTTGCGGCGCTCATCTTGCTTTATTGGCCAAGGGAGCCGGGGTACAGCTTCCGGGTCATGTGGCCAGCATGACTAAGCCACTTCTGGCAAACCAGAGCAGCGCACAGAAACACCGTTTACCTTCCCGCCTGGAGCGGTACCTATTTATCTACTTGCACTTTTGACGTGCTTTCGAACTGCTAGGTTGGCAGGAGCAGGGACCGAAAAACAGGAGGTCACCCCATCACGGGGATTCAAACCACCAACCTTCTGATCGGCATGATCAGTGCTTGGATAGGCTACTGCAGGGGAATCTCTCATATATGCTGACTTAAGTCCCATGATATAAGAAAGGTGGGATATAAAGGTACTAAATAAAATAAGGTATGAATCTTCAGAAAACAGGGGCATCCATGATATAGCATCTCTAACAAGGTTGTGGCTGGCATCCATCTGTCTTGAGAGACAACAGAGTGCACCTCTGGGGATGAAGTCAAACCTCTGCGTTAGCAGCACCAAGGTGACCTCCTCGGGATGCAAGCCTGGGCAATGTGGTTGAAGGTCCTGGGCTGCCCAGACGACAAGACCCACCTGGTGTGGTCCAAAGGAAAGCACAGTAAGACATTGGGTACCAGCTTGGCTGCAGGAGTTGCCAGAAGGAGGCGTCCAACCGTCTTAGGGACTCCACTCCAGATTTGTGCTGCGTTTACTCCTTAGCCTTTCCTTCTCCCAAAGACATCCCTCAAGCCAGCAGAGGTTTAGGATCAGAGTTTTCCTTCTTCTGGTGGGCTACCTTCCCAGGTTGACGAGCTCCATCTACCCACCCGCTTCCCTCTACAGACCATGCAGAAACTGCCTTCTCTGACTGCTGGACCCACTTTGGTCTTGTCCACTCAATCCACTGGAGGCTGTTTGCGTGCAGGAGAAGTCCCTAAATCACCAAGGATTTGAGACCCATTGGCTCCCCTCACCTGGTTTGGCTGGTCAGTTGAAGTCGTTCCCGGGGTGTGGCTGCTGTCGCATGCTGACAGCTTCTAGGAACCACAGGTGATTACTGAGGGCAGGGTACGGACAAACTACCCCAGAAGAAGCACGACGTACCCTCTACCAGAGGTGGACAGGAGGACACAGTCCTTCAACCAACATTTTGAACCAAGCCCAGAAACTCATTGATAGCAAAAGCAGAGTTTTGCCAGCTCATCATCTGCCACATCTGAACCAGACCTAACAGGCAGGCGAGGGCTCTAAAGTCCCTGCAGTGCTCATCCAAGGACTTGGGGAGTCCCAAGAACACCCCAGTTAGAGAATTTATAGGGCACAGAGCACATTGTGCCATAAGATGGCCAAGTCAGTCAGTGGGGTCAGGCTGTGAACAAACAAGACGCCTCTTTTTGTCATAACCAAATGAAAAGGGGACAGAAAGCTGAGCATAGAAAGGAAGACCATGGGACTGTAAATAGTTAAGGCATATTTTGGTGTACCCGTCATGCAGATTTATAGAGACTGGTATCAGCAAAGCTCTTGCAGCTTTTTAGCACCTGAGGTGGGTGAAGAGAAAAAAATATATATCCCTGGCCTGCAAATTTCTTTTACCTTCAGACTGTTGTACGCTAGATCCGTATCGCGGTCCAAATCCATTTCGTTCTTCATTTCAATTACCTGGATGGATTAAGGAGAGAGAAAGAGAGAGATTTGATTTGACAAGAGGCTACAGCGGTTAGGCTTTTTGATTGCAGCTCTGGGTCACCTTACAAAATCTGTTGTTTACTGGCAGAGCAATTTGGCCAAGAAAGAAAAGCTGAAAGAGTGAAGGGTGTTTAGTAAACATAGAATCAGATGAGAGGAAAGATAAAAACAATGGGATGGTAAAACAGGGGCACACGCAGAGGGAATCCCTTTTCTCTCTTCTCCTAGTGTCTCTATTATTTATCTGTATCCTATTTGCTGATTCTGTTCTTCCATGCGTAGATGGCAAAAGAGGTAAAATGATGTTGCTGGACAGGGGAGAAAAGAATCTCTGTCGCTAGCACAGGCCTCTGAGCCTGCAAAAAATAAAACAGTAGATAGAGGGTTGAAGCGACTCGTCATATCTTCCCAAAGTGTAGAGATTGCCCGAGGGCAGCATGCAGACATCCCTTCCACAGGATACTAAGGAACGGCATCAGCAGCAAAGGTCAGCTATCAGGCACTTGGCACGTTTCTTTAAGGCAGTCATCTGTAGCTAGCAGGAGTGGAGGTTGTTCAGGGCAGTGAACAGGTCTGACCCGGGAGTCTTAACAGTGTTTGTTCAAGACTCTTGGAATAAAAAGGGCAACTGGTGGGGACCAGTGGAAAGGACCCCCTTGGAAGGGGGTGGACTTTCCTTTCTTGGAGGTTTTGGCGCAGAGGTTGGATGGCCATCTGTCATGTATGCTCTAGCTGAGATTCCTGCATTGTAGGTGGTGGGGCTCAATTATTTTTGAGGTCCTTTCCAACTCTGCAATTCTACAATTCTATGAAAGACTGAATTCCTGCTCGTCACCTCTCAATCCTGACAGAATGGCCTTTCAGCCCTGGCTCTAGATAAAAAACTATGGGGAGTTCAAACGATAATAATAATAATAATAATAATAATAATAATAATAATAATAATAATTTATTATTTATACCCCGCCCATCTGGCTGGGTTTCCCCAGCCACTCTGGGTGGCTTCCAACAAACACTAAAATACAATAACCTATTAAACATTAAAAGCTTCCCTAAACAGGGCTGCCTTCAGATGTCTTCTAAAAGTTTGGTAGTTATTTTTCTCTTTAACATCTGGTGGGAGGGCGTTCCACAGGGCAGGTGCCACTACCGAGAAGGCCCTCTATCTGGTTCCCTGTAACTTGGCTTCTCGCAGCGAGGGAACCACCAGAAGGCCCTCGGCGCTGGACCTCAGTGTCTGGGCAGAATGATGGGGGTGGAGACACTCCTTCAGGTATACAGGACCGAGGCCGTTTAGGACTTTAAAGGTCAGCACCAACACTTTGAATTGTGCTCGGAAACGTATTGGGAGCCAGTACGTTTGAATGAATGAACAATGAATACTTGGAGAAGCAAAGTATTTTTTGTACTTCGGCTGCACTGAATGTACCCTCTTCTTGGCAAATGTTGAGATTAGGTAATACAAGAGCTGTTGTGGGATAGTGAGCAGAATGACAAACAAAGACCATGGAGACCCGAATTCAACCCCAGATAAGCTCATTAAGCAACCTTGAGTCAAGTCCTACCTCTCAGCCCACCCCACCTCAGAGGGTTGTTGCCTATCATGATGTAGTGGTTTGAGTAGCATCTGGGAGAGCAAGGTTCAGATCCACACCTAGCCATGAAACTCACTGGGTGACCTTGGGCCAATCACTGTCTCTCGGATGAACCCACCTCACAGGATTGTGAGACTAAAATGGGAAGGGGGAGAACATTGTGCTACCTTGCGCTCCTTCGAGGAAAGCATGAGGGTGTGGAAATACAATAATAATTTTTAAATTGTTGTGAGGGTAAAAAAAATGTGGGGTTGCTGGAACCCTACTTAAAAAGGAAACACAAGAGGAATTAAACAAGAGTCCACTATGGTTCATTCTCCACAGTGCTTGAAATAATAATAATAATAATAATAATAATAATAATAATAATAATAATAATTTTATATCCCGCCCTCCCCAGCCGAAGCCAGGCTCAGAGCGGAAAGACCATTAATTTTGGAAATGGGGATGTTTAAAAGCTGTGCATGGGAGAGAGAGCATTCCATGTTACTCTGTGGTCTCCAGTCGCTGCTTTGCATCAAAGTACATGAAACATGCAGGCTATTTTTCTTTCTGTTTTGGGTTGCTGCTTTTGTTTTTATAAAAAGTAATAAAAAATGAATTGCAGAAAGACGTGGCAGCGTTATCCTACGAGGACTCTGGGTCGTGATGAGCCTTCTTTTAAATAAATGATTGTCCTTTCTGCCTCAGAAACACAAGAGAACTTGTTCATTTGCGAGGCAAGCACAACTTTTCAGAAAGAGAACTCTCTGAAGGGTATTATCAGTGACTGAAAAAGAAACAAGAAACTGGTGGGTGGAGGGAGACTTGACGGGGGACATCCATAATACATACTTAAAAGGCAGCCGCCTTTCTATGACCGGGTAAACAAGCGAGAAGCAAGTGCTGTCCCTTTTTCAACCCGCTTCTACTGGTTAAGAGGCACAAAGCTTACAATCTTCCCAAAAGGCATCTGGTTGGCCACAGGATGCTGGACCTGATCCAGATGTCTTTAACTGCATCCAGCAGGGCTCTTCTTCAGCTCTTAGGTAAAGACCCTGCCCTTTCAAGCCCCAGGTGGGAGTTTTCCTCCCACTTCAAATAGCAGATGCAAGGGGAGGGGGCAGGCAATTCTGACCAAGACAGCAGCACTGAGAGCAAAGGACCGGTGTTTGAAACTCCCATTGTTCTAGGCGCATTTTGTGAGCAGTTTCTGAGCTCCAGGCACAGTACTGCGCCTAAGATTTCAGATTAAAACTGCAGAGTGGAAGGAAAGGAGGACTTTTTTCTGCCTCCCCACTTCCAGCTACTCTCTGAAGACTAGATAAGAGACCCTCTTCAGAATATTAGGGGGGTGGGCAGGGGAAGGACTAGACCACGTGAAAAATTAACGTAATATTTTAGCTGCGGTTCATTCATTTTCAGCTTTGTATCCTTGTTATTAAAAACACACACCTAGACATTCCGTGGTTGTGCCCATAACCTAGGTTTAAGGTGCCATTTAGCTACTAGCTTTCATATCTCAGTTTCTAACACTGCAAAGGACTAATGCTCTCCTCACCCATATCATGGATCCCAATTTGGTTCCCCATTTCCTGCACTAACTATTTTTTGTTTAAATATCAAGTGCATCAGGGCAAGCCGTGAGACGAAATGTCATATCTAGTTTGCTCCTAACAGAGCAAACAAAGCTAGCTCCAAGCATTTCAGAGGACAGTACAACCAGTAATTTTGTGGATGGACCAGTTTGTTGACAGGGGACATTGAATGGCATCTATGATAAACTATTTAAGAGACTTTTACTCAAATCTTCTTCCCCATTCTGCCCCAAGGTAAACTATTACTTCATTGAGCTTCTGTGGACTAGACGCTGTCTTATGAAATGCCAGTCCATGAACGCTTACATCATAATTAAATTGCTGGTCTAGCATTGAAAGGCTCTTTTGGTTTTGCCTCAACAAATTAACGGATGGCGCTGTGGGTTAAACCACAGAGCCTAGGACTTGCCGATCAGAAGGTCGGCGGTTCGAATCCCCGTGACAGGGTGAGCTCCCATTGCTCGGTCCCTGCTCCTGCCAACCTAGCAGTTCGAAAGCACATCAAAGTGCAAGTAGATAAATAGGTACCGCTCCAGCGGGAAGGTAAACGGCATTTCCATGCGCTGCTGTAGTTCACAAGAAGCAGCTTAGTCATGTTGGCCATATGACCCGGAAGCTGTACGCCAGCTCCCTTGGCCAATAAAGCGAGATGAGCTTTACGAGATGAGGTCACGACTGGACCCAATGGTCAGGGGTCCCTTTACCTTTACCCCTCCGGAGATTATTACAACTGGTTCATAAATGGGGACCTGTGAGAGGGGGTGCTATTGGTTTGGTTGGTTCTTGTTCATATTATGTACTTTATAGTTTTCTTCTGCATTTTTAGGCTGTGGCCCACTCTGAGATCTTTGGATGAAGGGCAGTATACAAATTTAATTAATAATAAAATTAATAGTAATAGTAATAGTAATAGTAATAGTAAATAACTGACTTAGGAATCTTCCTTATACCGAGTAAGAACAAAGGTCCATCCAGCTAAATGTTGTCTGCACTGACAGGCACCAGGTCTCTGAGGTTTCAGAGATGGGTCTATCCCAGCCCTATTTAGAGACACTGGGGATTAAACCTGAGACCTTCTGCATGCAAGGCATACCCTTTACCACTATCGTCTACTAGCCAATCCTCATTTAACTGGAAATGGCAGGGGCTGAACCTCAGATATTCTGCACGAGAAGCACATGCTCTACCAAAAAGGTCCCCCCAGAAATCTTGCTCAGAGTCAACCTGTGAGATCCCATGTCTGACGTTCAGAACCTCAACTGCTGTGAAACCAACTCAAGAGTGTGGCAGGGGTGACGGCTGAGCTTGTGCCACAGATGGATCTGGTGGAAAGGAGAAAGATGACTCTGCATGGAGATGGTCCCTTTCCCAGCTGCTGCCCTGACCGCAGCCAACCTCAACCGAGAATCCCCTGGAAATTCACAGCCGGACACTTTCCGCTGGACAAAACTGGATCTCGCCATTTAGCTGGGGTTGCCAAGGCATAACTCTCTGAACCTAAATATGTTCCCATCCTAGTAGGATAAGTTGCCTATTTCCTTTCATTAACAGGTTGTATTTTAGTAAAATGCCGGAACACCCACAGCACAATAGGCAAGGATGTTCACGTCAATGATGCCTTTTCACTACTTCTTCAGAATCGAAATTTCCCACAGGTCTGGGGGAAATGGAATCAATGATACTTTGGATTCATGACAGCTCATGAACAGAGTCATTGCCAGGCCAATTAACTATACAGTGAGATAAATCATTCCAGCATTGATTGTGTAGCCCGATGATTGCAAAGCCTGTCCTCAGGCAGAAGCCGGCAGCAATAGACTAAAGCATCATAATTATGCATGGATTTCTAACTTAAGTGTGATGGTTAGACCTTAGGATCGCTGATGTTTTGGGTGTCAAGAGGACACAAAGATGAGGTGAATACCTTTGAGTCGAAGGGTAGATTTACAAAGTATTTCTGGACAAAGGTAAAATCCCAGTCACCCATCTGAGCAAAATGTTCATGGGAACCTGCTTAAAAGTTCTCTTAAACGGCCCCGGCCCAGTATACCTGAAGGAGCATCTCCACCCCCATAGTTCTGCCTGAACACTGTGGTCCAGCGCCGAGGGCCTTCTGGTGGTTCCCTCACTGCGAGAAGCAAAGCTACAGGGAACCAGGCAGAGGGCCTTCTCGGTGGTGGCGCCCGCCCTGTGGAACGCCCTCCCATCAGATGTCAAAGAGAGGAACAACTACCTGACATTTAGAAGACACCTGAAGGCAGCCCTGTTTAGGGAAGCTTTTAATGTCTGACATTTTAATGTATTTTTAATCTTTGTTGGAAGCTGCCCAGAGTGACTGGGGAAACCCAGCCAGATGGGCAGGGTACAAATTAATAATAATAATAATAATAATAATAATAATAATAATAATAATTACAGTGGTGCCTCGCAAGACGAAATTAATTCGTTCCGCAAGTTTTTTCTTCTTGCGAGTTTTTCTTCTTGCGAAGCACGGTTTCCCATAGGAATGCATTGAAAATCAATCAATGCGTTCCTATGGAGACCGTCCGGGGACAGAGGGGAAGCGCCACGCGCCTTCCCCGCTGTCCCCGGACCTCTTTTGAAGCAAGGGGCGGCGGGGAGAAGATCGCTTCTCCCCGTTGCCAGCCCCGCAATCTCCGGGGACAGAGGGGAAGACGCGCTGCGCTTCCCCGCTATCCCAGGAGCTTGCGGGGCAAGCTTCGTTTTGCGAAGCAAGCCCATAGGGAAATGCGTCTTGTGAAGCGGCTAAGAAAATGAAAAACTCCTTCGTCTAGCGAGTTTTTCGTCTTCCGAGGCGTTTGTCTTGCGGGGTACCACTGTATTATTATTAACAACCTGATCCACAGATTCAACCTAACTGCACAGAATTCCTAGGACTGAACCATTTCTGACCACAGGGGGAAGGGTTACATTTTCTTGTATATCTTCACATAAAAAAACTATCCCTGCATATATTTAATGCAGTGTCTAGTTTGAGTCTTAAATTCACAACACATGCTTTAAAGTTTCCCCAGGAATGCCTGTTATAGATTTGAAATCCAATGTGGGTAGTAGCAGCAAAGCGACATTTTCTACCTGGGGTTTTTTGCTTTCGTTTTCTCTCTTCTCCAGCTGGCTTTGCAGCTTCTTCCTCTCCTGTTCGAGTTCCCGCACTCTCTTCTGAAGCTTTAGGAAGAGGGTCATGTCCATGGCCGCCTTCTCCATGCCAACCTCCTGTGACGGAAGAGGAGAACGAGAGGTAAGAGCAGGGAGTAACCTTAATGGCCTGGAGGCACCGCAGGAACATGCATTATGCAGCAGGTCACCAGGAGCCTTTCAGCAACACCTGAGAGCTTTGAATAATTACAAAGGAAAAGGAACGTGCTGTGTGGCTGGCTCAACACTCTTGCCCAACAGGAAGCCAAGGAAGCACTTCTATCGCACCCAATGAAGGGTTCTTCCAGATGCGGTCCATTTAGCAGGCGCTCAGTCGCTGGTGTTCTGCTTTGAACTGGAATAGCAGCTTTGGAATCTAAATAAGATTCTGCAGCCAAGTGGACAAACATATAAGGTAAAGGTAAAGGGACCCCTGACCATTAGGTCCAGTCGTGGCCGACTCTGGGGTTGCGGCGCTCATCTCGCCTTATTGGCCGAGGGAGCCAGCATACAGCTTCCGGGTCATGTGGCCAGCATGACTAAGCCGCTTCTGGCGAACCAGAGCAGCGCACCGAAACGCCGTTTACCTTCCCGCCGGAGCGGTACCTACTTGCACTTTGATGTGCTTTTGAACTGCTAGGTTGGCTCAGCCCCAAATTCTTGGGAGGGGAAGGGTTTCATTGGAACCATGGCGGGCTTTTTTTGAAGGGGGGACGGTAAAAGGTAAAGGGACCCCTGACCATTAGGTCCAGTCATGGCCGACTCTGGGGTTGCAGCGCTCATCTCGCTTTATTGGCCGAGGGAGCCGGCGTACAGCTTCCAGGTCATGTGGCCAGCATGACTAAGCCGCTTCTGGCGAACCAGAGCAGCGCATGGAAACGCCGTTTACCTTCCCGTCAGAGCGGTACCTATTTATCTACTTGCACTGGCGTGCTTTCGAACTGCTAGGTTGGCAGGAGCAGGGACCGAGCAATGGGAGCTCACCCCGTCACGGGGATTCGAACCGCTGACCTTCTGATCGGCAAGTCCTAGGCTCTGTGGTTTAACCCACAGCGCCACCCACGTCCCTGAAGGGGGGTTAGAAGGTGCTAAATACTCCCTCCCCCTCCTTGCTGCACATCCGATCATGGTTGCTCCCTCTCACCAAATTAAGGCGAGGGAGGGAAAATAAATGAATATAAAGGCAATGCTATTTGGAGAAGTGCTAAGCTGATAGAGCTTATCCCTAGAGAGGAGAGCTGGGGGAAATGGCTAGAGGAAATCTATATGGGCCATAACCCGTTCACCAAATATGCTGTTCTTGGACAAGAGACAGGCTGGCCACAGGGCTTATCCAAACTTCCCTTTTGCCTCTTTCTTTCCAAGCAGAGATCCATGATTAAAAGCTCTGTGTCCAAGTGTCTGTTTTTGCCTCGAGCTTTCCCTGCTATTCCCCACTGAATCGAAGCAAATGTTGATTCAGGTTTCCCGTAGATTGATGTTTGCTCTGATTGAGCTTTAAAGAGCAGGTTTTTACAGGGAAAGATCGGCGAAGAAGAAGAAGAAGAAGAAGAAGAAGAAGAAGAAGAAGAAGAAGGACGCTCGGACACGGAATTTTAGATTGTGACCATATCTGGAAAGAACGAAGGAAAGGTAAGAGTGGATAAGCCTGCAATTAACCATGTCCTGGTGACATCATGTTTGGAAGACAGCAGAGTGGTCTAAACAAAGCTATCCATGAAGGCGATCCAGAAGCTGCAGCTATTGGGAGAAAGTCCCAGCAAGATTGGTGTATGCGATCACACAATGGAATCATGGAGCACCACTCCTTTTGGACCTGCACTGACTGTCGATACACTAACAGGCCAGATTCTGGCACTAGTCTATATAAAGCCCAAAATTTCTTGGGAGCCAGATACCTGAAAGAGTGCCTCTCTCAATATGTATTGGCACGAGTGATCAGTGAGGAAAGGGCCTCCTGGCGATCCCACTCTTGGGGGAGATACTTTCTACGGTGGAACAGGGCAGGGCCTTCTCTGCAGTGGCATCCTAACTGGAACTCGCTCCCATTGCCAGTTCAATCACCTTCATTCGTAACCTTTTGGTGTATGATCTAGCTGAGATTCCTACATTGCATGGGGTTGACCTGGATGACCAATGGAGTCCCTCCTAACTCTACATTTCTGATTCTAGAATGTGTTTTTATTAAGCAATGGCAAACCTAAACAGCATCTTAAAAAGCAGAGACATCGCCTTGCCAACAAAGGTTCGTATAGTAAAAGCTATGGTTTTCCCAGTAGTGATGTATGGAAGTGAGAGCTGGACCATAAAGAAGGCTGATCGCCAAAGAATTGATGCTTTTGAATTATGGTGCTGGAGGAGACTCTTGAATCTTCTTGCATGGACTGCAAGAAGATCAAACTGATCCATTCTGAAGGAAATCAGCCCTGAGTGCTCACTGGAAGGACAGATCCTGAAGCTGAGGCTCCAATACTTGGGCCACCTCATGAGAAGAGTAGACTCCCTGGAAAAGACCCTGATGTTGGGAGAGATGGAGGGCACAAGGAGAAGGGGACGACAGAGGACGAGATGGTTGGACAGTGTTCTTTGAGTTTGACCAAACTGTGGGAAGCAGTAGAAGATAGGAGTGCCTGGTGTGCTCTGGTCCATGGGGTCACGAAGAGTCGGACACGACTAAACAACAACAACAGTGGTACCTTGGCTGGTGAATTTAATCTGTTCTGGGAGTCCATTCGACTCCCGGAACTGTTCAAAAACCAAGGCGCGGCTTCTAATTGGCTGCAAGAGCTTCCTGCACTCAGTCGGAAGCCGCGGAAACTGCGTCGGACGTTTGGCTTCCCAAAAATGTTTGCAAACCAGAACACTCACTTCTGGGTTTGCGGCGTTTGGGAACTGATTTGTTCGGGAGCCAAGCCGTTCAACAACCAAGGTACCACTGTGATGGGAGTCATGTAGGACATAAAAACGATGTGGAGTTTTTATAATGTTTTATTTCCACTTTCGTATTTTACTGTTGTATTTTCTGAGATGTGTTTATTTGATGGATTGGTTACTGGTAAACCACCCCATAATCTGGCTGGCTGAAGTATATGATAGAAATAAAAATAAATTATAAATAGAACAATAAATAACTGGACAAACAGTTGCATGAACAGCTGCATGAGGCTCTGCAGCTGGATTACGCAGCTGCTCCAGGTTTTATGAGGTCGGGGGGGGGGATTTGGTTAAGCAGGGAAAACACAGGAGGGGGATGTTTTGATCACAACATCATGCAGATGCCCTGTAAAAATGAGTTAATGACATGTGGCTATTCGACAGTAATTGTGCACTGTGGAGGCAGCCAAATTGCACAAGCTTTTGTGCAGAATGTTTCCAGCACAGATTGCACCACTGGTTCTCGTCTACCACATATATAAGGAATGAAGGTGGCTGTGTGGACGCTATGCATCGAAGCCAGGACAGAAAGCGAGAAAAACCTGAGATGTGAAAGCTCTTAATCAGCAGCTTCTGCTGGTGTCAGAGGCCTTGACACTTTGCACTTGGTGCAACGGGTTGCATCCAAAGAGAGAAAGCAATTTCACAAATCCATCTTCGGCTTCTTAGCTCTCATGGTCAGGTAACTAAGGATCCTAAACACAGCCATTTAACAGGGAGAGAAATGGCAGCACCGAGAGGTGAAGTGACTAAAGGCCACAAGAAAATCCGTAACAGACAAATCCATAACAGCGGTAGTCTGGCCTCCATTACATTTTGCTTTTCACTCTAGACACACTAACACGCCAGCCACAGAGCCCTTCAATCATAACCTCTGCCACTGGACATGCCAGCTGAACGCATTTTGTCTACTCTAAGTGGTTGAAAATAACGGCCTTAGCCCTTGCACTCGTTACTTCAGTTCAAGACATTCTTAACATCCTAGGCAGATTAATCTTACAAGGATGGAGCGGGCAGAAACGGAGACAGAAATTTGGCCAATCCAAAACCCTGCTGGACTCCTGCTGGCATAGTGGAAGGTGGGAGCCTTCTTTCTTGACCATTCATTCATTTTCATATTTCCTCTCCCTTTGGTCCCAAAGGGGAGGGGAAATCAGGTTGATGGCTCCAGGACTAGGGACACAATTTGGGGAGATGTTGGAGAGCTTTGCATCCAGCCCCCCACTCGCTGGACTTACCACCTGGTAACTCCTTACTGTTACCGATGGTGGAGTGCTAAGGGTGGCAGCAGGCTCTTTGCCCACAACGGGGAGGCTTCTTCACCCACGGACCTCCCTCTCTGGGGGGCTGAGAGAGAAATATAGCCTGTCCTATGGCCCCTCAAGGAACGCGGGTGGCGCTGTGGGTTAAACCACAGAGCCTAGGACTTGCTGATCAGAAGGTCGGCGGTTTCAAATCCCTGCGACAGAGTGAGCTCCCGTTGCTCGGTCCCTGCTCCTGCCAACCTAGCAGTTCGAAAGCACCTCAAAGTGCAAGTAGATAAATAGGTACCGCTCTGGCAGGCAGGTAAATGGCATTTCCGTGTGCTGCTCTGGTTCGCCAGAAGCGGTTTAGTCATGCTGGCCACATGACCTGGAAGCTGTACGCCGGCTCCCTTGGCCAATAAAGCGAGATGAGCGCCACAACCCCAGAGTCGGTCACGACTGGACCCAATGGTCTGGGGTCCCCTTTACCCTTTTTGGCCCCTCAAATGCTCTTCTAGGAACCTTGGGATTTTGTTCTATTAGCCCTTTTGGAGAGCACAAGGAAGCCTTCGGAGCGTCGCTCTGCATTCTCCACCAAGTCTAACACTGCGCGGATAGATACATTAATGCCTTGTGCCCTAATGTACTTTAAAATGTTGGTTATGCTGAAAGTGTACCAGGGAGGCTGGAAATCTCTTTGAAAACACAATAGGACTGCCTAAAGCCAGTCCTCAGGAGGCTTGGAAAGGCGCTCAGAAGCCTTTTGAAAGGAAAATATGTTATATAAATGCATTATTAACCACTCGCTTTCTTTTTAATTATCATTACTTAATGCTCTCCGTGTACAGCCCTAACTGTTAACTAAAAGCGTGCGTTTAAAAATTAATCCTCTTTAATTGCCTAATTAAAGATATAAACAGCGCGACTTTCTCAATGCGAGGCTGAGGTTTTGACATCTGCTGCTCCCGACATAATTAGTGTTGGCTTTCCAGCAGCACAAGAAAACTTAATAGTCACATTTCAAAACCACATCTCTACTCAATCTGCCTCATTCAGAGAAAGTCATGGCACTCCGGTGACCATGCAGGGACCCGCTTAATAAAACCTGCCCCCAAACCCTGTTTGAATTGAACTTTCATACCTCCACCTGCTGGATTGCATCCTCAGTATCCCCAACCTCAGATGTAGAAATTGACGGGTAATTGGAGTCTGATTCCAGGCTGCTCTGGTTCGATGGATTTCTTCTGTGTCCTGGGGTCTGCTATGAAAAGAGATGACAGTATTAAAGTTACCCAACTACCACCTCCAGGCAGCTGTTCTATCAGATTGCAGAACACAGGGAGAGAAGGGAAGGAGGTCTGTTTCACAGGCTTCACAGACACTAGCTTTCTCCAGCTCCTTCTCAACAATCACCTGGCAGCCACCACACCATCAAGGGTACATTAACTTTCTCCATAAAGGTAAAGGGACCCCTGACCATTAGGTCTAGTTGTGACTGACTCTGGGGTTGCAGCGCTTATCTCGCTTTACTGGCCGAGGGAGCTGGCATACAGCTTCCGGGTCATGTCGCCAGCATGCCTAAGCCGGCGGCTTCTGGCGAAACAAGAGCAGCACACGGAAACACTGTTTACCTTCCCACCGGAGTGGTACCTATTTATCTACTTGCCCTTTGACATGCTTTCAAACTGCTAGGTTGGCAGGAGCTGGGACCGAGCAACAGGAGCTCACCCCGTCACAGGGATTCGAACGGCCAACCTTCTGATCAGCAAGACCTAGGCTCTGTGGTTTGACCCACAGTGCCACCCCCAACTTTCTCCATACCAGCTAGCTGTTTTCAGAACCATAATTTTAAAAACAGGTGCCGGAGTTTGCTTTTTACCTCCTCTCCCCCCCCATCCTTTTTTCCTTTAGGGTCATGACTCACCCCCAAAGAATTCTGGGAACTTTAGCTTGTTAAGGAAACTGAGAGTCATTAGGAGACTCTTACTCGCTCCACAGAGCTGTAATTCCAAGAGTGGTTTAACAGTCCAGCCTTCTTCCTAGGGGACTCTGGGAATTGTAGCTCTGTGTGGGGAATAGGAGTCTCCTAACAAGTCTCGGCAGACTTAACAAACTACTATTCTCAAGATTCTTTTCAAAAGTCATGTTGGTTTAAAGGTGGTATGGTACTGCTCTAAATGCGTAATGCAGATGGGGCCTAACTCAGTAGAGCTACGGGAGTTACACTAGTTCTCATATCTCACATAAATCTATTATGTTCACAGGATATTGCTTAGCACTAATTATTTCTGTTAGGGACGCGGGTGGCGCTGTGGGTAAAAGCCTCAGTGCCTAGGGCTTGCCGATCGAAAGGTCGGCGGTTCGAATCCCCGCGGCGGGGTGCGCTCCCGTTGCTCGGTCCCAGCGCCTGCCAACCTAGCAGTTCGAAAGCACCCCCGGGTGCAAGTAGATAAATAGGGACCGCTTCTAGCGGGAAGGTAAACGGCGTTTCCGTGTGCAGCTCTGGCTCGCCAGAGCAGCGATGTCACGCTGGCCACGTGACCCGGAAGTGTCTCCGGACAGTGCTGGCCCCCGGCCTCTTGAGTGAGATGGGCGCACAACCCTAGAGTCTGTCAAGACTGGCCCGTACGGGCAGGGGTACCTTTACCTTTACCTTAATTATTTCTGTCAGCTCTAACGAGAACACACAGGTATTTGCTGTGGTTGGAAGCGCTTTCCAAAATATAGCCAGCGAACTTATCGCAGTTGACGGAATACTATCAGCTCCTATCATAGCATCCCATTACCTTTATGATAGCCATTTCATCCCGTAAGTTGTCATATCTCTGCTCCAGCCTCGAATACTCCTGCACAAGATTCTGATAGCGAACTCTCTCCTCTTCCAGCTCCTTCTTCGTCAGCAGATTTTCCTCGACAGCATTTTGTGCAAACTCATCTTGCAGAACAAAAAGAAGACAAATTTGACATGTTTAACTACTGAATTTTTACTGAAGTGGTGAGCTCCGGCACCTCTTTTTCCAGAAAAAATAGAACCGACTCAGGCTCTCCCAAACATCTGGAGGTAACTAGGTTGGTGAGGACTGGCCTTACAGTCTTACACATACAGTGGTACCTCGGGTTAAGTACTTAATCCATTCCGGAGATCCATTCTTAACCTGAAACTGTTCTTAACCTGAAGCACCATTTTAGCTAATTGGGCCTCCCGCTGCTGCGCCGCCGCACAATTTCTGTTCTCATCCTGAAGCAAAGTTCTTAACCTGAAGCACTATTTCTCGTTTAGTGGAGTCTGTAACCTGAAGCGTCTGTAACCCAAGGTACCACTGTACTGGTATATGTTGCTGGCTTCTGAAATAAATAAGAAGCCTAAAGAAGATTCCCTCGTGCTTGATCTAGAAGCTGAAGAGTTAGAGCAGAATGCTGGAGCATGACTGCTGACAGGAGTGAGGCCTTGTCAGCATATAACCACTGCGCTCAGAGATCTGGTTGCCCATTTGCTACTGGGTCATGGTGTTACTATTTGCTACTGGGTCAAGGTGTTACTATTAATATTTAAAGCCCTTAGCAACTTGGGACCAGTATACCTACGAGATAGTCTTACCTCACATGTGCCCACTCGACCACTTCGATTGGCACAAACAGCACTACTACAGGTGCCACGCAATACCTGTTCTGCATTTGTAAGAACCCGGTCATTCAGTGTGGCAGCCCCTGTACTTTGGAACTCCCTGCCTCTTGAGAGCAAACAGGCGCCTTCACTGTACTCTTTTTGGCGCCTGTTTCAGATGCTTAGAAAGTTGAGGCAATCTTAATCTAGTGTTTTCCCCTTTTGTATGTTTTAAAGTAGGGTTGTTACTTTTTTCTTGACTTTACTGTTTTATCTTTTGTAAACCCCTCGGAGGGTTTTTATTATTATTTTATTTAAAAAAGGAAGTGGTGTTTAATTTATGACGGATGTTTGTTCCAATTCAGGAGTAAACAGTGGGTTTTCCTAAGGAAAGTGGCAGGAAAAACAGAAAACTGCTCGGATCTGAGCCTAGGAAGTGTGGAAAAGCCTCAAGGTGCACCGAGGCAGTTTCCTGTGTTCTTATGTTTGTTCGTAACCGATGGATCAGATAGAACTCATCTGATCCATCAAGCAACGTTTCTTTAGGGTGACAGCCCTAAAAATGAAAGAAAGCCCTCTATCAAAATGATAAGCTTGTACAACCCATTAGATAACAAAGGTATTTACTGAGCGCTTGCGTTCCTCACGCACATTATGGCTTTCCCAGCCTGTTTTCTCTCTCAGCTTGCCAATGTCTAAGTCAGTTTTTAAAATGATCCATTCATGGTGCCTTGTTATGTTAAAGAGGCCCTTTGTTGCAGTTCAAATACTGCTGTCTGAACACCACTTGTTTGCTGACACTGTCAAGTAATTTCCCTTTACAGTTCCTCTGATTAGATCCGAAAAAATGTAACTGAAGATTGGGGAATTTATGCGCATGTGTAGAAACCTTTTTTTATTCCACGCTTAATTAAATCAGTTCCCCCTCCTGCTCTCTCACCTCCCTGAAAGCTATTCCAACAATGTCTTTGGGAGAGAGGCGAAGAGGAACTGTTAGAAGATTAGTACAGTGGTGCCTCGCAAGACGAAATTAATTCGTTCCGCGAGTTTTTTCGTCTTGCGATTTTTTCGTCTTGCGAAGCACGGTTTCGGAAAAGTTTTGGAAAAGCTTCAAAAATCACCAAAGTCTTCAAAAACCTCAAAAAGGCTACCACACCGCGTGCTATGAGTTGCTCCTCAAAGTCAAGTCACAACTGTATTAATGGTTTTAAGAAAAAGGAAATAAACTTGCAAGACGTTTTCGTCTTGCAAAGCAAGCCCATAGGGAAAATCGTCTTGCGAAGCAACTCAAAAAACCAAAAACCCTTTCGTCTTGCGAGTTTTTTGTCTTGCGAGGCATTCGTCTTGCGAGGTACCACTGTACATTTTTGCTTATCAATCACAACTAGCACTGAGGGAGAAAGGGCTCATAACACTACAAGGAACAAACAAAAGCAAAACTGCCAGCCCGGTTTACCTCCAGCATTAAATGAAACCATATGCCCTGCTCCTCCTTACCTTCTGACCGACACAGAATTTTGTTGTTCAGCTCCTCTTTTTCCTGCTTCAGCAGCGCATTCTCCTCTTCCAAGTCCGATATCCGCTGAGGAGAAAGCAGGAGAGCAATATTACTGTCCCACAATGTAAGGCAACTCAAGGTCAGTTAACTCCGTGGAGCGACAGAGTTTCACCTGGCTGGCTTTTATAGCCAAACCGGTTTTTTGTCCTCCTTCAATCGCTAGAATAATGATACACAACAGTGAAAGGCTTGCTTTTTAAACAGCCTACTCTAAGAACCATTTTTTAAAAGAATGTGCAAACTTTGGTATAAATCAATGGCTAGTAGACATAAGAAAACCTGCTGGGCCAGGTCAATTGGGGTTGCCATATTTCAAAAAGTGAAAATCCAGACACAAATGTCATTGAGATTTTTTAAAGTCCACCCCCCCCAAAGTCATTGGCAAAATCACAAAAAGGACATTAAGGAAGATAGTTCAGTATCGTGTTCTCACAGTGGCCAGCCACATGCCTGTAGAAAAACAGGAAGCAGAACATGAGCACAAGAGCAATTCTCCCCACAAGACATGATGTCTATGTTCTGCTTCTACTGTGGGTGTGAAGAGCAGTTGATGGAAGTCACAAGCAGGGAGAATAATGTTGAGCTCAGTTTCTGTTAGCAAGTTTTCCACAGGCATCTGGTTGGCCACTGTGAGAACAGGATGCTGGACTAGATTGGCCACTGGCCTGATCCAGTGGACTATTCTTACATTCTTAGTGTTTAGTATAAACAGTGTTTGCTGTCTAAGGCAAACGTGTACCTTATGCCTCAGACATGAAAAAACCTCGAGACGGCTCTGTAGGTCATGGTGAAAACTCTGAGGAGAGTTTTTTAACCTCGTGTTAAAGAAAGAGAAAGAATGTCTAAGCGAAGGATCCACCCCAAACTAAACTTGAAGTGAATCCGAGATACCTCCTCAGCGATTCTGAGGGATGCAATGAATTCATGCCATTGCTAGACTCCAGTGGATATTCCTGATGTCTTGTTTTTCCCCCTTTACTGTTTACTCTTTGCCACAGTGCAATTAGTCTTTCACATAAGATTAAAATAAAAACACCTCGGATCATATTGTCTGAGCGTAAAAAAAGAGAAGAAAAAAAGAGAGGAAAAGTCTCAGTGTAACTTGAATGCTTCTCATATCCCAGAGCCAATACTGGCAAAATAGGGGACACTGACATGTAGCACACAAGGTCGTTCTATTTAGCCACAGCGGTCTTACTTCGCTGAATTGCTTTTAGCGCATGAAATATTGGCTTGGTTGTGCTGCACATGGACAAGGCTGCAGGCTGGCACCCCAAATTTCACTGTGGTGTTCCTCTCAGTCTACACAATTGCGACTCGGAGCAGAACAGCTATAATTTGGAAAATTGCTACACAGAGCGTGTACGTGGATTCTGAGCTGCTGGAGAAAGAAGGCTTTATACATCAGAATAATAAAGATTTTTTATTTTTTTTTGCCGTCCCAGCAAGCCCAACAATACATGACTGCTAAGCCTCATTCATCCATACAGCAGCCTAATTCTTATCTACGTTCATATAACCATTCCCCAGATTTCTTGGCAGGCAGGAAACTGCAGAGGTATTTTATCAATAAGTGCACATGACATTTAAAAAGCCAAACCCTAAATGGATAACAGGGGCCAGTGGGAAGCAAGCAGTTTATTACATGAAAAGTTCAAATGGCTTTTGTAAGGCGTTATTCAATGTGCATGAAAACTGGAGGGCGAGGGGGAGCCAAAAAGCCCTAAAGCAACAAAATTAGAACAGCTCATTTATTTATTGATCTCTCCAAAGTATCTTTGGAGCATTAGTTCTCCTTCAAGGTCTGAACACAGCTGTTAGGTCTGTTGTTTCGTGTGTGTTGCACCCAGAAAAACAGCCAAAGTTTTCTGCAGTGGATCATCTACAGTGAACAGGGGGACTGGTTGGCGTCTCCCTCACCACCCCAAAGGTGAGCTAAGATTATGAAGGTGTCTGCCATCTCCCTGAGTGGACAGTCTGGTTTCACAGTAACCTTTTTCTAGGTAGTCATTTATGCAACTGCAAGGAAGAATTTGGCAGTGCAAATCAGCCTCGAGAAAAGCCAGTGGACCTTGCAGATGGATGCAGAAACTGTAATAGTGAGAAATGCAAAACCATCCAGCAAGCTTTCAGAAAGTGTGTCCAAGGTTTTGGCACTGTGATACAGTCTGGCAAATCCTGGGGAGCATTACCTTTCGGAGCACATCTTTCTCCTTTGCATAGGTGTCTTCTACGATCTTTCTTTCCCCGTGAGCCTTCTCCAGGGCCAACCGGAGAGAGTCGATCTCTTCTTGCAAGCTTGCAAGCTGGTTGGCGTCTCCCTTCTTCCGCTGATATCGTTGCAGCTCCTTCTTCAGCTTCTCTATCTCGGTGGAATGAGAAGTGGCGGCTGCGGAGAACTGTTCAGTCAGGAGCTTGTATTCTTTGTTCTGCAATTTGGGGGGAGGTGAGAAGGAATATATGAACACAGCTCAGCACTCGACAGAGGTACTGTCCCTCCCTCCCCGCAAAGGCCCAAATACTACAATTTAAAAATATTGGGTTTATATTACTTGTTGATATCTTTTCAGTGTGATACAACTCTCTTTTAAGGATCACAGGGCGGAGAAATGCTACTATAAGCAATAATTTTCAGAGGGGTAGTGTTTGTTGGTCTGTTGCAGTGACAGCCTTGTACAGTCAAACCTCGGTTGTTGAACGTAACCTGTTTGGCTTCCGAAATGTTCGAAAACCAAGGCCCCGCTTCCGGTTGGCTGCACTCAAGTGGAAGCCGCATCGGACATTCGGCTTCCGAAAAATATTCGAAAACTGGAATACTTACTTCAGGGTTTTTGGCGCTCGGGAGCAAAAACGTTCTGAAACAGAGGTGTTTGGGAACTGAGGTTTGACTGTAAAGCCTTTGAGGACTTAAGGTCCACTACATCAAATGAATGGACTCTATCCCACAAATGTGTCATAATAAATTGGCCAGTCTTGAATACGCCACAGTCATCAGTGGGAATAAACAGAAGACCTCTACTCCTGAGTAAGTGTGTTTACGATGGCATAGTTGCTGGGGCAGCCCAGTCAGATGGTCAGGGTACAAATAAAAAAATAATATTACAGATCCACTTCTTTAAACTAGGAGTGAACAACCTGGGGCCCTCAAACCTAATTCCACGTAGGTGGCACCCCATGGCACTTCAACCCAGCTCAGGATCTGCTCTTAGAGCTCTTAGAAAAGAAAGCAAGTTTGGGAGATGGGGTGCGAGAGACAAAATATGGAAGGGGAGATGGCTCAGATCCCATCACCTGTGCACATAACAGCTCCAAGAAGCACAACGCAGCCCACATTCAGAAGGTGTTTGCTGCAATGTGAAAAACCACAGATTATGTACCAGGCATACAAGTGAAACGTTACATTTGTGATGGTCAGGAAGCTGACACAGAAAAGAGGGAGCAGAAAAAGGTGGAATGGGCCAATGTATTGACACACAGTACAGCAACCCTTACAACTGCTTTGTGCAGCTCTTGAATGTGTGCCCGTTAAACACACCTCCACTGGCCTGCAAGTTGCCTCCGACTCTATGAACCTCTAAGAGATGCAAGACTCTCCCTTTACACTGGACGAGTTCACATGTGCAGCTAAGCCAAACTATGGATTGACACAAATGGGCAAATGCAGACACAGATTGAAGTGAAGTTGTGAAGTGAAGATCACAGCTGCAGCAGTCTTCCCCTAGCCTTTCTGCGGCTAAGGCATGGTTTTGCTTAGTGCTATAGCTGAAGCTGGACTCGCGGTTTTTTTCTCTCAGACAAACCATAACAGGTAAACCAAGAACTCACTCTGGAGCAAGACAGAGCCTGTGGCTGGGTTTGGGTGCAGCATGAAGTTGAACTGCATGGCAAAATTTGGTGAAGTGCAAATGTCAAAGGTTTGATGTGTTTCAGTTTATATATTACATTGGAAAGTGTGAATTAGATAGACTGGCCTTTATAAAAGTGAACGGAGTCAAAATTCTCCTGTCTCTAGGTAGGGCTAAAGCTTAACAGTGACCACTCACAAAGCGCTGTTTGATGGTAAAGCCATTTCCTGTCCCCAGGGAGATGATGTTGCGGACTGGACACAAGCCCGACTCACGTGCATGGCGCAGGATAGCCCCTGTGCCATTGGTGCCCTTGGCCGCATCATCCCTTGGACCGACCAATGCAGTTGGTTGGGGGCGTGGCTTGGGCTATTTAAATCACCTGCGGTCGAGGACTCGCCCCCTTTGGCTTCCTGTTTGCGCAGTTATCCCTCCCTCCCTAAGGTTAGACTCTTTAGTCAGTTGGAGGGGAGGGGAGGCCATCACCTACCCCTCCTAATTCAAGGGTATTCCATTAAAGGAATCCAAGGGGCATGGTCTCTGTCCGAAGCCCCCGAACTGGGGGGGGGGGGGGGCTAGGGCCATGGCACGACCCTGGGGGAGTTCCTAGTTGATGTGCATCAGCAGGGCTCCCCCTACTGGTGGTTAAGCCTTCTGAGACTTCCTGCAGACAGGCAGGAGTCAGATATAGTCGGTTAGTTTCCAATGCCTAAGCCAATACCACTCACATTCTGTAACCAATGAAGTTGTGGTCTTTTTTAGCCCATTAACCTAAAATACTGGTCTCATGTGCCCTTATTCCTTAACATCTCAGGAGGGTTTGGGAGCTTGCCACGCAACACAAGCATCTTGAAATTGATAAGGTAATTAACACACGGTATGTAATGAAAGATTCATTATTCCAATTACAGCAACAGATCATGCAATTCGTCAAGAAGTTCAGCAATGTTTACTTGATTGTCTCCACCCTCATCGTTCAGCCCAGACACTGAGGTCCAGCTCCAAGGGCCTTCTGGTGGTTCCCTCACTGCGAGAAGTGATGCTACAGAGAACCAGGCAGAGAAGGGAGCTTTTCGGCTGTGGCGCCCTCTCTGTGGAATGCCCTCCCATCAGATGTCAAGGAGGTAAAGAACTATACAACTTTTAGAAGACATCTGAAGGCAGCCCTGTATGGGGAAGTTTTTTAAAAAATGTTTGACATTATGTTTTCATACGTGTTGGAAGGCGCCCAAAGTGGTTGGGGCAATCCAGCCAGATGGGCGGGGTATAAATAATAAAATGATGATGATTATGTCATGCTGCAGTCTCCCTTTGAATGTCCTTTGTTCAAGACTAGCAGAGTGGCAAAGGAAGCCTGTAGGATCAGGTAGGAAAGTGGCTACACCAGTACTGGCAGACCCCTCTATTTCTGATTTCAAATGCTGAGAAGGGAGTACTTAGGAGGATACCTTATAACAGGGCTGCCATCAAAATGAACAAGAGCTGTAACTATCAGGCAGGCCCTGAAATGAAATTAGAGTAAAAGGTGGTTTGGGAGAGTCGTTAAGTACGGTATCTTTTAAGACTATCTTTGAGAAGCCTAAGTGAATTGCTTGGAGGCTTGGGGTGGTGGTAGCGGGAGATAAAGAGCTGGCTGAAGAGGCAGAAGCAGTAATTCTTTTGCTGAAGAGCCGACGGCTACATCAACATTTACGTTCTTAAAATGTTCTGAAGAAGACTGTGTGAGCCCAGGGCACTTAGAGCATCAAGGCCAAACAGGCAGCAAGGCTGGCCTGATACTCCTAGGAAATCCACGCTGAGGACTAATTAACAGCCAGCAGCATTGATTTGTGTGGAAAAAATAATCTCGGATCAACTTTTATAAGCAGGAACACATTAATGGCCAGCAGGAGAGCACTGATGCCTGTGGTTCAGCAATGCCCACAAAACTTTGATCTAATCTGTTGACATGTTCACCCCTTTTGTCACAGGGATCTGAGCAAGCTTGAGGACGAAAAGCTGGTGAAACACAATCACAAACATCCATGAAGGCAGATATAATTAAACTGTGAAAGATGTGTCGTAAGGGGGAAGGCTAACATCTCTTTCACACCCTTCACCATTTCAGTAGACGAGTGTAAGAAAAAATCGTATGCAGAATGTGCTGAGTCAACAACATTTCTGCCAATTCAGCAAAAATGATGGGCAGCAAACAATTTAGAGACGATTACATTTAGAGACGAGAGGTTTTGAGATTCAATCATCACGAGTTTCCATTAAGGGTGCGGGCGGGAGGAGTGGACACCCTCAAGAATAACAAGCACCAAAACTAAATCCAGTGCCATCCGACTCCCAACTTTATTCCTCCCCTGCCTTTAGGTAAAGGCAAATGGACCACTGACCATTAGGTCCAGTGGTGACCGACTCTGGGGTTGCGGCGCTCATCTCGCTTTATTGGCTGAGGGAGCCGGCGTACAGCTTCTGGGTCATGTGGCCAGCATGACTAAGCTGCTTCTGGCGAACCAGAGCAGCGCACAGAAACACCGTTTATCTTCCCGCTGGAGCGGTACCTATTTATCTACTTGCACTTGGACATGCTTTCGAACTGCTAGGTTGGCAGGAGCAGGGACCGAGCAATGGGAGCTCACCCATCGCGGGGATTCGAACCGCCAACCTTCTGATCAGCAAGTCCTAGGCTCTGTGGTTTAACCCACGGCGCCACCCACGTCCTTTACTCCAACCTAAAAACTGAGGATCATATTCAAGGCTTCTGATGGAAGTCCACTCTTGTTCACAGAAGCTTATGCCAGCCTTCACCAACCTGGTGCCCCACCCTCCCACCAGTTGTTTTTGACAATTCCCGACATTTGTTGTTCACTTTTAGGAACAAGCTTGTTCTATAAGGAGAGGTGAGTTATGAGCTTGTGGGCTTCCATGGCTATCTGGTTGGCCAATGTGAGAATGATGGACTAGATGGGCCATTGCCATGATCCAGCCGCCGCCTCTTATGTTCTTCTGTCAGAATAAATGTATGCTTTCAAAAATTTGATAGATGTCAATCAGTAACTTATTTAGCTACAGATGTCGTGAGCAAGGCCAACAGATCAGACCGCTGAGGCCCCTTCTAAATCTGTATGTTTGTCTAGAGAGAAAAAATCCTCCAATATCAGCACCTCTCATCCAAATGAGAACTCAGTGCTTCTCTTGCCTTCCCCAATCAGAAAATGCATCACAGGCTAAAGATCCCTATCTCTTTTATTGTTGTCTAAGCATGGCTTTTCTGGCAGTCAATAGCGATAAGCAATGGTGGAGCAGCACAATGGAGGCTTTAGCAGGAAAGCTTGGCTCTGTAGCAGCTCCCTTTTAACATCACAACCAATCTGTACACAAGAGAGATTTCTCTTCAGGACTCAACAATTGTCTTCCCTAATTCAGTCTGAGCCAAGGTTAAGCAAGGCTCTTTAAAAAAAACACAACAAAAAAACTGCACACATTGAAGATCAGCAAGTTGTCAATTTCTTTTTGCCATCTTTTGACCTTCAGGAAGTTGCTCAATCCAAGAGCTCTGCTCAGAAATGGTTGTCCCCGTGGTGATGTGAGATGAAGAGCCAGACAGGACAATAACTAGGGCCCTTCAGGGTGAGGTTTTGACTTCCTGGCTAACCTGCAAGACCTATGAATTCCCTAACCCCACCCCAAACCCCACCTGACTTCTTTTTTTTAATTATTAAAGATTTTCTTGATTTACAGAAGTATGTGGAATGTCTCTCATATTTTTTCCATGTAACATTTTACAAATCAGTTTCATTTGTTGAGACATTAGGAAGAAAAGGGGTGGAGGGGGGGGGGAAGATGGGTGGGTGGGGGTGTCGGGTGGCGGTGTTTCTATTTTGCTTAATGTATGTAGGGTTTGGTGTCAACGTTACTTGTGCCGGTTCTCTGCTGTTCACTTGTGTTCCTTTGGTGGTGAGAGAGGTTGGGGTTGGCCTAGGGTGTGGTTGTTCATTTGTGGTTGGCTGTGGTGATCTTTGTTTTCGTGTGTGAGTGGGGTGGGTGGGTGTTTTTGGATCAGGTTAGCCATATTGATTTGTATGCTGTTGGTGGATTTTTGTCGTTGTCTTGTTGGGCTGTGCAGGTGATAAAGGGGAGCCATACCGGGGTGAAGGCGTCTTCTTCTATTTGTCCCCGTGTCAGTTTCAGTTTATTGGTTAATTTTTCTAGTAGGGCTGTTTCCCATACTATTTGGTACCATTGGTCCATGCTTACTCCTGACAGGTCTCTCCAGTGTCTGGCCCACCTGACTTCTTGATTGGGTGGATATACCATTTAACCCATTCCAAGTCATGTTACCTACTGGACTGACAAAAAGCTAAGAAGATCTTGATTCAACTGACCAAGCATCCCTTCCCCAGCCCTGTTTTTCAGCCCCCCTCTTGTTACAGAACTTGGAGGCTGACGTCTTCTACTTGTCTGACACAACAAGGCATGTCTTAGTATGATGGATTCTACTAATAAGAATCAACCACAGGGATGGAACAAATGTCCGTAGCTTTCCATTTCCAAAGTGAATTTGCCACAGTGGACAAGTGTCCTGAAGAAAGCAAGAGATACACACAAATGCGAGAGAAAGCAGCGGTGCTGCGAATTATGCGTGCTATTACAGAGAGGGGGACAGGATGCCTGATACTTCTGAGCAACAGCCCAGCTGAAGAGCCAGTGCAGCATAGTGGTTAGCATTAGGATCTGAAAGACCAGGGTTCAATTCCCCACTCAGCAATGGGTGACCTTGGGTCTGTCTCTGGCCCTCAGCCCTTCCTACCCCACAGGGTTGTTGTGGGGATTAACTGAGGAGGGGGAGAACCGTATATGCCACCTTGAGTACCTTGGAGAAAAGGTTCGATACAAATGCAACAAACAAACAAACAAGTTCCTGAAAATATTAAGCCTGAACAAAGGCAAGCACGTGATTACTGGGGTCAGGCTGTCAGCAGGGGCAAGAGTAAAAGGAGTACCCCAAACTTCATTGTATCCAACTAGCTATACACATATACATATATTGGTAAATGAACGCTTAAGGTGGATTAAAGCTCTTTGCTATCTCTGGTGATGGAGCTGCAGAATATTCTATGGGCATGGAAAGACAGTGTATACAACAATGGTGGACAACTCGTAGCTTGCCAGATGTTGCTGGACTAGAGCTCTCATCAGCTCCAGGCAGCATGGCTAATGGTCAGGAAGGGTGGGAATTGCAGCCCAACAACAACTGGAGGGCTACAGGTTCCCCACCCATGTGCCTATATCCAGAGCAGCTGAGAGGTCCAAATATACACTACACAGCAGGACTCATGGAGGGTTTACCTGTTCATCTATCTTCCTCTGCAGCTGAACCACCTTGTTCTCCATGCCAATATTGAGCCTCTTCAAGTGCTCTGCTGACCTCGCCTCTATCTTCAGGGCCTTCAGCTCTTGCTTGGCCTTCATGCACCTGAAGTAGCACTGGAGAACTACAGCCGCACTTCTGAACCTGACAAAACGCTTCCGAGTTAGCCAGGCTCGGGCATGCTTCTGGATGATGGTAGCTTTGTGCTCCATGAGCATCTGCAAAACACAGGGATGAAGTGACCCTCAGGAGAAGTGGGGAGGGCAGGGGAGAAGAGCCCGTGATGGCAATATAGCATGGCCCCATCGGTGTAGCCGTAGCTGTTGTTATAGCTGTTGTGGTTTCTCTCTACCAGTATGAAGAATGCTGCCAAGGTTAGTCGTTGCATCATACAGTTGATGTATAACTTTCACAACACAGGAACCTCAGGTTAACCAGGGACTCATTTCTGGAGCACTTCATCAATCGTATCATAGCTAACACAGCAAACATGAAAAATACCTTCCTGGATCAGACCAAATGGCCATCTAGTTCAGGACTCTGTCATCCAACATTGGCCACCTTCATGCTCCACCCTGCCCAGACAGTTCACATGCAGGTCATGGGGCGACAGATGTTTTCCACCTATAGTGTTCTAACACTGGTGCTGTTCAGAACACATTTATGGCCAAATTCCACATTCGTTAGTAACAGCCGTTAGACACATTTTCTTGTTTGTCACACTGAGATGTTCCACAGTGGTAATGGGAACAGCACCACATCCAAAGGATTTCTTCCTCCTCTTCAATACTTCATACTATTTTCTAGAGAGATCAAAACTGCCTCTTAATGTTGCCATCCATGCACCCAAGTGCATAATATAAGGCCATATAATATTATGGCACTCTCACAAGACGGAGTGATGACAACTAACTTGGATGCCTTGAGAGGAGAAAAAAGGCGAGAGAGAAAGTCATGGAGAAAGAGGTCTATCCAACAGCTACTTGCTATGATAGCTAAATGGAACGACCAGATATAGAGGCAAACAGAAGCAGACTAGATGAATCCAGGTCTGATCCAGCAAAGCAATTCTGTAAAAATCAAATGCACGTGGTATTATTCCGAGGAGTGCTTCCCACTTGACATTTGTGCTGGGTTTATGAATGCAAAAAGCACAACGTTCATGCAACTTGAGGCAGATTTTGAATGGTGCATGCACATTTAAAAATGAAGGCATTCTGTGACTCCAAAGACAGGTTTAAAAAGTAGATTTGGAAATTACTCTACGCAGGTGAGTGACTGGGTGATCGCAGAGTAGCTGCTTTTTTTCTTTTGTGGGACCCAGAAAAAGGGGCTTCTGAATTGTCTGCCAAACTGAAGGAGAAGGCAGACCTAAGGTCACAGCTCCTGTTCTCTGTGAATGAACCTAAGGATCCCCTTTGCCACAAATAGGCAGCTGCCCCTGTGGAAGAAGCACTGGCCACCATAAGGAGGGAGATCATTAGGACCAGCTGTAAAAGTGACTTCACCAAGCAGATGGGTTTTCAAGTGTAATTCCAATACCTGTTCTGTCAGGTAAATTCTCCACTGAGTGGCTGATACGGATGACATTTCCAGATTTCCACTTTGCCACGGGGCACCTCTCTGTGAGAACAGCTTCATTAAACTAGCAGTCTCTGAGCGGCTGCAGAAGAATTGCTTCTGCCTGGGCAGCTTGAGCAGCGAAATAAGAGCAGCTAGTGCTTTTGGACTCTGAAAATGGACAAGCTTCCATGTCAGAAAAGAAAGAACGAACCCCTTTTGTTCTTCTAAGAAGAGTGACCCAATGATAGGAGTTCAAGTCTGACATCATCCTTGCCCTGCTGTTAGAAGAATCAGGCAGCAGGTGATGGGAAGGATCAGGAGAGGTGCTGCGTGCCAGAGTAGACAATACTGGAGTAGATGGGCAAAAAGTTTGACCTGGCAATAAGGCAGCTCCCTGTGTAATTTCCCTTGCGCAGTCTGCTCCAAACTATTTGCTGTGTTTCCACACTGTTTTGTGAGTTGAATGTCATTGCCAATATTTTACGGATGGGAAGCTGAGATAAGAGACACAGTGTAGCTTTGGTCAAATTGTTAAGACCACAACTCATTTGGGACTCAAAAGGTGTATTCACCTAAGCAGTCCTGTTATTGGAAGCTCAGAGCAAGGATTTCTGTTTGTGCAAAGGGGCTTCCTTCATGCTCCTCCACACCCCCAAAACTGGCTCTGGAGTGGTTGGAAGAACCCCAGAACAGCGTTTGGGGGAGAAGTGGGGAGGGGTCATTCCATCTTGCAAGTGGAAATCCTTGCCCTGATTGATAAATCAGCTTAGCAAGGTGCTGAATTCCTCATAAATACAGGCAACTCAGATCAAATCACAAGTAGATAACACTGGTCTTCAATAAAGTCAACGCTGCAATCCTGCCCACAGACAAAGTTCACTTCCAAATGACCTGTTTATACAGCATTTGTCCTGGTTTCTTTGCAGGGAGATTAGATGATGTTGGCTGGTTAATGAACATTCATTCCAATTTGTTTGTGCGGAGGTTAGATGACCCTGTATCAAAGCAAGTGTTATCCCAAATCTCCTGTGCATTTGCCCCATCAATTTCCTTATCACAAATAAGTCCCATCTTCTTGGGAAGCGTGTCTGCTGCAGAATACCTCCCAACCAACCATAATTGTGCAACCTGAATTTGTCAGCAACCATCTGGAAGTGTTAAATGACAATCAAGTCAGTGAGCAATCAGCGGCAAAGCTGCATGCAGGGCTGGAGACAAAAGAGTTTAGGACAGTTCTCATTTTTTAAAAAGTGGTGTTGGCGGTTCGGTAACACTGTTCATGCCTTCCAAACCAACAGTCTTCTGCTGCAGGAGATCTCTGCAGGCTTCCAGTGTGGTTCAGTCTAAATTAGGGGGAAAGCCAAGTGTTGTGGGTACCTATGACTAGTAACAACATCAACATGCATCTCCCCAAACCCTGAGCACAAGGCGGCGGCTCCAAGCTGAGCTTTCATAAATTCCTTGACCTGAGAATGAACTGGCCTATCAAGCTTCTAATCTGCTGCTATATACAACTGTAGCACAAAATTAAAAGCTGGGTTCGTGGGTGGGAGAAAGGTGTTGTGGCTGTTTTCAGAAGGCCACGACTGTCTCCAACCAAATACAATGTGCAAAGACAAGTGCCAGACAGAACACTGATAGGTCAAGTTGGAAGTTTCCTGTGTACTGACGGGAAACGTATTTTCAAAACGAAGCGGCCTACCTTTCGATAGGTCTTTCTGACAAACATTCCTCGGGTGAAGGCTTGGATTGTGACGGCAGCCCTGTGGATTGCTTGGTAAGCCCGGCGGATCCTCAACATCCGATATTGTTTCTGTAAAACAATGGCTGCTCTCGTCTTCCTAAGACGGTCAGCCAGTCTGTAAAAGTGCAAGAATTAAAAGGTTTAACAACAACAAGAACAAGGGAGACCTGCAACCAAATTTTGCAATGTGTCTTCCCTCACTAGTAGGAATGGTTCCTGTCCAGGGTCACAGCCAGTCATGCCCTGATCCAGGCTGCTCCATTGTATTCCCTCTCATTTCCTTTCCCAACTGACACTCGATGTTATTTGGCTGCTGAGTATGCTCAGTTCTCAAATAGGGTTTCCTGGGAGGATCTGAAGTCGGAACTTCCACCAAGTGTGGTGGAAGTGGCTAACGTTCTTGCCATGAAAACAAATGGCCCCTCAATGCAGCAAATGAGTGCCAAAACCACCCTTTGGAATGTCTCTCAGTCTTCACCCCAAGACTCATCGTGTTCCAGTTGTGCAAAACACATTGTTTCTCATTTGAATCCATCTTAATTTATTAGAAACACATGATTAAGCTGGGGGTGCCGGTGGAGTGAGATGGGGTGATGCTGCAGTCACTTCCTCTGTTAACTTAGGCTGCTGCTCCCGGACAGCCATGAGAATCAAATCACATTATCAGCAAATTCAAGTTGCACAATTCAAGTGGGTTTGGCAGCACTTGGGTGGTAAGCTGCCCACTTCAAAGCAGAAAGAGAACAACCCAGACTTCTTGTGATATAGAAAGTGCACTGGGAAGTGTGGGGAAACAAATTCTCCCCATCAGGGGCGGAGGAAGGGGGGTGCGGTAGGTGTGGGCTGCCCTGGGTGTCACACCCCACTAAGGCAGCACTCACCGCGAGGCCTGCAGCGCGCCCGAGCCACGCGTCTTTCCTAGGAAAGACGCAGTGGCTTGGGTGTGCGCAGTCTCCACTCTGCCCAAATAGTCCACCTGCTGCCTCCCCCCCACCTGTAGGGCGGCTGAGTGGGAGGAGGCAGGCAGACTCCGGAGGCCCCGAGGTGTGCGCTGCCCATATGGGCAGTGCGCCCTACCCCGGGCGTGCCACCCCAGACGCCCAAGCGGCTTCCTCCGCCGCTGCTCCCCATACCCTTTCACTACTTGTGCGTTCTAAATTCTTCACTGGTTGTAAGCTCCACTGAAGACATCGGTGGTGTGTAGAAGGTGGCTGCTGGGTAGCCCTTTTAAGGCCACCACATGGGACAAATGTATTGTCTGCCCAACAGACGATCCGGCCCTGCCTGGCAACTTTTATTAAACTTTGCTACGGTGTCCGAAAAGTTGTTAATGCTCTTCCAGGATTGAAATAAAATGCAGCACATAAATCGACTCCCTTTCTCTTAGCTTTTCACATCCCGACCTTAAGTTTTAAAGCCCTAAAAGACATCCTCATCGCGGCTAGCTGCTCCAGTCCCCCAGCACCAAAAGCAAGTGTAGTGCAGCGTAACTACTGGTTACGAGAAATCCAGCACAACGGCAGCAAATTGATTTGACATTTAAAGCAATGTGCACTGGTTTGGCAACATCTAGGAGCAGGACTGCAAGCGGTTCCTACATGGTTCTTAATTTGGGATGCAGTTAGTATCCTCATGTAGTACTGCAGATCAGAGTATTGGCTTGTGGAATATACGACAGCTCGTTATTACATCTCTTTCAATAAATATTTATAAAACCTCAAGTTTTTTGAGATGGTTAAGTGTGCTTCATTGGATTTTATTATTTGTTCTTTGCTCAGAGCGATTAAAAAAAAAAAAGAACTTGTGAAAGTGGCAGTGGCTGATCCAATTTCCTATTGCGTTTGATTCCTGCAGGGCTTTCTGTTCTTATCATATGGCAGAAACCAAGTCTATCACACAAGGACAACGCAGGTGCCAGCATGAGTGAAAAAGACTTTCACCCCCCTTAAATAGAGGAATCATTTGTTGTATATTCCCAAATAGAATAGAATAGAATAGAATAGATTCTTTATTGTCATTACACAAGTGCAACATTGCACAAAGTGCAACGAAATTGGATGCCATCCCTTAAAACAACAAAAGCAAAACAACAACAACAACCAAACAAACCACATTCCAGCCACACCCACACCAACACCCATCAAACTCCCAGGTCACACTATCGAGTTACAGCATTCAAAAAGGCCACAGCTCTTGGATAGAAACTGTTTTTCAGTCTATTTGTCTTTGACTTGATGTTTCTATATCTCCTGCCAGAAGGCAGTAGTGCAAACAGACTGTGTCCCGGGTGAGATGAATCCTTCAGGATGTTATTTGCTTTCCTAAGACAACGGGAACCGTACAGTTCTTCCAAAGATGGGAGAGGATGACCAATAATCCTTTGGGCTGTGGTTATGACCTTCTGGAGCACCTTCCTCTCCCTAGCTGTACAACTGGAGAACCAAGCACAAATACAGTATGTAAGAATGCTCTCTATGGAGCCTCGGTAGAAGGACACCAGCAGTCTCTCACTCAGATTGTTCTTCTTTAAAAGTCTGAGGAAATAAATTCTCTGCTGGGCCTTCTTCACCAGAGCAGTGGTATGTGCGCTCCAAGTCATGCCCTGATCGATAGTTACCCCCAAAAACCAGAATTCCGCCACCCTCTCCACCCGTTCCCCGTTGATATACAAGGGCTGAATGTCCGCCTTTTTTTCCCTGTAATCCACCACCAATTCCTTGGTCTTAGCCGTATTAAGAGCCAGATTGTTCTCTCCACACCAAACACATATAAGTTGATTGAAGACGGGAAATAATGTGACGGCGCACCAGTTTCTCAAAACACTTCATGATGATTGGAGTCAGTGCAACTGGTCTGTAGTCATTCAAACTACTGATTGTGGATTTTTTAGGCAGAGGGACAATAGTTGACGACTTCAGGCAGGGTGGGACAATAGACTGGTGTAAGGACTTATTGAAGATCTTAGTAAAGACCCTCGCCAGCTGATCCGCACAGCCCTTCAACACCTTTCCTGTGGGAAAATGATTGCTTGTACATGAGAGCATGAGCAAAGTTCTTATTGTTACAGGGTGATTTCATAGCTAGAAGCATCCTTGGAGCATGAACAGCGCGTGAACAGCTCGTGCTGTCCCATATGATTGGCTAACGTAGCATAGCCTGATCGCTCGCATGGTCTAGTACGAAGGTCCTTATCTGCTGGCTAGAACAAATTGCTTGGCTTGTATTTTTGTATCTTTCTTATTTCACACAATAAAAGCTGTGCTGCATTAGCCCTAAGAGCAGCCATATTTCGGAACCTATCATGGTGTGAGACTGATTTTCCTCTGAATGCCGAGCTGCAACTCGACAATTGGTGCCCCGTGTGATTGCCTTCGGACTTCACGTTGTTTTTCATTATTCAGCACTCACCAACACGTCGTTCATCCACGTAGTGGATCCCTGGTGAGTGCTCCCGTGTGATTGCCTTCGGACTTCACGTTGTTTTTCATTATTCAGCACTCACCAACACGTCGTTCATCCACGTAGTGGATCCCTGGTGAGTGCTCCCGTGTGATTTCTTTCGGACTTCATGCTGTTTTACAACGTTCAGCCTCACCTCGCCCGGCAGGGCTGCAGACGCGTCGTTCATCCACGTAGTGGATCCCCGGTGAGAGCTCCCGTGTGAATGTGATTCTGGACTACGTTACGGACTTATCAGCACTTATCTCCGCCCGGACAGGGCAAAAGGCGCCTTCCTCATCCTCCTACGGATCCCTCCGGTAAGTGCTCCCTGCTCTTTTTGCAACTCTTGCAATCATGGGAAAATCTCTCTCTGCACCACAGAAAAATTTTTTTAAAGACCTTAAATTCCTTTTGGCCAGTAACAACCTTGCTGTTCGGAAAGCTGACCTTAAGTCCCTTATAAAAGCCCTGGACACTCACTGCCCCTGGTTCCCCCAGGACGGAAATTGGGAGTTAGACGATTGGAAAAAAATTGGACACTTCTTTCAAAATCATCCTCAGATTGATGTCAAGGTTTTGCACGCCTGGAGTAACGTCTACAAAGCTATGTCGTGCTTAACTCCTTCAAACATTCTTCTGGCTGCCGCAACAGCTTCTTCGCCCGCCCTCCCAGCTCCCGCTTTGCCTGCCTCAAACCTACCTCCTAAACCGCCGGACATTTTCCCTCCGGCTTCTCCCGTCACTCCCCTGCATTCTTCAAATTCTGCAGCACCCCCCGTTCTTCCACCTCCTCCGCCCAAGGCATCTGGCACCGCTTCTACTACTCCTCTCCAAGAATCTCTCCGTGCCGCTGCTCCGTTGTTGGCTTTTGATTCTACAACTCCTAATCTTTTTCCTGTGAGTGTTACTGCCGTGCCAGGGGGAGGCCCAGCCCGGCACGACCAGTTTGATTTGAGATTCATAAAGGAACTGTATTCTTCTGTCAAGGACAATGGCCCTGCACCCCCAGCCCCTGTTATGCTGAACCAAACTGATGTTCCTAATGGCTTAACTGGCGAAAGCAATTTTCTTACTATTGCCCAACAGTTGGCCCTTGATCCCATGTATTGGACAGCTACCACTGCTGCCGCCCAAGAAGCTTTGTCCTCTGTTCCTGATGACAAGAATGAGCGCGGTGGCAGCATCAGACAGGGTCCTACAAAGCCCTATGGACAATTTGTCGATCGCTTGGATAATACTCTTAAGCGGCAAGTTCAGGACGTAGCAGCCCAAGAACTGATTGTCCGCCAGCTTGCGTATGATAATGAGGACTGTAAGCAAGCGCTGCGCCCTTTGATGACAACTCCCAATATAGCCATTGCAGATGTGCTTAAAGCCTGCCAGTCAGTGGGCACTGAGATGCATAAAGCTCGCCTGCTAGCCATGGCTTTGTCCTCCACCGTGCCCCAGAATCCTGCAAAGGATAAAACCTGCTTTGGATGTAGCAAAGTGGACTATTTTCGTGCGCAGTGCAGATCTACCGCACAACAACGTCACTCCAGCACAAAGTGCCCCATCTTTGATACAGGCCAGGACTTGTCAATTTTCTGAAGCACATCTTAGATCACATATTGGTCACCCTGGTTATTTGGCAACAGGAATTTTACGCCTGCTGAACTTCATTTCCGGAAGGAGGAAGTATTGCAACGCCCTTTAGTGTCTTACAGGTTGCTTCCAGATCCACAGTGGAAGGGTCCAACTTCCTTGATTTCCTGGGGTCGCGGATTTGCGGCAATTGACGTAGACGGAGTTCCCACATGGATTCCAGCCCGCTGCGTTCGACCTTGGCGCTCTTCTGTTGCCTCGTCTTCGCCCAAGGAGACACCAGCACCTTGAAACCGTATTTTACGCTGTTTGCCGGTGATGACCTCTCACCTGACCTCAACCCGCATTGCAGTTGGAGACATCGCCATATTGATGTGCCCTGGATAAAGTCACCTTCCACAGCTGTTCCAGTGTTTCCTGGCACGTTGAAAGGCCATCTTCAACCCTATCGCGTTGGCCCCCCTTCCCCCTGGGAAGCCACCGTTTCTACCACTTATCGTTACAGTTTTGCCGCCTCTTGTCTGGGAAATGAACCTGGCTTTGAAGGATGCCCTCGTCAGACCGGCATCGCTTGGGTTTTGCCTCCTAATAGCAACCATCCCATCTGTGTCATCACGCTTCATTGGGCTTGGACTTTTGACTAAGCAGTACAAGGAGCAATACATCAGGCTTATTTACAGCAAATGGGCTCCTGTATCTGCAGAAATGGTTGTGTGACTTCTTCTGGATTGTGGTTTTTACATGCCAATAATCGAGCCACGAAATATCACACAGGTTGCTCGGAAGTGGCCATTGGACTAATTTACCATTCTCATCCTTATTGGCATCGCTTGGATTTTACCCCCCAGATCTCTTCTTCTTTTCTCCTCCCTCAGGAGTCCTGCCCTATGATGTATTCCCCTGAGCATGTACAGAGGGCTGTCTTGGAACTATTGTGGACTCTTGGCAAGGGAGGGGGTGAGGGATTTCAGTGTGTTCCAGTTGTTTCATTCTTGTGCTTTGGCATGGTTCCCGGACAGAAAGCAAGTTGCAATATGGTTCTTCAGCAAGGCCTGGAAGACAATGGACTCTGTTCTCTACCTTGTTGCAATTTTTTTTAGTTACAGCAAAGCAGCATATGCCTAGCTAATGCCTTTTGGCTGCTGAGAAAAATGATTTTGAAAAGCTTTGAAAAGTTTTGAGCTTTTTTTGGTGGTGGTATTCTAGTATTCCAGTAAATGCTTCATATAAGATTAGCAATAATATGCAGGACAATCGTATAAGTTTTTAGGTCATTATCTATATTGTAATTCGACCTATGAGTACATTAATGGATCTTCTTGTTTTTTTTTAATGTTACCACTTCTGCCTTCTTTAGGTGCAGCCATGAATTACCGTGATTTGCATAAATTGGCAAACTGGACAGAAAATTTGTTTAATTCCACCATTTTGGCTTTAAAAATGATTAACAAAGAAATATCAGAAATAAGAAATGTAGTTCTTCAACATCATTATGCTTTAGATGTGATCCTTGCTTCTAAAGGTGGAATTTGTGCCTTAATTCATTCTCATTGCTGCATGTATATAACTGATCAATCGACCAATATCTCTGCTACTATTGATCATATGGAACAAATGATAGCCCATAATCCTTTGAATCCACCTGAAGGTTTTGATCCATGGGAGTGGTTGTCTTCTTGGTTACCTAATGGATTATGGTTAAGAAAATATTATTGATTGTAATTGCATGTATTGCTGGCTTCATTATGGTGTGTTGTTGCATTCAATGCATACCCTCTTTGATTTCCCAATGCACTGCATGGTGGTACCGACCACGGCCCACCACAGGGGTTACAAGAGGAATTTATGTTGCAAAGTGTAGACGCTTAGGCAATGAAGTGTACGATTTGGACTAATGGTCCCTCTTTTCCTCTAATAATATAAACAAGAAAAGGGGACATGTGGGAAAATGATTGCTTGTACATGAGAGCATGAGCAAAGTTCTTATTGTTACAGGGTGATTTCATAGCTAGAAGCATCCTTGGAGCATGAACAGCGCGTGAACAGCTCGTGCTGTCCCATATGATTGGCTAACGTAGCATAGCCTGATCGCTCGCATGGTCTAGTACGAAGGTCCTTATCTGCTGGCTAGAACAAATTGCTTGGCTTGTATTTTTGTATCTTTCTTATTTCACACAATAAAAGCTGTGCTGCATTAGCCCTAAGAGCAGCCATATTTCGGAACCTATCATGGTGTGAGACTGATTTTCCTCTGAATGCCGAGCTGCAACTCGACACTTTCCAGTGATGCCATCAGGTCCAGCCGCCTTCCTCGGATTCGCCATCCTCAATACCTGTCTCACCTCATGTTCCTCTACCATGAATGAGGGGCCCCTATGGGCTGATGGCTGTAATACCGGCGTCTCAGGTGGCTCCTTCTCGAAGCGAGCAAAGAAGAGGTTAAGCTCCTCCGCCAGCAAAGGGTCACCGTCGACAGCACCAAGGTTAGGTTTGTAGTTGGTAATATGCTGAATCCCCTGCCACATCTGTCTTGTGTTGTTGCTCCTTAAATTATCCTCAATCCTCAGCCTATAATCCAATTTTGCCCGTCGAATACCCCTCCTCAAGTTTGCTCTTGCTACACTGTAAAGCTGCACCTCGCCTGACCTGAAAGCCCTGTTCCTTTCCCGCAACAGGCACTGGACCTCTCTATTCATCCAGGGTTTCTGATTGGGGTAAAAATATAATATAATATAATATATAGTCTTCAAGGTTTGCTCCAAAGGGAAAGGGGCACAAAATATTAGAGCAGATTATTTAAAACAATACAGTGGTACCTCGCAAGACGAATGCCTCGCAAGACAAAAAACTCGCAAGACGAAAGGGTTTTTGGTTTTTTGAGTTGCTTCGCAAGACGATTTTCCCTATGGGCTTGCTTCGCAAGACGGAAACGTCTTGCAAGTTTGTTTCCTTTTTCTTAACACCGTTAATACAGTTGCGACTTGACTTCGAGGTGTGGTAGCCTTTTTTGAGGTTTTTGAAGACTTTGGTGATTTTTGAAGCTTTTCCAAAACTTTTCCGAAACCGTGCTTCGCAAGGCGAAAAAAATCGCAAGACGAAAAAACTCGCGGAACGAATTAATTTCGTCTTGCGAGGCACCACTGTACTTGCTTGGCAAGGACATCATTCAGCCCGGACACTTAGGTCCAGCTCCAAGGGCCTTCTGGTGGCTCCCTCACTGCGAGAAGTGAGGTTACAGGGAACCAGGCAGAGGGGCTTCTCGGTAGTGGTGCCCGCCCTGTGGAACGCCCTCCCACCAGATGTCAAGGAAATAAACAACTATTGGACTTTTAGAAGACATCTGAAGGCAGCCCTGTTTAGGGAAGTTGTTAATGTTTAATGCTGCGTTGTGTTTTTAATATTCGGTTGGGAGGCGCCCAGAGTGGCTGGGGAAACCCAGCCAGATGGGTGGGGTATAAATAATGGGTGGGGCATAAATAATGGGTGGGGCATAAATAATAAATTATTATTATTAGGGGGTGGGGAGAGCCACGCCGTATATTTAAAGGGCATTCAATGTACATTTGAAGCACATGACTTCCCCCAATAATATTAATTTGTGGCTTTCTGCACCTAAGTGTCTCAAAGTAACTTACAAGAAAGTAGTAGAAATAACAAGGAACATTAGCTGGGAAGGCTACTGATGCCACGTTCATTGCTGTGTGAAGCATGGTTACACCATTATCACCATGGCCAGAGGTTTGATACCTGGAAGCTTCAAGGAAACCAGACTTTTCAATGGCAGCACTTCCATCGATGCAACACCTTCATGTAAGAGACACACTCTCTCTAGACTGACGGGTGCCAACAACAATGTTATGTGTTTTTGTACTGTAAACTGCCCTGTGGTCCTTGAATGAAGGGCAGTAAGACATATAATTAATAAATAAACAATTCCCACCATCCCTGACCATTCGTTGTGCTGGCTTGGGCTGATGAAAACTGCTGTTGGACTCTATCTGGAGGTCACTATACAGTGCTGCCTCACAAGATGAAATTAATTCGTTCCGCAAGTTTTTTCTTCTTGCGAGTTTTTCATCTTGCGAAGCACGGTTTCCCATAGGAATGCATTGAAAATCAATTAATGCGTTCCTATGGAAACCGCCTTCAGACCAGGTCCGGGGACAGTCTGTCCCCCGACCTCTTCTGAAGGCTGGGGGGGGGGGGGACAAGGGCTTTTCTTCCCACCCCCAGCATTTTTAAAAAACCCCGGGACAGTGGAGGGCTTCTCCGCTGTCCGGGGCGATCTTAAAATGCTGGCGGGCGGCATTTTAAAATCACCCCGGGACAGCGGAGGACTTCTCCGGTGTCCGGGGCGATTTAAAAGCCCCCGGGAAGGCAGGCAGGGGGGAGCAAAGACTTTTGCCCCCCGCCGGCCTTCAGAAGAGGTCCAGGACCTCTTCTGAAGGCGGGCGGGGGGCGAAAGTCTTTGCTCCCCCCGCCTGCCTTCAAAAGCCGTCCGCGATAGCGGGAAGCGCTTCCCTGCTATCCCGGACTGCTTTTAAAATGCTGGTGGTGGGGAGCAAAGCCTTTCGCCCCCGCCGGCCTTCCTGGACCTCTTCTGAAGGCCGGAGGGGGGGGAAGGCTTTGCTCCCCACCGCCAGCATTTAAAAGAGGTCCCCGGAGATTTCCCTATGGGCTTTCTTCTTGCGAAGCAAGCCCATAGGGAAATTCGTCTTGCGAAGCAACTCGCAAACGGAAAACCCTTTCGTCTTGCGGGTTTTCCGTCTTGCGGGGCACCACTGTATTTGTTACACAACCCCAAGATTCAGTACATGGCAGCTTTGCAAGTTCATATGCACTGGGTTGCAACATATAAAGCTGAAGTTCCTAGACTTCAAAGTTATCAGCATCAGCGACCAATTCGTATCTCTTACACTGCCCTCATGAGAACGTGTGTTTTATTGCTTACCTGCGTGCCAGGTGTCCTCGGGTATACCTCTGGATTTTAAGCGCTGCCTTTTTCATCTTCTGATATTTCGCTCTCTGCAGCCAGCCCCGCACCGTCTTCTGTATCATGATGGTAGCGGCCCGGAACTTATCCGCCCGTAGTTTCTCCAGGTACGCCACCTGGCCCGCCCGGAAAAAGATCTTGGTCCTCCCAAACTGGAACTTGTCAGGATCCTTTTCAAAAGCATAAAGGGAAACTGGGTTAAGGGAAACAGCCGTTTAGTTTTCCCCATCAGCGCGCAAGACGGCCTGTATCACATTTTGCATCTAGGTGAAATTAGGCGTAAGTTTCACATCTGTGCAGATGGCAGGTATCCCAAAATGAGACAACTGACCCGTTTGCTCTCAAGTGGGTCAGAGTGTAGTGAACAATGAGCATAAGAAAAGCTAGGGGCACATTTGCACACCAAACATATACCCAGTTCTCCCCTTTTCAGGTTACACATGAAGTTTCAAAAAATTTATGATGTGCAACTTGCAGCTTATTTACTGCTGCCTTGGGTGCTGGTGGTACAACTAATTTCGGAATTAGAAACATCTGGATGGGTTGCAGGTCAGCTGCGGGTCCTTAATTGACACTGCCAGTTAAAAAGAACCTCAAATAGCAAGGGACCCAAAGGACCCTTTTGTCTGAGACCTTGGACAGCAGCTGCCAGTCAATGCAGAAGAGGGGAAGAACACAGGAAGCTGCCTTATAATGAGTCACACCATTGATCCATCTACCGTATTTTTCGCTCTATAGGACGCACCAGACCATAGGAGGGGGAGAACAGGGAAAAACATTTTTTCCCCTTGTTCTCCCCCTCTAAAACAAGGTGCGTTCAAGGTGCATTCACCCAAAGCCTCCGGAGTGCAGCAGGAGTTCCCGCTGTGCTCTGGAGGCTTCAGGCAGCTACCATCCCCAAGCTAGAACAGCGAGACCGTCTCGCTGTTCTGGCTTGGGAACAGCCTTTCTAGCCTCTGCAGGGCAGCATCGTGAAGGCACCCCATTGCCCTGCAGAGGCTTTGCGCACAGCCATCCCCAAGCTAGAACAGCGAGATGGAGCGCTCCGCAGTGTTCCATCTCCCTGTTCTGGCTTTGGGCTTAGCCACGCAGCCTGCATTCGCTCTATAGGACATACACACATTTCCCCTTAATTTTTGGAGGGGAAAAAGTGCGTCCTATAGAGCGAAAAATACGGTAGCTCTACACTGACTGGCAGCAGCTCTCCAGACTTTTAGATAAGAGTTTCTCTCTGCCCTACTGGGAAGACACCAGGGATTGAACCTGAGACCTTCTGCATGCAAAACAGATGCTCTACACCTGAGCCACAGCCGCTCCTGGGCTTTGACACCCTTTTATCAACACTCATACACTCAGATTCAGGATTACATAAGCAACAGAGAGCGATGGAGCCTTGTGACATTGCAAGTCAGAATCCAGCAAAAGAAAGGAGCTGTCGCTGGGAGTTACTTCAGACATTACTATTTAGTTTTACCAGGAGCCTTTATGGAGGTTCAATTTAACCAGATCCCGTTGGAGGAAATGGTATGGCAGCCTTTTGATTAATTCCCAGGAAACTCTACTGTGCACATTATAATGGTGTGAGGAAGGATTTGATCCTTCCCCTTGTAAAGGTTTTACCTGGCAGACTCAAAGGTGTTGTGCAAGAAATATGTATGGCTGGAGAGGGCAAATATATAACTAGAAGGGCGGCCCTGTTTAAAAGTTTGGTAATCAAGATAAGAGCTCAGGCGATCTCAGAGTAAGTTTGGGGCAGATGTCAAATTTTCCATATTTTGTTATGCTTATTCATCTCTGAGCAATAACACAAGAATGGGAAAGGATTTGAAAACTTTCTGCTGCAGGCGAAGTCACTGCGGTCTCCTGAACCCTAATCTACAAAGCAAACTTTGTGGGGTTATACCAGTTCTACTATCATGGCTTCCCCAAAGAATTTGGGTTGGAGTTCCCAGGTGCGTTGCAGAGAATTCTCTGTTAAGACAGCCCTAAGCCCTCTCCTTGCAGCTGAACTGCAATTCCCAGCATTCACTCGCAAGAACAGCAGTCAAACCAGCTGAAGACATGATGCTCAATTTGGCTCTAATAAAGTGAGATTAAAAGGAGGCCCCGGAATGGGCAAAAGACTGGTAAAGTAATCTTAAGAATCTGGATGTACGAAAAAGGGTCCTTTTTAGACTGAGGGCAAAACAACTCCCATGGCCATGTCTCATTTACTTCAGTCAATTACTCATTCATGACAGAGTTTTATTCTGCTAGAATCTCCAAGGTCCCCCAGGTCACGGCAACACCTGGCCAACTGGGCAGCAGAGGAGGAAGCGAACTTGGGAACTCAAGTACCAAGGCAACATGTGGGGATGTGGAAAGACTCTTAACCCTGCTCACCTTAATTAGGCTTTCCAGCAGCATCTTGCAAATGACTTTCCTGTCCTCCTTTTTGAGGTGTCCTTCTTTTTCATAAGAATTCGATACCTATTGAAGAAGTCATGGTAGGTCCACCTGAGAAGGAAGCAGAAGAGCTTGTTTAACCTGAAAGCTACGAGGAAAAACTAGATGGAAGTCCTTACAGTGTATATATAGAGAGTCATACTCGCTCCTTCAAATATTGGCAAGAAGCAGAAATGGTGCAGCTGTCCAAAAGCAGAAGTCTTTGTGAATGCAGAAGGAACCTAAGAATACATTTCCGCCAACAACAGAGGCACACAAAAGATCTAGGCAAAACTCCCAAGTTCCCAGAAGAACAGAGTCTAGGGTTGTTCACATAAGAAAAACAACTAGTACTGGGGGCTGAAAAGCCAGTAATCCATTGTTCATTGTATTGCACACTCATTCTCCATCGCTCTTCCATTAGTGCCAGATTCTTCCAGGCTCTGCCGACAGCCTGTTAAGATTACACCCTGGCTTCAAAACCCATCAGATTGAGTTAAGTTTTATCCTGGCTCAACACACTCACCTGTCAAATTTCATGCTTGGTTCCAGCCTCTGGGCCTGCTCAGCACTTTTTTGAGATCAAAACTCAGCACCTCTAACCCAAGCCTCAGCCCTGCTAATTACAGAAATTAAGGCTCTTTGTTTTCATGATGAAAGGCAGCGGAGGTGCTCTTTCTTGCTACTGCACGCACAGTCAGGGGCGCAGTGAATTGCCAATTTATTCAGCCATTAAATGCAAAATGCAAACATTTAGGTGGGATGCACTGGACTTAATTCTTCGACTACTGTGAATTTCCAAGCTCCCATACATGTAAATCAGGACAACCCAGCTTCCTGACCGTCTCCCTGCTGAGAGAGGAGAATATAGGCCTTTTCCAACCAACACTTCTGCAAAAGGCTCTGCGGCCTTTGCGAAACCTTTGGCTACCCATTAAACCTTTGGGTAGAGATTTGGAGGCAGCACTGAGCTACGAGCACACCGTGGCGAAGCTCTAATTCAAAGAGGCAGGGCACTATATCTTGCCTCTCGGAAGAGGCATTTCCTGCCATCATATTTAGATTTAGAGCCCACAGAATGGATTCTGAAATTGGCTCACTGTCTGCCAAGTTTCAGCCCATTGCAAATTAAAAGTCCTGAGTTATGGACCCCTCAAAACAGGCCTTTTAAATAGAATTGCTAGGAGAGTCCGGGGCTGCCAACTGCTGCCATAATTAAATGCATGCGAGTGTCAAAAAAGAAAAGGGAAGGGAAGAGTGAACCGCAAAATTCCGAAGGACTGTCGAAATGCCAGTAACTCTGCAAAAAGCAAGAGCCTGCCTCCAATAACCTTCAAAAATCGAAGGTGGGCTTCAGGCGCAATGACTCTCCCCTTCTTTCCTGGAGTGTTTGGCTGCTTCCGCGGAGGTCCTGGCAGAACAATGGCTCACAAAAACCCCTTTTCAGGTTGAAGCAGGCTTGCTTGTGACAGGATGGAACCAAGTTGGTCCTCTCCATCTCAGTGTTTAGGGTCCTGATTGGGTAAAAGAGTGTCTATATGCCCCAGTATGTCCAACTGCAGCAGCTTTACAGGGTAGTCCACAAGTAGGCAATCTGGTGCTTTCCTGATGTTGCTGGACTCCAACTCCCACCATCCCTGACTGTTCTCCATGCTATTTGGGGCTGATAGGAATTGGGAGTCCACAGCATCTGGAAGGCATGACAATGACTACCCTGGGCTAGCCCATTTTCCATGGTAAGTCACAGAGCTCTGGAGCAGACTTGCACCAACCCCCACAATGTCTGCAGTTGTTTGTTTTTTTTTAGAAAAATCTATGCATTGTAAGCCAGTTCACATATTTTTGGTCACATTAAGGTGTGACGGAATGTTGGGAACCAGCTCTTACATATTACTGTGGCAGAGTCGGCACAGAACACATCAAACTGTTTACAATGTCTAAGACTCTTGCAATGTCCAAGCCTAAAAAAAATTTCCCCTCTATATAAAGAAAAATAAAGCTTAGTAATCTATGGACCCTGTTTTCCTAGAAGGGACCACAAGGCAGCGTAAGGCACATTATGAAAAAATCAGTCTGCAGAGAGGGGTGCCAGTGGAAAACATTTCAATTATGTATGTGCAATGTCTGTAAAAGTTTAGCAGCTGTGATTTTTATACCAAACTGGTACAAGGCTGCAGCATCCGACAGACAGCTCAGATGAACGGAAGAGGCATGAGTGAGAAGTCTGGAACATTCATGTGACAATCCCAACCGCTCCTGGCTAGATGAGGTTATATATATTGGATGAGGTGAGCTTGGAACCAGTAAAGGCAGGCGAGCCATCACGGATATTTGTGATAATATGTTTAGAGAAAGGCTAGGAGAAAAAACTATTTTATAGGCTATAAAAGGCTGAGGTTTATCATCAACACCAGCTATTTGAATAGGCAACTAGTGCACTTAAAAAATAAATAAATGTTGAAATACGGGGGGGGGGGGAGTTTTTCTGCCTTTCTGTGGCACAGAGGCCAAAAGGTTTCCAAACTCTCAATGGCGTGGCATTCCAAACTTTGCACCGAGAAAAGCTGAATTCTGCAACCTGCGTAATTTTGCAAATGTGCTGAATTTCTTGCAATTTATTCTGCCAATTTTTTACTACTTTGCATCGCCAGCTGAGCAAAATGGGCAAGATGGTATGACAAGGAGCTAAAGCCTTCCACGCAATGCCAAATATCTAATTCAGCTACTTCTAGCGTTCCCGAGTTTTCAAGCACTCAGTGTACACAGCCCTGGAAAGATGCAAGAGGCAAGCATCGATAAACAGTAAATTTGCGAAGCAATTCCCAACTTGTTTCAGCCGTCTTCATCAGGGGAATTTATTTGGCTATTAGCTAGACACAAAGCTGCAGATCTTCTACCAAGAATAGACCCAGAGGCACGAGAGCTACGTGCCTAGCTAACAAAGGTTTAAAATTCCCCCACCCCTCGCTGAAGCCAAACTATGTAGGCAATTGGTTGCTGAATTATAGCTTCGCATAATGGGCCTGGTTTATTGCATCTTTCTCGTGATTGGTTCTGTCTCTGTGTCACATGTTGTTGTGCAAATTACTACTCAAAGTGTCTGTCTATATCCTAGTTCTCTTCCCCATTCAGTCACACATATGTGCATTGATAAGCACAGGCCACGGCTGCTCCTGTACTGGGGGAAATGATGGCGTTAACTGGCCCAGTCAAAGGAATGGGGACACAGCTCAGTCATAGGGCATAAGAATTGCATGCCGAAGGACCCAGGTACCTTCACACGGCCTCTTGCCTTTCAGATACTTGCAGCCTGCTCGGGAGGGACTGATGCTCAGTGGCAGGACACCTGCTTGGCATGTAGAAGGACCCAGGTTCAGTCCTTGGCCATCTGCTGCTAGAAGGACTAGATAGCAGGAGATGGGAAAGACCACTATTTGAGACCTTGGAGAGTCGCTGCCAATCAGACAAAAAGTTTGACCAGGTATGAATCATGTTCCTACTACAGCTGGCGCAGAATGATGGGAGGAGATGCTCAGCGCCTCTGCTAAAACATTTGCATGAGCTACCCATATGCTACTGAGTCTTGTTCAAGGTGCTTGTGTTGGGCAATTGGGGTTCTGGATTCCTTAAGGACCGCTGGAGCCTTTATCTCCCAGATCATCTGCAGGAGTGATATTAGTTGACCCCCATATTACAGCTAGAATTTAGTGGGCATTTAGTGTCGCTGGTTCCATTCTTTGGAACACTCTTCCAGCAGAGATTTGGGAGGCATCCTTGCTTTTGACTTTCAGGCATCTCTTGAATGCATTTTAATGCCGACAGAGCTTTGCCGCTGTTTAAACGGGTTAGCCAGTCACCCTTGTATTCAGCTCTGTTAAGGCCAAACCAAAAGCAAATGTTTTATCGAGCATTTCTGTGATGACTCCAGCCTCCTCCCCCTCTACCTCAAATACCTAAAGTATATCTAGATAGTAAATCTTTATACCCTGCATTGCTTTCCTGGGAAGAACAGTGGCTCTGAGTGCAACTTCTGCCACCCGACATCGATTCACTCAATGAACCGGATTAGCAGCAGATTCAGGCCTGACAGGAGGAAGTAACTTCATTTAGCACGTACTTGACAAAATTCACTGCCACAAAGCATGAGGGTGACGGCCGCTGAGCTTATGTGACATTTTAAAAAAAAGGATTAGAAAAATTATTGATTGATGGACTTAACAATGGCTATCCCGTACACTAACAGCAAACTCATTTTCAGAACAGGAACTTTATTCACGGCTGCTCCAGACGACCTGGTTATTTGGCATTTGTGCTGATTTGTTTGCACAAAAGCTTAGGCTGTGCTTAGACCATATCGGAACTTTCTTGAGTATTTGCTCCAATTAGTTCAGAGGGCGATCATGTGCTCACCTTGATTTGTTTATGGTAGGCTTTAACAACAACAACAACAAAACAACATCTTCTTGTTATATGTCATTATTCCTTCATCCCATTCTTTTCGGTACATTCTTCATCACTTTCCAAACCACGAAAGGCATTAAAAATGATTCAATAGGTGAAGGGGTGGGAACCTTCAGCCATCCAGATGCTGGTGAACTACAACTCCCATCATCCCTGGCCATTGGCCATGCTTGCTGGAGGTGATGGGATTTGTAGTTTAGCAGCATTTGGAGGCTTCCCAGACCTATGTTAGGGCTACAGAGCACTTTAATAATTCACTTTAACTGCGCAAACCTAAAGTTCTGGTGTTGTGCTTTACTCTCCGTGCTTGACTCTCTCCCACAAAATATTGACTGAAGGCACTCCTAGACAAAACAGGCCTTACTATCTATGCACAAGGAGAAGAAGGTTTCTGCAGGACTGGAGGAACCATCAGTTGGCAGAAGAATAAAACAACTTTGTAGGCTGGGGAGGGGAAGGAGAGCAGTTCCAATAAGGACCACAGAATGTTGACAGACTGATTTTTTTGGGGGGGGAGGGTTGGGGGCAGGGGAAGAAAAGGAATGGAGCACAGATTTCCAAACTGTAGTTCATGGAGCACCAAACGGCCTTCAAGCTTCATTCAGGCATGT